GAGAATTTGTTGAGGATAATCATGCATCAGCACAATGCAAGCAGTCCAAAAAAAACCGTTCCGACATAGCTAAAAACCTCCAGCTAGAATCCCAGCAAGCTTTTCATTCCTCAACCTGTTATCCACCCCAGCCACACTTACTACTCCATTTTTTGACATTCGCATACTGTGTATCGCCTCGCTGGTGGCCAACTCTAGCGAGCGATTATTGAGATATAGTTCCACGTTCTAGACCATCAATCCATTTATCTAAACGTCACACATTTGGTCTGGGTACAACCATCCTTGACACCCCATAATACAAATTTAGTAAGGCAGGTATGTATTACTTTATATAAAGCTATCTCAGGGAAGAATTTTCCTTCTCGGAGTTTGTTTGGGTGTGAGGGAGTTTGTGTGTATGTGGTTGATCTATCGGGGAGATTGTCTGAAAACAGATGGAGCGTTGGAGGTTCGATGAGATGTAGATTTGGTGGATGGGTATGGGGATTGAGACATTTTTGGTGAGATGTGAGAGGCTCTTTTTCTTTCTCTGTATGTTGGATTCTGAATACCTATGAATAAAGGAGCTAGTGATTCAAAATTAGAGTTGAAATTTCTGGTAGCAAAGACGGATCTTCGACGCATGGAATATTGTGATATTTGAGTATCTTGTTACGTTTATCTTGCAAGTAAGGTAATTCAGTCAGTCCATCAGTCATCGTGGCAAACACCTTTAGTGGTGACTGTATATGGTAAAGCATCGGATTTCGAGAATGTGAGGTGAGTTGTATGATTCATATCTGAATGATTACTTGAATCTTCTGGAAACTGCGAATGGTTGTTCCGCTGGCATTCTGTCTATGTTTGTTAAGAGTGCGGATTATATACTGATAGAGAAAGAAAGCTAGATGGTGTAGATAGGATAATTAGCTTTTGACTCAGTATTACAGTATGGCTCTTTCATTATCATTCATAATTCGAATAAGGTTTCCAAGGATTGCAGCTACCTGCACCCGAGTTCTGAAATTCCCACTTACAATTCATACTGCAAATAAGATTCCTATATCAAAGCCAGCCTCCAAACAGAAAAAAGAAAAATGACTTCCAATTCATTAAACTATCATGTTGTAGTCACCCGCTCGTTCCTGCATATAAGCTCCACTTCCAATCGAAAAGCGGGAAGTGAGTCTCCTGTTCAGGTATTGATATGTAGATGTGACTCTGTGGGTTAGGATTTCTGTAGATTGAAAGTTTTGTTATGCTTGGGGGGGAAGAAAAATTTGGGGATGTTTTAGAGTGGGAAGATGAAGTTGGGGCGGAATTCTTGGAGAAGGCATGACTGGAGAATCGTCTTTCTACAGATAGATGGAGAGATGAAGGAGATGATGTTGGGTTTTGGTGTGAGGGGGCAGTTTTACAACAGTTCACTGCTGGTCAAGGGATATAAAAATTAATGTCGATAATACTACAGTACTCTAGTATGAATGAAGATTTCGAGTAGCAATAAAGCAATTCAAAAACCACATGATATGTTAGTAAATACCAGCTCGTAAAGACGATGCACCTCGCATTCATCCCATGTAAGAATAGATTTCTAATCTTCTCTCAACGTTGAGGGTGAACTCACAAGCTACGACACATGATTCAGCTTAGGTAGTCTCCACTTCCCTTCTCTTTGAGCCGCAGCAAGGCATCCTGAGCATAGAGTATAAGCAGCTCACTCAAATGTCTATCCCCATTTCATCTTGCATCTCAGGCATACAGGTAGTACAGCCCCAATGCACCAAGTCCTCCATCTATCCACACCTAAAATATCTCGTAACAACAACCTCAAACCATCCCAACCCGCATCCTCAAGAAAACTCTTCCTCACACCGACTATTTCCTTCTCCCAATCCCCCTTCTAAATTAAAACCGAAACCAAGAATTTTTTCCAGAACGAAAGCTTCTAGAAATTTTCCAGAGCGCCGACTCCATATATTTGAAGATTTTGACATGAAAAATTTCCACCACCATGTCATATCTGTGCGTACCCAGCTCTCTTCTTCACTCGAGAGTTCCGGGGTCCAGAAGTGGGACATGCGAGCCGGGCCCCGGCAGACGTTCCACTAGAACAATATGATAGGATAACTGCGTGCCCAGCTACTGACCAAGGAACAGGAACAGGAGTTAAAATCTAATCAAATGCTTTTTGGATAACCAATGGAAAGACGTTGGAAAATGGTCGCGTGAGCTCTTTTATGAAACAAATGATGGGTAAGGACTAAGGTAGAGCTAGTTATGCCAAGTCAAAGGCTTTCATAGCCAGCGGTTAGCCTCGCAATTTGTCTTGGTCCACACACAGTAATAGATCCACAGGGCTGAGGAAACTTTACCCTAGTAGCCTTATGCCCAATATGATGTACATGGATATGTTTGGTCTAGAACTTTGATGAAATTCTGCTGATTCATATTGAATATAATTTTTGTGAACAATCGATTGAAAACAGTAATTTTCTGGATATTTTGAGAGAAATGGACCACATAGACTCATCTCGCGAACAATATTACCAGTGTTCAACGTAAATAGACAAATATGTCATAGCATAGAATCCACAGATGCATGCCCTGTAAACAATCACAAGCCTCGATATCCTTCTCACCAGCTTCACAAAGAAGGAAATATACGCAAAACTCGCCAGTGCCCGTTACTCACAAGAAACAAGCATAAAAAGGTAACACCCCTCCCTCTCCACTCGGAGAATAAAGCCATCTTTCACTACGGTGTAGTATTCCAGAAGTAACGAACCACCAACCATCGTGACAACATTCCTAATTCAGATATGTTCCAGGCATGAAAAGTGGCGAGCAAATCAATGACCGAACTACAGACCGCATTTTCTCCACTGTTTGCTGGGGATGCACTTCGAGAAAACTTCTCTCAAGGTAGGAGGTAACTGGAAAACATGATTCCACATCAATTTTTACCAGGGGAAATATTTTTATTCTTATTTTAATCACCGCCGCGAAAAAAAGCTGAGGAGCTATGGCCACCCGCGAGATTTTCATCGTATAATTCTCCGGAGAGGGCGACGCGTGAGTGGTTCACGATATTTGAGTCCCATGTTCTTGGGCAGCCTTTCTCAAAGCCTGTTGTGGCTGGGTCTGCACGTACCTAGAAACTTTATTGTATGAAAAATTTCTGATATTCCAGATTGAGACGTAAATCGGTAGATTCGTGCTGAGCATATAGAGAGGGGGAAAGTCGTCACATTTTATAAAAGCTCTTTTGAAGATCGTAGTGTTGTACATTCGTTTGGACACTGTAGCGAACGCACATTCATTCGTGGGAGACGAGCATTCATTCTTTCATTTTATTTCTGAAGTTTAGCAAGTAAGAAAGGAAAAGAATAATTAATTTCATAATAAAATAATCCTCAAGTCACAAGATCGGGAATCGAAACTTTTCAACGCTTGACCACCCACACTCAAATAATTCCATGAAATTCGAGTCTCGATCTCCCCACATCGTCGTGGCCCCTTCCACCGGCGCCCGCATCCTCTGTGTTGACGACTACAACGACGGCCGCGGCGTTTTCGTACAAGCCTACCTCGAATGTCTACGTCTCTGGCAAGCCAACTGTTCCCCAGACCGCCGCTGGATATTCAACGACATTTCATCCGCGGGACTCTATCTCGCCACCGATTTTAGCAAAAATCATCGTTCACTTCTCCGGCATGAGCTCCGCAGACCGAAGCAGGAAGATCGAAGCAACAATTCTCTCCACGCATTCCAACAATCCAAAGCATGTGATAGTTCCGAAAAGCGCGCCATCTTAGCGCGCGTAGGAACGAGAGAGATGAGGGGAATCAATCGCGAGGATTTCGGGACTAAGGATATGATTATTTGTTTTGATCATGGGGATATGGAGATCTTGGCTTCGTTACGTGATGAAGCGGAGCGGGAAACACGCGAGTCCCAGAAAGCGAAGATTCATTATATACCGCTTGGCAAGGGATGGGAATATGATTTAGATGCTTTTGCGTGGGCAAGAAAAAATGTCCGACAGTGGGCGACCAAGTACTTGAGATTTAGAGAGCCAGCTGAGTTGATTAGGAATGGAAGTTGGAGAACGATGCAGGTGGTGATTAATGAGTATGAGTGGATAGCTTTGGTGAAGGACCACGAGAGGAGATTAAGAAAGATTGGAAAGGGAACAGAATGTGCTTTTCATTTTGGTAGAAGCGATTACGGGAAGGTGGTTAGTGTTACTGGGGGCAGAAGAGAAATTGAAGTTGCGGCAAGGATGATTTTGGAGAGCTTCTAAGCTGTCGAGTTTCTTTCTGAGCAGTGTTCTTTTTCATATTTTCTTTTACAAAAGTTTTTGCTGGGGGTTTTTTTGGGATCAACGTTACCATGACATAGATTACATCATATATAGATTTAGACTAGACTTGTGCTCATACCACTGGGTACGAATCGCAAGATTCGAAAAGTGGAAAGAGATACGGCTTGTAGATATAGTTAGATTTCCATTGTATCGGGATAGGGGAATCAGTACCCGACGGAAAACAAAAGTAAAAATAGATGGTTGAAATTTCTCTTATTTGACAAATTGCCTTTGATCTGCAGAGTGAGTGCCTTTTATATAGAACAGAACCAAAACTTCCACTTGGAGCAAAGGTGTAGCGAAATAACTAGTCGTGGACGTGCAAGCTTATGTGAAATATCATTGAAACCGATGTTATGTGATTCAGGGTAGCTATGGACCCTTTAAAGAAAATGGTTTAATTGAACAAGCCGAATTTCTATGATATACATCCACTAGTACGCCAACCGAAATAGCCAGATCCTAATATTTCCAAACGCCAATCTCCATATACTTCCGTAGAGGTATGTCATCGTCCATATCTCCCTGCCGATCATGTATTCATGATGCATCCTTCGCTAATATAACACATAAATCTATAATTCCGTACACCATACCCCATGTTTCTCGCCATGTTGATTAGTCGGTTCTTTCTAGTTCTATTCAACTTCATTGTCCATCTTTCTTGTCCTTCACAAGCTCGCCTTTCCGATTGTCGCCTGGGCATCTCTGCCTCTCCAACTTCATTGGCATTATCATCGCCAACTCGGGACAATACTCGAAAATCTTCTTCCTCTGATCAGGGTCTCTCCAGACATCCTCCGGAAGCACCTTCCCTCCATCTCGTACATGAAATCCCATAGGCCTCTCATGATATCTGTCTTCGACCGAGAAATGATCTTCCTTTTCACCGCTGGCTACTCGTGCTCCTGGCAATACCGTGATACGTTTCCCATACCACTCATCTTCGGGGGCCGTATCGTTAATTCGGGATTGGAATCCGAGTATCCTTTTCACAGTGGAAATTCTTCGGAATGAAAGCCCACCATTGCCTGCGAAGTGATCACCGGCGATTCTATACGAATGTGTTAATTTTCGTTCCCTGAATGGTAGTAGATTGCTTGAGAGCAAAGTATCTCTCACCTAGGAGCGCCAGCCCAATCATAGTCTAGCCAATCATTCAGACTTTCTTCCGAATTTCCACACATAATACTATCCGACTCATATTTGAGCAACCATTCGACCTCCGGCATAAATTCATCATAGAATCGAATGTCCGTAAGCACCCTAAAAATATCCTCCTTACTATCCACCTTCCACGGCTTTGGAAGAACAATCAAATCGAGCTTTCCATTAGCCTTATGATATTGTGTTGCGAAACTGCGGGATACAACTTCGACACTCTTATTCGTGCCGATAAACACAAAACGCCAATCCGGTGGCACAACAGAAATCATATGTAGGATTTGCGGGACGAGGTGAGGAATAGTTCTGCCTTCGATGAGAAGCGCAACTTTGGAGGCATTGAATTGCGCGCGCGGGTCATGGTTGGGATACCAGTCTACTTTGATGGCGGGGATCTTCTCGGCGGCAGATGATAATTGGTTTTTGATGTGTCCTTCGACAACTGGTCGATAGCGTGGGAGGAAATGTGCTATCCACCATCTAGATATGAAGAATTAGAATTTGTTCTCTGGTCTGCGGAGTATGTTTGGCTCTGCAGACAGGGCTAAATTGGGCGCAAGACTTACGTTGCTATCAGTGCTACCAGTAACAGAATTCTGGTTTTATTAATTACCAGTACTCCATTACCCAAAGGACTAGACCGAGAGGGCGACGACGACATTATTTCGCACAGCAACAAGAAGAGGAAATACAGCTTCAGTAAATTCAAAAAAAGTGAATGTCAAAAACCCAATTCGTTTTCCGCAATAGTAATACAGAAACGAGAAACTCCCCAAAGATCAAGACATAAGAATTGCAACCGGATTAGAATGGAGAAATTGATTCGACCTGCCACCTTACATGGATGTGCATGATGACGCCTCTTCCAATCCAGACACGGTAGATTCATATACCAAAAGAAGGAGACTCAATGGAAGAGATATGATGTGATATGGGACGAGAAGACAGGAAGCTGGATTACGATTCTCCCCAGCCAAGAGATTTAAAACGTGGTTGGGGTATTTAATATTATGGAGGGCGTGTTCTGATATGCCCCAATATTTATTATCTATGCTCTTGCTGGCTTGGGTCGGTGTTCATACTGATCCCGACATCTACAATCCCTGCGTGCATCTTTATGATGGAGATTTAGGACACTACCAAAATCTATGATGGGAAATATATCTCAACTGTTGATTGTTCTTTTTGAAGATATAAATACATATTCTAGGTATATAGGTACATAGCCACCATATTCTCAATTGGGAAATAATATATTCATTGGGATTGCTAGCTCCGGTGGTGTGGGTAAGAAAAGATATCATTTTCCGGAGAGTTCCTGTGGGGGGTTGCTTGCAAGACATGATGGCTATTATGAGGAATGTGGGAAGCCCCTTCATTTAGACCTTTGGCTTCCCGCCACTGTGAAGAATTTCTTTTAACAGTCAATAGCGATAGTGCGGTGGAAGTCTAAGAGACAAGTAGCAACAACGATCATAAGGTTATGCAAAACTTGGAAGAAAAATCACAAATAATTGAAACTACTAATTAGTCTATCTAAGCACCAGTGACTCCATGTCATCTACAATAAAGACCCTTTTGACATGAAATAGCCGAACCCCTATCCTTATTTACCACTCATGCCATCCCATATTACCATCCCACTCCTCCATTTGCAAAAGTTGGAAACTCCTTCCCGTGATGCGATACAGAACATAATCTATATTCCGGACACCAATCAAGTAATTTATCCATCTGGTCCTCTTTCCACTTGTGTACGCGATGTAGTCCCAATGGGTGTGGGTAGTCGATTGATTCAACACTGAATGTACGTGTGACTTCTTCGGTGGGCATATTGACTGCGCCATCTTCTTCTGGATCAATGCCAATATTTTCTTCGTCGCCTTGTAGCTTCCGTAATCTGGAATATATCATTAGTGAGTGTATATGAATGGAAGAATCTTGTCATACTTTTCTTGATACCATCGATCTTCTGCCAATTCTTCCTCTGGTTCTTCCTCTTCCTCCTTCTTCTCTCTCTTGCTGTTCTGCTTCACATTCTCCTTTCGATTTCCGTTCACCTGCGCTTCCTTATCAACTTGCTTGCCTTTCTCTTCTTTCTTGGTGACCTCTTGATTTTCCACCTCTGATTTATTTCTCTCGTCTTCCAGCTTCTTCTTGATTTCCTGGTCCATTTTCTTCTTCTTTTCTTCCTCCGATTTCTTCTTCTGAGCTTCTTCCTTTTTCTTCTGCTCTTCCTCCTTCTTTTTTTCTCTTCTTTTCTTTTCTTCTCGTCCTCTATCCTCTTCATATCGTCAGCAAAGTCCCAATTCTCTAAAACCCTCAACATGCTACTCCTTTTCCTCATGCTCAATCCTCCCCTATGACCCTTATCCTTGACAGGCGTTCCAACCAAGTCATAAGCAAAGAAATCATCCACGCTCGTTGCAGCATTAGAACACAACATACTATCGCTATCAAAAAGTAGGATGTGCTCTGCCGGTGCGAGGTTCTCCCATAACCATGTATCTGTCATGAATTTGTTTCTTGCTTTGAGGTCTGTGAAAAGAACGGTTTGTGGGAGATTTCGAATTTGAATGAGACCTTGTTTAAGGTATCGCGAGAGTGCCGCAGAGGTGGAAAACCGAGCAACGTCTTCGATTGAAGTATATATAAGTATGGGCCATGTTGGACCGAGGACACTGCCAAAGTGCAGGACTAGAGGTATAACATCGGGACGATAGCTATCTTCTATTATCACCGCCACTTTATTGAAAATTGTTCCGTTGAAGTAATCTCCAAATTCATCCGTTACAAGATTCGCTTGTGTTGTAGCATTTGAATTGTCCCCAGAGAACAAATTTGGAAGGGAAAATGCTAGTTTGGATGAGTTAAGACTTTTCGTGTGATTCGAATAAAAGTTGATGGCATCGTGGTTCGGACTGGAGAGTTTGACTGTCCAAATAATTATGAGGAGGATAAAAGCCCCAAATCCGATATTCCGAGCTTGACGTTGCTGTATATCGACCGACATCACCTGTGACACTGCCCTCGTATCTGAAGAGGTTTTGATGGAAGAATTTCTCAAAATACCAATGAATGTATCCTTCTACAAACAGTTCTAAGAAGTCTGCCGAAGCATCGAGTCGGATATGTATGACCTCTAAAATGTAATTGACAAGCTATGAAAGCCCAATTGACGCTGAAAAGGATACTCTTCTGCACTTGCAAGAAAAGGCTTGGTTATGAGAGAGGACATGTCAAAAAATAATTAATGAGGTCTCACATGCTTTCGGCAAGATGAGAAAATATGTATGAGAACGATCGTCACGAGTTCTTGCTTTTCTCCTTGGTTCTAATGAGGCATTCTCAGGGCAGAACTGATATCCAAAAAGCCATCTTTCATACTTTGATAAAGGCGTATAGCATAGAAATCTCGATAGTGCAAGGAGATACTCATCAACTTTCACAACATCCTTTTTCCTAAAATCGATGTCGCCAACAAGCCGTTTCCCTTACGACTCAAAGACCAGGCATTTCATAAGACATCGTGGAAATTATAATTTCCGAAAACAAACATCAGTAGTTGAATCCTGCAAGCAGATGGTCGTGGCATTCAAAATCAGCCCTGCTTCGGAATTCTATATGCCACAAAAACATCAAGCCAGGGAGATCGACCACATCCATCTCCCCCTCATTTCATCCCGCATCATATCTCAGCACATCTCAAACGAGCTGATTTCTTGACCGGGCGAATAAGCCACGAAGGAAGGAGAGGACACAGTCAGCCTTTATCACAAACATATGACCGGAACGAGACGTCAATTCCGAAAGGATGTATGATCGGATATGATCGATTTGATAGGAAAAGACAAGAAAAGAAAGGAAGGAAGAATGAGCCCTGCTTGTGATTTCCCGGTTTGATAGGGTACCTAAAAGCGTGTGGGATTACAAGGATAAAATAGAATCGAACATACGCAATCAGTTCTATCGTTCCATAGGGTGACTAGATACGATGATATGCGTTAGATGGATATTTCCCTCACTAGCGGGTTATTAAGTGCCACTATGCATATAATATTTACCGGACGATCTACTAATTAATTCTTGTTCCACCTAAGCCGAAGCTAGGACACTATCAAGATACCAACTCTGCCATCCCACGCTTTTCAGTCTTTATTTATTGATACAATAATGTATGTAGATCCCTTTTCCTCCATGTTACTCCGTACTAGCAAAGAACCCTTGAATGTATGGTAGTATCCGCTCCTTTCAAAATGCTTCTTATCCATTCACAACATCACGTTCAAAATTTAAAACTGCAGGCCGCGTCATGCTAATGATGAATTTCTTATCGCTATGATTTGACACTTTTTGTCCTACAGGAATTCGTGTATAACATTGGATTTCACTATTCGCCAGTTATCAATTTGTATATGATCGAATTGCTCAGTTCTCGGTCCTCCAAGTTGATACCTGTCTGGAGCTAAGAGCTTTCTGAGCCCATTGCGGCAAAATCGATATCAAAAATCACAATCATGTCGTCGCCAAATGGTGGGATGACTGTGGAGGATATATGGGCCATCACATCTTCAACTATGGTGGTCGCATGGTCGAAAACCACGAGACGGCTGCGGGTTGTTGGTGGTGTATTTTTATTTTTGTAAGTAAAGCCCACATATTGTTTTAAACACATGCAATGTACTAACACCATGTTCTTAATCAAGTATTCTTTCCGTTCTGCTTTTTAAACCGTCGATACCAGAACGTCCCTCACTCCCCTCACTACCCACGATCCCCAAAGTAACTCTTGACTATGGTGCACCGGGACCCTCCCAGTTCAATCAATCCAAAGTAGCACTTCTGATTGAAAATCGCGTCAATCCAATTCTTTCTCCTCTCGTGTTACATTTCATGTCAGTCGTACCTCCCGATTGGCGTTTCCGCTTTATGGGCAGTCTTGAATCCGTCGCGCTTATGAATACCAGCCGGGCAATTCGCCAGCATGTCAAATCGGGAAAACTCGACCTGACGTATATTCCCGCCAACATGTCCACCGGATCCCAGGAAGAAGTCAGCAGATTCCTGACGAATCTATGGCTCTATGAGACTGTTCTACAACCTGCAGAGTGGTTACTTGTTTTTCAGACAGACAGTATGCTCTGTGCAAATAGTAGACAAAGTCTTAACAACTGGCTGGATTACGATTGGGTAGGAGCTCCCTGGAATCCTAACGGGAAGTTTGGAGGAAATGGAGGGTTGAGTTTAAGACGCGTGAGCGCCATTGTTGATGTTCTCCGTAATCAAGTACGGGTAGATGACTCAGAGGCAGAAGATGTGTGGCTTACCGATCGATTGGGGCATCGACCTGGGGCCAAACTTGCAAATGGAACGACTTCACTCACATTCTCGGGAGAAATGTACAGTGGACAAGGAGAGCGAGTTGCTGCCGAGAAAAACAAGGGGAAAGGCAATGATGGGACAAAAGTTGGTGGGCTGATTAAGGGAGTTGATGATTGGAGAGATGGATTTTATGAACCGATGGGTTATCATACTGGTGGGAGTGGAGTCACACTTCATGCTGGGATTTGGGGAACACCCGAAAAGAGAAAACATATTTGGGATTATTGTCCTGAGGTAAAGATGATTTTCAAAATGGACGCCGCCAAATATGTTCCAGGGGATTGCAATTCGAATTGGAAACGATGGGATATGGGGCAAGAGGGTGTCGATCAGGTAGATGAGAATGTGGAAATCATTGAGGGAGTGGAATATCCCATGTTACCACCAGGTTTAGTACCTTGGTAACGCGAGTAGGAAATTCCTTCACGATACTTTTTCATCAACCTTTACTTCAACATTATTTTCTCCACATGTTTACTGGCGCGTCGTGAGTTGGGATGGGATATAGAATATGGGGCTGGGTAACATGACATATACATGGTCTACACATCATGAATCATTTTGCTTTTTCCGAAAGTGGAGCTGAAGCTAGGGCAAAGATCGGATTGGGCGGATATGATATCCATGAGATTATGTATCTATCTATTTAGAATGAGAATGGCGTCGGTTTCATACCCTTTCCAGGACGATCATTTCGTGCCATCTTTTTAAGACGTGGGTATTTCAAATACACGAAAAATCCCTCGCAAAACCCCCTCACCTAGAAAACTTCTCCCTTATCTCTAAGCCCAACACACACACAAAAAGCATACCCAGCTACCTATTCCTTACATGCGAATGTCACTCCAGACTCACCAGTAGCTCTGTTTCTTTCCTCCCTTACATACAGTAAGAATCAACGTCTCAGCCATAATTCGGGTGGCGCGGTGTAGCGAGATTCTTCCTTCGATGCCGATGTTACTCTAGGGATGGATGCTACACCCCGGACGCCGCATTTGAGGTTGAGGTTTGAAGGATGTTGGTTTTCGAGGTAGGGGTAGGGGTAGGGCAGACAGGCGATATGGTTTATTGAGATGGGATTGTGAAAGGGGGATTAGATTTCTATTTTTGGATGGGTAGTTGAGTTCCCAATATGGTGAGTGAGATGAAATAGGTAGGTTGTATTCATCGTAACATTATTACTTTACATTGTTGGAATTTGAAATCTGAGGTTTGAGATTGGACTGTTAGATGTTCGGGATATAATGTCACTGTGAACAAAAATGAATAATCAAATACTTTGGAAATAACGCTTCAGAATGAGCAACTCAACACTAAGTTGGATATTTAAATACTCTGCATATTCCAGCCTAGATTTGAGTTTAAATTATTGGTGCCGATACCTATGTATCAATTTATACTTAGGAACACATTTTGAAAGGTAGTACATTTCATGCACATGAACAAACTCCATCTAAGTGGCTCCTCTATACCAAAGCGTTTCCATCTCATCATCCTTATTTCATCCCAGCCTCCTCTCAATCTTCATTTCTCACCACCCCACCTCCAAATATCTCACAAATATCCTCACAGGATAGCACAATCTACGTCTGCACATCATCTCGTAGTACGTAATTCGAAGCTTGAGGTCTTATCTTCTGACAAGGCTCTCATCTTCAAAGAAAGGCGGAAAATTATCCAAGGTCATTTGTCCTGTCGTTTGCAATGAATAAAATGGAATATGAATTTTAAAATATCATAAACCGTTAAGTAGAAAGAAAGTTCCACTAATCAAAATCCACACACAAAACATCCAGCACATGAGTGACGAGGATTTCCAACCAACGAAATCAAATTCGCCATCTATTGAGCTATTAAAAGTCTAACCGTAAATACGCCTCCAGAAAGCTTGCACAACAACCGTTTTCCAATAACGAAAGAACGTCGACACAAAAATTGGCGTCGCAATCCCAAATACATAATAAGCCCCCCAAAGTTCACTCCTCACTTTCGTAAAATTTGCAAAAGCGAGAACCTTAGCCTCCCATTCCTCAGAGCTAATCTCCCCCCTCATCAACTGTTCCAGCAGCTGTGCATTCAGCGCCGCCTGATTAGTACTCGAAGCCACATGCGGACGAAATGTCGCAAGCGAATCACCCACGAAAAGTAATTTTCTATCAAACATGGAAGGTTTGGCGATTTCGCGATCGTTGACGGCGGAGATGAATGGTTTGGTGGTCTTTTGGACCATTTCGGCAAAAGACTCAGGGAGGATACCAAGGGCGAGAGCTTTCTGACGCTCCCATTTTTGGGGGTCTACCTTTCCAATGGGTAAGGTAGTACGGTGCCTATGCCCATCAATATCCGTCATCACGTCAATGTACTCCTGTGAGCTCTCAGGATGTTGATTGTACCAGACCCAATTGAGTTGTCGGTGGCCAGGGGAAGTATTTCCATCTTCACCGGGGATAGTATAACTGAGTAGCACACGATTAGATTTTGGATACAGGCATTTGAATGAAGCACGTACAGAACAATGTAGCCGCGCTTGTACGCAAAGAACGTCGTCTTGCACGCGAATGTTGCTTTGGTTTTTTCAGAAATCTCACGTTCAGGCGCAGTTCCTCTCCAGGCAACATACCCCGCATAACTATGCTTTAGATTTGGTTGCAAAGCCTGGCGTACTTTTGAAGAAGATCCATCAGCTACAAGGACGAGATCAGCGTGAACTGTTTCGTATATTTCAGTTCCCGTATCACGGCATTTGACAGTGACTAGCCCATCATTGTATTCGACTTCAGTCACTTCCTTCCCGTGTTCATAGATAGCCGCCCCCCGCCGCCCCGTTAGCTTGGGAGGTTGAGCACAAATGTCACTTGTCAAACCGTCGAAATTAGCTCTCATGACGTTATATAGAATCTTCCAGCTGGTCATTGCAATGGAGATATTCCACGTGCTTTTGACTTTGACATTTTGATCGAGATATTGGACATTTGGACTCGTTACAGAGTATGGTGTCTTTGTCTCGTCATATTTCTCAATGAAGGCTTGGACGTGTTCCATGGCAGCTATACCGGCTCCAAGACTCATTTGCTGAGAAGGGGATTGCGTTCGAGGATTCGAACATTATGTCCAAGTCTTCGAAGCACGATTCCATGGAATAGAGCAGTGAGGGAACCTCCAACCTGTTTGAATGACATTCGTCAGCATTTGAATCACATTCCGAGTTATTTCCTCACAATCACGACGCTTAAAGGATTCTCAGCCATTTTCGCAAAGTTCAATTCTTTTGATGGCGAGAGTGCCGTGTGATAGAATTGCACCGAATTGATCAAATCAGTCAGGGCAAGAGAAGAAAAGATTAACAACGTGTGGAAAACAGGTATGTGGATCTGTAGACAGGTATGAGGCACAACATACAATGTTGGTTTTCAGTGAATCTTCCCAACCGACACGCAGATTTTCTGACGATACGTCCCGAGGTGGTTTGCATCAGACGGCTATTCGACCAGATTGAGAAATGGCCGATCGGTTATCGGCATCTCTTTGTATGCATCCCTACACTTAAGATGATGAGAGTGCGTCTAGTGGTGTGATAACCGAATGCTTCCTCGAGCACTCACAGTAAGTCGTGTCCATGACAAGACGTACTATGATTGAGTCATACCAACATTACACCAATCAATTCATCCCAAAGATAAAAGGGAAACATGTTCCAGAAATGAAGTTCGAAATTGAGATTCTGAGTAATAGTGCTATGCTTGATATATAAAGCAAAAGGTAGCAAGCCTCTTCCCGCCTCTCAGCAGCATATCGCAGCACATCTTCAATCGAAAATACTTCTTGCGTGGTACACCACCTTAATGCTACCATTAACGAAGCCCAGCGTCTACATCCAGCTCTACCAACAGTTGGCCTCAAAGAAACCCCATTGAAGAAAGCAACCATAGCCGATACCCATGTACCAGGAAATGCCAAAGTTTGCATTCCACGATATGTCCTTGGGAGATGTAAATACATTTGTTTCCACTGCAAAGACTCAAAAATTTACCACACATACATAGTGCAAAACTCATGCGAGCAACCATTAGACTTCATACCCGAGAGGTGGTACTCGCCCCCAAAAATGGTAAAGGATAAATCAGGGCTTTCGCCATTCTTGACGGGTATGTTGAAGATCTCTTATCTCAAAAATATCAAGATTTGGCTAACCTTGAATTAAAGTAGAACACCTCAGCTATATTGACAAGAATTTGTCCCTCATGCAGCTGCGTAATGTTATCGCCACATTTATGACGAGATATGATATCAGTTTTGAACCAAATGAGGATGACCTTGCTGTGTGTAGAGATATGAAAGATCAATTCAACCAACATGCTGGAGAGCTGGACATCTGTTTCATCCCAAGGGCATTCAAGTAAGACATGTAGCGGGAAAGAATTTATGGGCGAGGGCATGTAAGAACATCTGCTCTGATACCACAATTTTATTATATTGCGCCACTTTAAGCCCAGCCGAGGGATGATATGGCGTTCCTGTTAAGCAAGGGAGTAAAAAGACACCTATCCATTAACTATTGTGAACCTGAGCCAATTAACATATATAGCAAACGCCACTTATTATCAGCTCAAAATCATGGTATCAGGGCTATATACCAGAAAACTTCCAGCTGAGAATATCAAAAAGAAATTTGTTGTATATGATATTAGTGAAAAATTAAGGAAATTTGTATGGAAGGGCAGGCTTGTGTGGCGGCAGAGGTGCTTTCATCAAGGATCTCTGTTCTTCGACATCTTGCCAACTCACTTTCCAGAGATTTCCAAGCCCATCCTGATAGTCAATAGTAATGGAATTGATCAGCACCATCTACCTAGCTAGAACAATTGAAGGACAGAAACTGAGGCACAAAATTCTCGAAGATCAGAGATAGAACATCATGAAACAGCATCAGTTGGTAACAACAGCTTCACCCATCCAACTGATACAACTGTTGGTTTATCCACAGATATTATCCAACTTTGGAAAAGACATTGCCAATACCAGAGTAATAGAAAAAGCTAGACGTTTGAGTAGAAGCATCGATATGTACAAATACCATAGTATATACACAGATGCTGTCAACCTTGGCATTCGACAGCATTATTGATACAAGGATAATCTCTTCAAAATCTAAAACTCTTGAATATTGGTAGTCGTAATGATACAAATAGTAAAGCAGACACGATGATTGAAAATATTTCGATCATTTCAAACTTTTCAATTGTTGAATGAGAAATAGAAATTAAGGATCTTTCAACTATCAAGATTCATTCAACAGTTAAAGCATCTCAATACACCAACGAGAATCAATAATTCAATTATTGAAATAGACTCGACAACCAAATGCTATTCGATCGTGCAATCAGACTTGACATCTCAACGCGCATTTCAATCTTTGATCGCGAATACAGTCGAAGTATTAAATCATAAAAAAAACCCAACAAATACAAGCTTTCCAACTCTAATGATTAAGATCTCCTAGAACATACATACATTCAACTGAATGTATACTTTTCTCGAGACCACTATCCCGATACCATCCCGTCATTGTAATGTAATACAACTAGTATTACCATGAGATTTTCCCTCTCAATACCTATTCATCAATGATCGTAGAAGCCACAGCAAGATTCCAATTATCAATTAAGCACTTACTTTCACTATCTCTTTCCTCACTATTTCCCAACCCACTAATCTCACTCACTCACCTACCTATGCATTATCCTTACCAAAACACAAAACTTACAATAGGGACTTCGTGTCAAATGACTTTCAAACAAAACAACAACAACATCCCACTCAGCATTCAACCATTTAATAATTCAGCTTGCGGAAATCTCAAAGGTAGTCGAGAAGGATAGGTAAGCGCTGGCATGTTATCCGGACTTCGTATCGAGTAGTCGAAGAAGCCACGATACTATGTGACAAGCACAGGCAAGTGAATTGAGAATGGATAACAAATAGAAAGGCAAAAATGGATAGAAAACCCTAAATCAATTTGTTCGATAAATGTATGAAAAGGGGTGGCGATATACTAAATTAGATCTTCAGGCACTCATTCCCCATTTTCGCATATCCGAAGTTCCCATTGTAGCGATAATGAAGGGGCAAATGAGAGAATGCATCAAAAATGCACATCAAACACACACAACACGGAAGAAGTGCAGCTCGCAAAACTAAAAAAGTAATACATATATGTATTTTGGTATCTATCGCGTAAATCAAACTATCATTTTCCTATCAATGGAAACACAATATAATATAATAATACAATATAATCCATCAATCGGCTTGGCAATTTCCCGCCCAAAACAAGAGAAGAATCCAGAAAAAGTCTATCTAATTGAACAAAATTTGAAGAAAGGTAGTACTATAAGCACGGACTCGAAGATCGTTTCTGTTCTCGAGAATCCTGATAAGACATCCTCCGCATGTCGATAACCCCGCTTGGTAAGGCTTTGTGATGTAACATTGTGCAGATAGGAAAGTTACGGCGTGATAACTCGATCCTTCGGATGAACAAACACCGAGTGACAGCGATGGATGCTCTGAGTTCGAAACGCCTACTGAAGCAGGCCGTGAAATTTCTTTTGGGCTATCAAACCCATATGGAATAGATGACGCACGTAACGTTCGCCCCTTTATTTCTTTGGTTGGGTTTTGTGTTTGATCATTACCATTGAATATCTGATACATGAATTTCGTTAATAAGAATGTTTGACATTTGACATAAACCCAATTTAAGATGAATTCTTGATTGATACTTCAATACGAACTCGGATAATAGTCTTTCGGGGCAGGCCTTTAAATAGCTTGACACCAAGAAAGGTGTGAAAAACGGAAAAACGGGTGCTGGCCGCTTACCGCTCGCCAAGAATTGTCCGGCTAGGATCCCCGAAAATGGATGATTTGGAGTTTGCCCAAGGGAAATTGGAAGACAGAAAAGGGGTTCAAACTTACGCAACAATTCCAGCAATTGCAATCATCACACCAATTACTGATTTATCACCCACAGCGCGTCCAGAGGTCATCCATCCAAGAGCAACAATCGAACATGTTTTGACATGGCCAACAACAGTACTCGATACGGGACCAGTTTGAGCAATAATGAAGAATTGTGACAAATTAATTAGACATGCAAACCCGCCCGACTAGAAGATGGAGTTATTAGCTGACAATGCAATTTGCATATACGAGTTTAACATTAATACGAGAGCACATACCATCATGATCATAACCCATCGGTTGACAGGCACCTCCGCCCAAACAGGGAAAGTGTCGACGAATGGAATAACGTAGAGCAACATGAAAGCTGCTAACGGTGCTTGGCTAAATAATAATTGCATGCTGTTGACTTGCAATTTCTTGTGATAACTGGCGATCCATACTGTGTAGAGAGAACTGGCGAAAATGCCGGAGAATGCGAAGATGACCCTAAAGTACTGGTGGTTTGGATGTTGGCATCAGCAGCAGGTAGTGAATCGTAATAAGAAACCATTCCCACACCGAGACAAGCTGGTATCAAAGCATATATCGCATTCCTAGGTAAAGTGGATCGGTATAAAACGAAATTCATAAGAGCGACGGTTGGCGTGAGGAGAATTCGAGCTACTTGGTAGAAAGTAACTGTCGAAAAGGCAAGAGATAAATTCGGTAGGATGACATTCAATGCCATGGAAATAGCGAGTGGAAAGATGTCCTTGACTGCAATTCTTTTGGGTGTGAAGAAGGCGAACCGTGGTCGCGAGAGTGTGAAGAGCGTCAGCCATGTTACTGTGAAATGGAAGGCAGCAAATGTGAGTTGTGCGAGTTTCAGTGAAGGATCTGAAAAGATTGCCTTGTTGGTGAAGACCTAAGAAATTGTTAAGATTTTGTGAGGAAGTTCTAGATGTCGCAAAAACTCACAATGCCGATGGTCGCAAGTGTATTTACCACCATCCAAATTATTGAAGATCTCACAGAACTGTCCGGTGCCTTTGGTTTATCTTCTGGTGGCGGCGCAAGTAGATCTGCTCGTTCAATGTCTTCTTCCAATTCCTCTGGTGTTCTTAAGTTGTAGTCTCCATCCTGTGAACCCATCAAAGCACGTTTTTCGGTCTTATCATCAAATCTCTCTTCGGTCGACGCAGAGCTGATAGAAGCCAAACGATCCGTTGATCTTTCCGCCATAATGTAAATTTTGGTATCGTAGAATATCAAGAGACGTGTAGAGAGTTGATGATATTCAACTGTATTGAAAAGAGATGGTCAATCAATTAGAATGTAATATATTTAATGTTGAAGGGTATTCGGAGAGTATAATAATTTATCATGGCATAGAATCCTGAGTGAGCTCTTAGGGAAACTTTCAGCTAGTTCATCCGGAGACAAATGACTCTAATATCAAAAACAGCCTTTGAGTAATAAAAAGCTCATAAGCATTTAATATTACTGGAATCACATCACTGCACTGGGGTAGCTAGCAGCTTAAACAACTCGCACGGTACAACTGCACCGCAAACATGCCAACTTACAATTGAGTGGACACAATTTGGGCGCCCCTTTGGTGGCTAATTCTAAAACATGCCACACTTATGATTGAATGTAGGGTATTGTAGATTAAGGTCCCTAGATGGATAGATAGTTGTGATTATATATCGGATAAGAAATCAAAATAAACGCCTAGGGATTGAGCTTCGGCTACATTTTTACGATGTAGATCTTCCTCTTCTTCGCGTATGGAGTCTGTCGTATATCTCCTGGGTGTAACTATACTACGGAAGCGTGGTGTAAAGATAGATCTTTTTGATGTTGGAGATCCATTGGAACCCTACAACCCTACGACCCTCGGGATCCCTTCCCTCGATTGTGAGACCGCGTAATCGACGTCGTTTGGTTTGAACTTCTGTGACAATCTTAAATCTTAAACCTTATATTCCTACTTAATTCAGTGGATACTGGAGTCCATATTAATCCCATAAGGATTTCTTGCCCAAGGCTCGGACATACATACGCGTCCAGGAAGAGTAGATGGTTTGTGAGCCTCGATAGTTATCGATCTAGATGGAAAATAAGAAACGAAGACACATCTCATCTCAAATAGATTATATGCAACAAAGTATCTCAAGTATGACAGATCATGTAATCAATCAATTAATCAATCAATCACTCAATCATATCAGAATCCTTCTTCCTTTACATGGTGGCTGAGATCTTGTATCATATTCTAAGAGATCTTGATTGGAGCCCTGAATTGACCCCTATCGTAAAAGGCTGATTAGTAATCTAGATTCTCCATATCCATAATACGATGTGCGATGGACGTGTGGCTTTAGTTCATCTGTTCGAGGTCTCTCTTCGCTGATCTCTTTTGACAGCGAAGCGACGTCTCTCGTGTGTGTCGAGTAGCGATTCGGTTATTTGCTATTAGTTATCTGATATACAGAGGTAAAGACATGATAGCACAGCCTCGAGTACTGGGAACCCAGATATCTATCGTCAAACATTAGCAGAGGATCTAAAATATGCTTTCACTCAAGTAGATGCTAATGTAAGGTGTCCCCCCTTCTCCCTCCTCCCTCCTCAGAAAACTCCTTGCACCCCACTATAACGTTTTCACCATACAAGGGATTATTTTCGAATGCACTTACTTATACCAGCAAACTCAGCGAAGACTACTTCTGTCTAGCATGAAGTTGTAACTGATGATTCTATTAGTGCTGAGATATTAGCTTCCCTCACTAGCTAGGGTGAACACATCATGATCCATGCACTAAATCCGTTCAAACCACCATTCAGCCCACTCAACCCACCCAACCCACGTTGACAACTAAATAACCATATCCTCAAGGGCATTAAAGCATGGGCTTATTGCATTCGTTTCCATATCCGTTCATACAACAAATCAGATCACATCCCATCCATGGCAATGAAGATAATCCAGAAGAAATTCCGTCTCCGTCTCCCACCATCTCTCCCTGCAGATGCCGCCATTTACCAATCTCGCTCTCATTCTCACTCTCACTCTCACTCGCATGTCCATTTCATTAGTTAAAGCATAGCCTTGTTTAGGATTGGATCTACCACTGTTGCAGTCTTGCTTTTGCTAAAATTTAATCATAATCATATCTCCCTGCATCGGCCAATTCGTCTGGTCTCTTAAACATTCCTTGGCTTTTCTTCCTGCAGCCTCCTTAAATAATAAAGCTCCTCCATACCCTCCTTGCGCATTCTTGGAACCGGCGAACATCTGCTTGTGTTTTCGTATATTCAATCTTTCCAATTCAACATCATCTGAAACGTCTACTTTCTTTCCAATCGATCTTTCCAATTTGCGTATATCGTCCTTCAAATACAATGGCTGCAAACGGTACAGGTAGGAATCTTCCAAGTGCCATTTATTCCTCTGCCATTGGATCGAGAACCATTCACTAATTCGTCTCATTCACAGCTCCCTCTTCTGCCAATGAAGAGCAGAACAAATTCTTCGAAGATTTCGGCGTTTGGAAAGAAGCTCCTATACTTATAGGAAGCACCAAATTCACACCATTGCCAGATGTTAAGAATATCATGATTACGGGAGGAGCGGGGTTTATGTAAGGACACATCTGTTTGTGCAGCACAGAACGGATTTTTAACCTTTTATTAGTGCGTGTTGGCTGGTACGACATTTGACATTGACATACCCCGATGCTTATAATATTGTTTCTTTCGACAAGTTGGATTACTGTGCTTCATTGAATAACACCCGGGCACTCAACGACAAGCGCAATTTCACCTTCTATCATGGTGATATTACAAACCCATCGGAAGTTGTAGACTGCTTGGAACGATACAACATCGACACAATCTTTCATTTCGCAGCACAATCTCATGTTGATTTGAGTTTCGGAAATTCATATGCCTTCACACACACAAATGTTTATGGTACCCACGTTCTTCTCGAAAGTGCCAAAAAGGTCGGGATCAAAAAGTTCATTCATATCTCTACGGATGAGGTCTACGGAGAGGTCAAGGATGATGATGATGATCTTTTGGAAACCAGCATTTTGGCACCCACAAATCCATACGCTGCGAGCAAGGCAGCAGCCGAGATGCTGGTACATTCTTACCAGAAGAGCTTCAAGCTACCTGTGATGATTGTACGCAGTAACAATGTTTACGGTCCACACCAATATCCCGAGAGTAAGTACTCTAGTCAAAGTCTTGAAATTCACAGCTGACAATTACATAGAAATTATTCCAAAATTCAGTTGTTTACTCCAACGTGGACAACCAGTTGTATTACATGGAGATGGAACTCCCACCAGAAGATATCTTTTCGCTGGTGATGCAGCGGATGCATTTGATACTATTCTTCACAAGGGCACAATTGGACAGATCTACAATGTTGGCTCATACGATGAGATCTCCAACTTGACATTATGTTCAAAGTTACTCACATACTTGAACATCCCCCACAGCACCCAGGAAGAACTTCATAAGTGGGTCAAGCATACACAGGATCGACCTTTCAACGATCATCGATACGCAGTCGATGGAACCAAGCTCAGACAATTAGGTTGGGATCAGAAGACCAGCTTCGAAAATGGAATGGCGATCACTGTTGACTGGTATCAGAGATTTGGCGAAAGATGGTGGGGTGATATCACCAAGGTCCTTACACCATTCCCCACGGTTGCTGGTTCGGAAGTGGTCGGTGACGACAACAACACTGTTGAAGAACTTAGAGAAGAGATGGTAGTCGACGCTGATGATAATATGATTTTGGGCAAGAAGAGGAAGTTGAATGGCGTTTCAGATGGACTGGTTCAAGCAGTGGAAGCATAGGTTATTTGGGTGATAGTCTCTGACTCATCTGCACTGCATTGATTGCACTTCAGCTTCTTGCTCGGTGGTGGCGTAGAAAATGGATTGGTGATTGGTGATTTAGGGGTTGGCTATCGGACACAATTTTAGAGCGTGCGTTTTTTATATTCCCCATGGGTAGACCTAGTTGATTGGTGGTACTTCCATAGATGATGTTGATGTTAGAGACTTATTTATGAATATTAGCTTGGGGTTTCTGGTTGGATTGAATGGGACTGGATTGATAAGTATGAATTAGGATATACTTGATCACAAAATAAAAAGATATCATTTTTTTTTGGAACAACAATCTTGGTCATCGGGCCTTTCTTGAACATTGAGGTGAGCTGTTGGAACAAGAACATCTTCGGGCTTGATATGTGGGATTGTGTAGTATGATTCTGCTTGGGATGAGTGTATAAGTGTGAGGAGATGTGAGGAGATGTGAGACATGGTGATGGATACAAGTGCCGGTGCGCAGAGCAGTAAGATGGAGGGAGGGGTGGCTTTGGGAAGATTATAGTAGATGTCTATTCAGTACCGGGTTGTCTCTTTGCTTTTTCGTTCTTTTTGGGGCTTGGATTGTTTTCTCCTTGTGTAAGTGTGTGTGGGGAAGGGGCTAAATTGAGAGGTGGGTAGGTGGATAGGTGGATAGGTAGGTAGGTAAATCACTAGGTTATGGGATTTTGGGAAGCTGAAAGCTGGGGAGGGAGGGGGAGAGATGTTGAGTTGGTTGGTTGGTTGGTAGGTAGGTAGGTAAGTGGGTGGGTGTGGTTCATGCATATTGGGAAAGGAAAGGAAAGAAAAGAAAAGAAAAGAAAAGAAAAGGAATGGTTTATGAGAGTTGGGAAGGTATGCACGCTTTGGTGATGGATACTATTGGAAAGTTGTTGGAAAGCCTCACAGACTTGGAGTCCCAGCAAATGTGGGAGAGCGGTGTGTATGTGTGTGATGCTGTATATATCGACTGGTACCTAGTATGTGCAAGATATGATGCGTACGATATGATGTGTGTAAGATACGATGTGTGTAAGATCTGACATGTGTGTATGTATGTAGATATGTATGGTGGTGAGACTCGAAAGCGATCTCGCGATTCAATCCCATAACCGTCTCACTCTGGTATGATATAATGGTGGTTAGTTTGTTGGGATGGGATGGGATGGGATGGTACGGTATGCAATTGAGATGGATGGAGGTGGAGGTGATGTTCATAGATGGGTATTTACCAGCTAGGTAATGCTTAGGTTTCTGATGATTGAGTTTCTGGGTTGTGTGCGTTGTGTTTTGATGAGATGGATGGGATTTGATGTGTGGTGGTATGGAGGCGGCGAGGTATGTCTATTCTTGCGGAATGGAAACTGGACCTTTGATTGAGCTGTGGTTGGAACATTCTGTACTGACATAGATAGATGGCTATAGAAGATACTGAGATAATGCATTCAATTCAACATTCCAGCGGCGGAGTAGTCGGTGCTGTGTTGGTATGATGTCGAATGGTCCAGCAATTGAAAAAGGTGGACATACAGTCATACATATTAGAACCGCATTTCACCCAAATGAATAGACAGAATTTCAGTACTAAATTAAACATGGAGTTTTGGTGGATATCAATGGCCATTTTACACATCCTGTTTGCAGGTAACCAATTGGATGATGTACAAACGGTAGATGGGGTTTATTTGACTTTGGCAAAGATGCTAATGGAACGATCCGTAAGTACCTACCTGCTAGATAATGGCTTATCATTGGGTTCCGGCGGAATTTATCTTTTCTTTCTCGGTATTTTGTGGGGTTTCCGCTGTCAACCTTCTTCTTCTCCCAATAAGATAGGCTACTATGCTAGACACCTGGGTACTTTGATTAGTGTTCGAGGTAGTGTTAAAGTTTGTTCAACACGGGCTTCATTGGTGTGAACTTGTATACTCTGATGGAAGCTAACTCATTAACTAACTAGGGACCGCTACTAGAGCGCCGGAGGTAACAGGAGTGAAGATAAAAAAAGAGCTAGCTGGCTGGCTATGCTACCTAGGTGCCTAGCTAATGCATTCAATAGACCTCAAATGGGTCACCGCTTTCGATGATCGGATCACAGGACAATCTTTGGTAACTTCGCGAAGTCTTGGTGGTGGGAGTACGGAGAACGAAGTACCGTGCCATCTTTTGGGTTTGGGTCTGGGTCTGTTAATTGGAACGCGCGGATGCTTTTCCGGGATTTCGATTTCGATTTGGGTGCGTTCTGTTTGTTGATCTCGGAAAACGAGCTGGTGAGGGAGAGTAGCATTGTGTTTAGCATCATATCTGCATCGACTTTGCATGCAATCCATTGCAGGAGAGAAGACGGGAGCTCGGGCGAATGCTGGATTCGAGATCGGCATATAAATATTGATAACCCGCTCGAAGGATATCAACGACAAGATCATAAAACACAACATTATACGACACAAACGGTGGTGGTTAGATTGAATGGTAATTTGGAGAAGGAAAAAGTCGATGGGAGCTGTTTGCACCAATCCCAAATCCATGGGGGAGCAAGTGGAGGAAGAAACTGGCAGAGAAAATACTTCACCAGATGGGAATGCAAATGTTCCTGGGGACTTGAGATATTCGGATAATGGTAATGGTGTCCCACTGATACCAGACGACAATGATGAAGAGGGAATGGAAAATGATGCGATTGCTGCGAGGGAAACTGTGCAGAAGGAAATTGAAGACCATAGAAAACGGGCTGCTTATACCAAATCTGTTTTTCATCATGCTCAAACGGATCGAGATACAGTGTGAGATCCTTATTTGTTATTTCTACATTCTTTCTATGACTATTTGCTAATACTTTTTCGACATGTACAGAAATTCCACTCGTTCCCTCTACGATTCAGATGTGGTATATTTACAACAACATGGTCGAGTTTATGTGGGAGATTATTATATGCCAATTGATGAGGAAGAACTCGATCGTTTACGCATCATTCATCAAATATATCTCCAGATCTTCGACAATCAACTTACTACCGTGCCTCTCAAATCTCCGACCCGCATTCTCGATATTGGAACAGGAGCTGGCGATTGGGCCATGGGAATGGGTGATCTATGGCCCTCGGCCGAAATAATAGGAACGGATATCGCCAAAGTCCAACCCACAGCCGTCCCCTTCAATGTCTTTTTCGAAATCGACGATGCGGAAGAAGAAGGCGGATGGACCTGGCCTGCTAATGAATTCGATCTCGTGCATTTGCGGAATATGGCCGGAGCATTCAGCGATTGGGACCAGATATATTCCGAAGCATTCATTCATCTCAAACCCGGTGGGTGGATTGAAATTATGGATTTTGACGACCATGCAGCTTTCCTTACATTTTTCGAAAAAGATAGTCCCATGCCCGCCCTTCTCCACGCTTTAGGAGAAGCGGCTCGAATAGCTGGACGACCACGTGGAATTGCACATCTTCAGCCGGAAAAGTTGAAGAATTTGGGATTTGTAGATGTAGAAGTTAAGGAATTTGCGATTCCGATGGGTCCTTGGCCAGATGATAAAACGCAAAAGACGATAGGAAAATTATGGTTGGTGTCGATGTTGAGCGCATTGGAGGCGTATACGTTGCGTTTGTTAACGCAGGCTTTGGGGTGGGAGGAAGAAGAGGTTAGGAGGATATGTGTGTCTAGTGGAGAGGAAATGAGGAGGGTTAGTTTGGATGTTGAGAGGGCGAGAGGGTTGAAGACTGTGGCGAGGGTTTTGGTGGGGAGAAAACCGGGGTGGGAGGTGGATGCTGATGCTGATACTAATAGAGATGGAGAAACTGTGGTGACGGAAACTCGGACGATTAATGGTGATGGGGATATAAAGTTGAATGGTGAATAAATTCGCTCGCATGCATACTACTTCGTCTACTAGTGTAGTCGATAGTCGAAGAACTCATTTCATCTATCTATCTATACTTTACAGATCTGGGAGGCATCTTGTATTTGGGTCATGATTATAGTCTTCTCATTCCAGATGGCTTTATCTTTTTCAGCGAGCGGGCGGGTTAGCAAGCATGCAAGCGCGGCATTTTGATGTTAGAAAAGCATGTACTTCACTTCACTTCATGATTGGAAGACGGATCACGATTTTAAGAATAGGCTATGATGATGGGATGGGCGAAAATTGATAGGGGCGGGCTATTTATTAGCTTGGTGAGAACTGGATTGAAGGGAGAGAAGATGAGATGAATTTGATATAGCATTTTGAATTAATAATTAGGATTTAGGATTTACAATAGATACCCCGCAATAAGAATCACTGTTTGTATGTGGCTGGCTGGTTTGGTTGGTTGAATGGGTGTTGGTTCTTGGATGTGAACTTTTGGTGCTACAGCTAGTGTTTGCTTATGTCTTGTTTTTTGATGTTGTTGGTGTGTATATATAAATACCTGTGGTCCTCATCTAGGGGATGAGATCTTGCTGGTGGGTTCATATGTTATTGTGCTTAGTTTGTATGATGAGAGGCCCTCGGGACGCAAGTGTCGGATGGATGGGTGGATGTTTCTTCTTGTTTGTATAGATTCTATCTTATAAGCGTCAGCACTCTTATTTCTAATAACCTATCACACAATTAGGCGTGGAGTATTGGTCTTTTTCATTTGCGTTGGTTGTGGGACAGTTCTTGTTTGCCTAAAAGCTTGCATGATTTTGTTCTTACCTAGGTAGATATTTATCAGGGCTTTTCTCATCTAGTAGAGGTGTTCATTTTCTGATGTCTAAATATTTGCCTTCTTGGCGTTTGGATGGTACTCGTTGCAATGTCGCACGTATCCTCATCCAGTAATGTCGGGTGTTGATGACTTTGAACTAGGTAGTGAGTGTTCTTATTCTTTGTGTGAATTTTATTGTCTTGTTTAGATTCATTCGTATTTTGAACGCAAGCTCAATCATGAGTTGTGTGATTGAAGTTTTATTTTGAAACTCTTCTTATTCACCTGAATGTTGTTTGGTAGCGTGTTTCTTTTTTTGGGGGGGGCGTTATTCATCTTTCGTAACATCGATATCTTGTGCTGTTTTTTATTCTTTTTTCAATTTATTCACCAAGGTTGTCTTACCGAAAAAGATGGAGATCAAGTTGATTAGGTGATCGATATTCATCGACAATTATTATTGGTGGTTGGTTAGAACATGGGTAGTGACTTCATTTTTCGAGTCATAATGCAGTGCAGGTATGCATCGGGGCAGCGAGTAGTAAGTGATTGAACAGTGATGCGAGTGCAGTGATTCACCGAAAGCCTTGAGAGATTGGATATTTAAGAGATCTTCCCATCGTTTTGAGTCCAATTTTTCCTTCATTGCCACTACATGATCAATATAGCTACTTCAACCCAATTTTCGCCGTCATATATACAGCTTCGCTGTATAGCTTACCAGTGGAGAAGATTTGAGAAGATAGTTGGAAGAGAGGAAATGTGACTAAGACCCGATGAGAGAAATTTAGGCAATAGGATAGGCAACCATTTCATCGTCAAGCTGATCCATCGCTATCGCTGCCTCACACTCGGAAGATGTGATAAACGAACAACTTTACGAGATTCTGAGACATTATATATCAGTGAGATAATAATCGATGCGCAACTTCACGGGGTGATATATTATTTATATACACAACATATACCATTTCATAACCACACGATACTATTTACACTACGATTCACAAACCATAGCCCGCAAGCAACATCGAGAGTAGATGAGGATGTGTATTGAAACGCAATACAGATATACTGGCTGTGGCCATGCGGTACCGATGTCAACTTCCACTTCGAGACAAAGAGTGACTGGTGGGATGCTTTTTTGTAAAAGGAGTCTGAATAGAGAGAGTGATGGGACAGAGAGAGAAAACGAAAGTTCGAGAGACTTGGAGATGGAAAGACGAAGATGGTGGATGGAATGTGAGAGGAAGAGAGGACGAACGAGGTATAGAGGGGGAGTTTGTGGAGTTTGTTTTGGGGGCTTGTGGGTAAGGAGATGGGGTGGTGATGGGGAGGATGGTAGGGGAGGGAGGGAAATTAGTGGGTTTGGGAGGGATACGAAGAGGTTGGGGAGAAGCAGGGATGGGGGAGTCGAGTGGAGAGAGAGGAGATGTCAGTTGGTACGGACGGGAGAATCGAGATTAGGAATGGGAATTAGGAATTTGAGATCGAGGGAGCGGATCTAGATGGGAGGCAAATGTTGAGGGAGGTGCTAAATGGGGATTTGAATATCTATCCGGGTAGGGCAAGTGAGATGTGATGGAGTTAGAGAAGGAATGTAGACTCGAAGATCTCACTGAAGAAGGGAGGGTTTGGATATTGATGCGGATGTTTTGTCATGGAAATCGGATATAATGACTCTTGCAGACCGTCACGAGGACTTTGGAAACCTTGAGACACTGTTCAGGACCTTTCTTTTGTTTTTCTGCTGCTTTATTCTTCATCGTTGATATTTGATTCTCACAGGCGAGTTATCTTGATACCGGTGTTGCGTTTATGGCTAGCTAGCTATCTTTCTATACAGATTGATGGACGGGTGGTTAGATACATCAGGTGGTAGAGAAACTCTTCTACCTTTAACATGTTTTGTGCGCCGTGAGCTAAGATGATGATTAATGTTCAAATGCCTAGGCTGAGAGCAGGTAGATGCATTGTATCATCTCGAGGTGACATTACTGTGAAAGAAGATGATGTCGGGTTTATCGCGATTACCGTCACTCGCTGGATTGTGGTTTTCGGAAGTCATGTCGGAAAGCGGGGAGGGAGATGGTGTGGGATTTTTGTGTGGTGAGGTTTTCGCGCGGATGGTCTTCTGTAGCTGTGTGTGTGTGTAGAGTTTCTACTTTGGGGAAGAGGAGGATTGGAGATAATCTAGGTGTTATTGTGGTTTATGGGTCTGGCAAAACCCAGGAAGACCCTCGACCATTAACTTATAAAATTGGATTGGAAGGAGAAGAAATGGGAGAAGAGGGGATGAGAAGAGAAAAGTTAAAGACTTATTTTATATTAAATCCCCGCAAAAAAAAAGAAGGAAGAATCGGAAAGTGAAAACCCCTAAAGATTCATTACACGTTGGAGTTAGATCTCCACAGAAATCGAAGGAAGAAAAAAATAAGCTATGTTCATGTCATGTAGAGATCTCAAACACAGTCTCCAAGAGCAAATTAAATAAATAAATAAAATTAAGGAGATGTTGAGCAAAAAATTCGAGATATCAAAGTATCTGATTATTGGGTGTCACATTTGAAAGAAGTGAGATTCCTAGTTGCAAGGTAGATGGTTAAGTTAATAGCCGAATTTATAAAAAAAAATACTTTAATAGGGATAAAGGATTGGTTTGGGGGTATGTGGTTGGGATTTGGAGGAACTTGATTGGGACAGGGTTGGGAATATAAGGATTACTACGAAGTTGTATGGGTAGGAAGGAGGTGTTTGGAAGGCAATAAGTCTACTTTTGGCTTTTGATACGCAGGATAGGGTTGATTCGTTGCTGTCACCAGCTAGATTTGCGAGATATATTTGTTGATGGATTGCTCACTCTACTTGATGAGATTCATGTTCAGAGTTCAATAAGTCCTTAAATATGTCTACTTGTATGATAACTTAGACGAAGAAATGCGAAACTTTTCTCGTATAATCAATCGCTGGGTCATTGAACTTGCTGGAGGCTACGATGCCGTAATGAAAAATTTCAACATCGAAAAATCATGCAGAACTTCGGTCGTTCGTCATTGATGCTCTGGAGATGGCCAATATCTGATGTTTTGAATTCAAGGGTATAGTTACCTGTTGAAATTACTGGCCGTAGCCAAACAACTAAGTGACCTCTCGCCAGACTTTTGTACGGCACTTAAGTGATTATATCTAATGCGCCTACCGATTTTCAAGGCCGTATACAGCTTGCAAAGTCTTTATCAGGTTCATAGTTTCACTAGAAGAAGTTCTTTATCCTTATTAATCTTCTAACTTCTACATCAAATCTTGTTTGTAAAATCTCACCGAGCCAAAAATCAACTTCATCACACTCGAAATATCGACAGTTCATCAAAAAGTCAATCAACTGCAATCGAAGACTCATCTCATCAACCAGACAACATGTCCACCACAATCTTCCCATCACTCCTCCATAGTATCGAAAACTTCATCGCCTACCTCTTCACACCCTTCAACACCCATCTTTCATCCTCCGCACAACAATTCCTCATCATCTCCTCCGCCTGCTTCACAGGCATCATGATTTTCTCTTTCCTAAACAAGGCTGTCAACACTTTCGGCGCTCTGCTCACACATATAACTATTCATCCCGAAACACTTCTCAACCAAGCGATTGGAGAATTCGAAGCTATCCCCACATCCGCCGAGACGTTTCTTAGTCAAGCATTTTGCAAATACGAAGCAGTGCGGAACTATAATACCATCAAAAACGAGAAAGATACGCAGGATTGTAAGACAGTTTTGAGAAATAAAAAGGCACTTTGGCAACCAACAGCTGGACAGAAAAAGTACATACTCATGGCTTTGTATGGGATGTTCCTGACATGCTATTTTGCATATGTGATTGTGGAGTTTGAGGGCTGGGTGAGGGAGGGAATTCTTGTACTTTCGGGGTTAAGTTTGGTTAATGTGGGAGTTTTGAGTTTGTTAGGGGGAGCGAGAGGAGGGGGGTTAGTAATGTTAGGATTTTTTTGGAGTCTTTTGTTGGTGATGGGGAGGAGACTTGTGTACTGACTGAGATAGGGGTCGAAAGTAGAGGTCTTTTTGTGATTGCTTGGGGACAGGGACTAGGAATAGGAATAGGAATGTTGGGTGCCTTGTCTTCAGATGAAATACGTTTGATGGCAAATATCAACGTCGAAGTGTTCTTATTGATTTGGGAGTTCTCGTGGGTTTGATGTAGAGGGGTGTTGGTTTTAGGGTTGCTTTGCAGGATTGGGTTGTCTTTACCAGGAGAAACCTTCTTTTGAACACAACAGGAATTTGATAAATGTCCTAGTTTATACTTCTAGTATTTTGGGCAAACAGAATGGCGGGGATGGACATCATTCTGAGCAGTGGAAGTGCTTCGAGATCTTTCAACAAAGCTAGCTTCAAATAACTGATTGTCAACCTAGACCATCAATTAAAGAACAATTAAACATTGAAATATCATGAACTGAAGTGCAGATCTGCGAACCTTCGATGTGTAGAGAATGAGCATGAAATGCCAGAATGACTGTACCAAAATCTGGTGCTTTGCGAATATGTGAATGTGTGAATGTAAGACAGACAACGAGCCCTCTAACCATTTCCTTAATCAACTTGTCAAGATATTCTCCATGAACATAGGTAGTTCCTCTCAGTACCCTCATTTCTAAGGAGAAAATTCCAGGTGCCTACTCAGACACATAGAGTTATTTCAATATAAATCCAATTCACCCAACCCTGAACAAATACCAAGGACATAACAACAGATAAGGGTTCCCATCTTCAGTTTCTAGAGCACTCGAGCCACCTGGCCGACTTGTCTGATCAACCACAGGTACTTGACAGTTCAGACGGCCGGCCTTCCATCTATTAGTTACAAACCTTTGCAGAGTGTGCGCAAGGCAAGCTTGGTTATTTGGGATCAATGAAGTTGGTGTGCACCCTTGGCGCGGTGCACCATACTAAGATTTTGCTTTGTGTGATTTTTGATTGTTTATCTTCTTTTCTGCAATGATTTTACTTTTGTGGAGTTTTCTGTGGGTAGGTGGGAAGATTGGGAAATTCACCATGAGGAATTGATGGAGAGTTGGTTTTGAGATTCTTGATAGTTGTTGTTGAATTTATGTTTCTATTTATACCAATCGCCTCTAGTAATCATTGAGGTGCAAGTCTATTGACTTCTGATGATAGTCACATGGCTGGCTAGCTTTTTTATGGCTGATTCGCTAATCCCACCCTAAGATCAATACACCAGTACACCTATGACTCCATCTTCAACAAGAAGAATCTCAAAAACAAATCGTACGAATACCTCATCCCATTTCCACTGAGCAGTAGTATTGGACTTCCAATAAACTTCACTCAGTCAAACTTCACTACTAAGTGGATTTTATACAAGATTGAGATATAGTTGATGCTGACCATAATTTTCAAGCTCTCAAACTATCAAGATGCAGGACTATAGCAAACACAAAGATTTCGAAACGAAAACTGATAGAACTAAACATCCAAACTCACAGAAATTTCCCTGCCCCCTCCCACTTTATGTAAGCATTTATGTTATCATTGTCTATCATATACACATCATCTCCCATCTTCTATCTATGTTGTCTAGAACGTCTATAAAAGAGTAGATCAGTGGTCAATCCCGATCTTCCGAATTTGACATACAGGGGGTTCCTAGATTTGTTGATCTACCATAAACCCCTCGATTTCGTTATCTGGGCTGTGGATCTTCGGTGATGACTCAATACATGGATAGTGGAAGAAATACTTGATGTAGGTGTCTTTGAAAGAATCAATGGCTTGCTGTTAGAATTTCTTTCTGAGCACTTGCTTTAGTATTTGTTCAGAGGATTTGTGTCCTTCTGTGTCCATTACGTATATACTCACTGGCAGGCTCTTCGATCATTGAGTCATTGACTGTCTCTTATTGAATCCCACCCACGTAACATCACAGTACAATCTACATTGTCTCGTGAGTTTTCCATCGAAACGTGATAGTGAGATACTAACAATTTCAGATTATTCAACGGGGTGGCAAGGAGCGACAACACCGTAAACCTCCGAATCTCTCCCCAAGAAATTGCCGAGAATGAAAGGGGTGCAATGACCACATCAACTTCCTCCTCCTCCACCGAGGAACTCAAATTCTACACCCACCGCCAAGAAACCATCTCTGGAACTCTAATCCCAAGCCTCTACGAACATCTTCCATACAGTAATCCCATATACAGTCGGATGCTCGCTCCCCATAACACACCTTCCAGACACTGTCTCTTCGCCGCCACCTTTCCTCCCCACGCTCCAATTCCCGAATTCTACACCATCATCTTCTCCGATCGATCCCGCAAAAACGAATCTCAGATCTGGGTCTTCAATCCTCTGATCATGCCTTCCTATGAACAACCTCTCTCCAATGAACATGCATCTCTTCTCTCCACACACCTTAAACTCGCCCTTGTGTTTCTAAAGAATACCGAAATCCCCCAAGCTCCCGGATTCCCTTTCGACCCCATCCTCAAATTCGCATGTTTACATGAAGTCATCACAAATTCTCTAACACATCTCTCATCCCAAACATCAACACCAACACCAACATCTGCCCCCTAATCCCTTACCACACCCGCTGGAACCTCTATCTCATCCACACAGCGCGCTCTTCCAATCTCCCACCCCCGCAACCCCCAGCCTCCCTCACCACCTCCCGCGTCCCAGCCTCCCACCTCAACCTCGTAATCTCCACCTCCACCGTCCCCCGCGAACCCTCCACCCTCCTCGCCCAACCCTCTCTCTGTCTCCTCACCCCCGAGTCCGAAATGGTAGCATGGGCTTTCATAGGAATTGACGGCACCCTGGCAACTCTCTACGTACTTCCTTCTCACCGGGGTCTGGGTCTCGCTACTTATGTTGCCCGGGAACTCATTCGTCGTTTCGGGCTGGGGGAATTTGCGGATTTGGGGTTTAATGGGTCAAGTGGCTTTGTACATTCGGATGTCAAGGAAGGGAATAAAGGAAGTGAGGGGGTGATGAGGGCGTTGGGGGGAAAGAGGAGTTGGGAAAGTAGTTATCTTTGGGTTGATTGCGCGGTGGTGGATGAGGCTTGTGGATGATCTATGGATAGGTGAATAGAATTTTGGTCTGTTGGAGGGGTATCTGATTTTAGTTGATCAGGTCTGAAGGTGGTCAAGAGATCACATAAAAGAATTAAAGTATAAAATTAACGGAATCCTTTCATTATACGAGAAAATTCAGTTATTGTGTGGTTCATATTATTGATCTCTAGCTCTGTCAAGCTCAACTTGCTTGCGAATATATACTTGACATTCAAATTTCCTCTCCCATCAAATCATCAACAAATCTCATAGATCATGCATATCATTAAACGTCACATCCCTCTGCCCATTCAAGCCGAAAATGATTCCCAGCCAAGACAGTATATGCAAACATCCCTAGTAGAAACACAATGCCGCCTACATTATATACTGTCATTAAACCCCAGCAATCCCATCCTCCAAGACCCTCACGTATGGGGCAGGAAACAATCCCTTGGCGCCCATATAGCATCCCCAAAACCAATCTCCATTGACATCCTTACACTCCTTTACCTCTGCCCCCTTTGGAAACATTAATTCATCGCTAGCACCTTCCGCAGGCCACCAACTCCAAATTGCTAAACTTGACATCCCGATTCCGCCATCAGGTGGGAACGATCTTTCAATCGTTAGCCCAGGGACTGATGTCGGCGCAACTTTCGATGGATCCGTGGTGACGAGTCGAACAAAAGTATCATTATCTTGACCCCAGCTCCATTTCTGTAGCTCGGGTGCAGTATGATCAGCTGAGGGGTAAAGCATAGGTTCGATATCAAGACTGTGACCTCCAACCAGATCCTGAACTATTACTCTACGTTGGCCCCCACGGTCATCTTCAAACCCTACGATGACCATACGGTGACCTTGTAAACAACGTCGCCACCCATTGTGACCGTTTTCGACACTGATGCGACGAGATGTGACGAGTTTGGGGTAGCAGGTTGTGCAAATATCGTAATCTCCAGGTTGAGTGTCTGGGACAGCGCTAGTACATGAGTAGCAATGATAGCGAGTGGATGAGGGTTGGATGGGATATCGACAGATATCACAGTTGGTCGAGAAAGTGAGAGGTTTAAAATTACCCACGTCTACAACGCCGGGTCCTTGTAGAATAGTTGCTGATTGTGGAAGCTGTTGATCATGCATCGGAGATAAGGGCGGTGTGTATGATTCCGATGGTTTATAGGTCAGCGGTAGAAGAGAATGTGTACATGATCTACCTTGGTTGACGCAGAGATTGCAAAATCCCCAATCACCATGATTGCAAATATCGCAACGCCAGTAACATTCGTTTGTCCATGCTAAGCAACTTGCACAGAATGCACCGCTTTGCAGACGTTTCTGAGGATCTTCTGTAGTTAGAGTTTTACGACCGTCCGCGCCGCCAGCAGCCATTTTAGGTGCCAGGTAGCGATTCGCTGTGAGCATATGTGGCCTATCTGCACCTTGCGGTATTTTTCCGGCTTGCATTTGATTTTCCCAATTTGTCCATGCTGAATAGCCAAATCCAAACCAATGTAGACATCCTGCACCGGAACGATAGCATGAGAGACAGATATTGTAATTGCCACGCAAGCAAGTAGAGCAATTATAATGCACTTCATATTCAATATGAGTTTTTTGACATCTTCTACATAATATTGATGGTTCGGGATAAAGCTGTGTTCGTGGTCTAGATCCTACAGAATGAGAAGAACTTGGTCTGCTACCACTTGCTAGTGCAGCAGTTTTATCGAAGAGTGCTAGATGAGTAGGAGTGTGTGGTGAAAGCGGTGCAGGAATCAGTGATTCATCCATGTACGGAACAGATGCGGGAACAGCAGAGGCCACGAAGATATCGGCTGGGGCATTAGCACGAATGCTCAATGGAGCAGGTATATCAGGTATATCAGGTAGTTCAGGCATGTCGTCCGAATGAGATCTTTCTAGCAAGCTGTTGCTTGATGTTCTCGGTGTCGATTCTGAGGGAGAAGCAACGACTGTACTATTAGATGTTCTTGTAGTGGAGCCTGTTTGTGGTTGTGGTTCCCTACTTGTTGATGATTCACTCAATCGTCGCACATTGGAGTCAGTGCTCCTCCTCGCATGGGCCCTAAAAGGTTGTGATGTTTGCACAGAAGGGGTCCGAGGTATAGTGCTCAAATCCGTCTGCGACCGAGCGGCAGGTCTTGTTTCGGGCCTAATTACCGGCACAGGCGCTGTTGAGCTTCGTGGTGTGCTTAAGGTTCTCTGTCGTCGCCGTCCTCCAGAATTAAGACCAACATCTAGGTGGCTTGCGTGTACGGCACTTATAGACGGCGGTGGCCTGCTTTGTTCGTTACTTAAACTACCCGATCTTGGAGAGGATGACTGATTTCTGCGTCGTCTAGTAGTTCTGGGAGCATCATCACCAGAGGTTTCTCTTCCAGAATCCGTGAGCGAAGCTCGAGGAGACCGTCTTCGTCTGTCCACCGTATCACTCTCGCTTCTTCTAGATAAATCGGGTCTCGATCTCTCTTCTTGTCGCCGCCTGAAAGCTTCTGCTATTCTCTCACTAATCTGATCCTCCTGATTAACGTCGATATTCTCAAGGTCAATTCCGTCCAGTAATCCTTCCTCCCTAATTTGTCGTAGAATCTCTTCTTCCATCTCTCTAGAATCTATGTCAGAAGAGCTAATTAGTGACCGTAAAGACGATTGATGTTCGATCTGTCGTGCCGCTGACCGGCTAGTTTCTTCATGTCTCCTTATTGATTCAGTCTCACTATATCCCCGTCGTCGGCCTTCAGAGTCGCTGCGGTCGGGCTCTGGCCTCAACGCAGAGGTTCCTTGTCGAGCTCTTCTCCTTTCATGGTGCTCTTCCCTTCGCCGCCGTCGATCGGTGTCATCTGTATTCCTATTATCCCTACTATGATCACGACTCGAATGATGTCTCGAACTATGCGATCTTTCTCCATCTCGTTCTCGTCTCCTTCTTTCCCTCCTTGCCTCTGAGCTCTCTACCCCCACTTCTCTCAAACTTAAATCTCTTACTTCATCCATCAACCTTCGATCCTCATCCTCCAGGCGTCTCTCCCTCGAACTTCTGTCTCTCTGCTCCCATTTCGGTAACACTTCATCCCCAGCTTTGTATTTCGCAGCAACTTCTTCCTTCTCTTCAGTTGTTCTAGCTTTCTCTGGACTCCGCGCCAAGAACATCTCTAGCAACGTCGCTATTGTAGAACTGTGCTTCGTATCTCGAACTGGTGCGCGACATGATGGACATGTATATGGCGTACCACCGGGTGGAATGGGTGTTTGTGCATTATTTACGGAGACTAGTTGCCAGGAAAACCATTCTTTAAGACAAGAGGCGCAGAAGGTATGCAAACAGTCGAGTAATGTTAACGGTTGATACAAAACCTCTGTGCAAATCTATGACCAGTTAAAATTAATACTCTATTCCTCGAGATGCAACTGCGGCTTCAAGCCCAGCCCTATAGAGTTTTGCGGGGTAAGGTCTGTTTTTAGGATTTGGTAACTTTAATAATTCTCGACTTACAGAACATGTCAACTCCTTCTCAAGGTTGAGACCTCGATTTTCGGAGCCAGAATCCATGATTCTTCCTACGAAGATATGTAGGATGAGGATGAAAGTGGAGTTGCAGAGGAGAATAGGTCATGATTGCGCTGGGCAATGAAGAAAAATGGATTGCTCTGTGGCGCGATACGACACGATGTGATTGAGAGCACGGGATTTGTACCGCTAAGGAAACAAAATGACAAATTTCCTTGGATTCAATCTTTAAACCTTGTTATTATATTTATATGATTTCTTTTTCTTCATACGATCCTAATCAAATGACTCGACTTTATCATAACTTGCAAGGCGTATATTTGCTTTGGATTCCTGGTGTTGTTCATTTACACACATTTCGTGACTTTTGGAGTTTTCAAATCGGGATATCTCAGCTCGTATTCGCCGATTCTTGAACCTCACCACTCATATCAAGACCCAAGTATGAGTACAGTTTGTATGTATTGAGCGTCGATGTCAGTTCATCGTTCCCACTATGAACAGAGAATATACAGCTGGGTACTAGGAAAAGAATGAACAATCCCCATTGACGAGCTGAGATGTATGCAACCTGTCAAACACCTTATAATCATCACCGCAAAGGCTTGGAGAAGTACATGCTATGCCTACTGGCCATTGAATGATACAGAGTCCCGAGATTTCCATGAATTTTCTTCTTTCAAATATGAGGTGGCTCTTGGTGGTGGTATCTTTACATCCATACTTCGGATAGAGCAATAGGTATTCTAGATCTTCTTTCATTTGAAACTGCTCGATCCCTTTTCGTAGAGTAGAGAAATACTTTCGAACAACAATTTCCAAGTATTTCATACAAATCTGCTTCATCGAAGCTACAATGTGCAACAAGGCTGTGTACGATTGAGGCTCAGCTGCTGTGCTGTGTGACGGGCCGCATAGATATTCAATGTTTCCCCTCAAGTGTTGGAAGAAGATTTACTTCTATTGCTATATTCCTGACACGAACGATCAAAACAAAATGTTACCCGCTATATCACTCCAAACCTCCCCAAACCAGCAGAAAGATACCAGTGGTTCACCAGTTGTATCGGGTCCTCGGGAACTCCCCTCTATGCCGCCCTCATCCACAAGTGTGCAGTGTCAACCCTAAGTTCCGACCCAATTTCCAATGGGACAACCAGCCCCGCAAGCACAGCAGTCAGCTGCAATTAGCAATCAATTCACTCGAGCTGGCTATTTTAATCACATCAACCTCTTCGCACTTGCTTTCCCTTCTTGGATGAACAGTCTTTTGAAAAGATTCGTCAAGCATCTTATAACTTGGGATAAAGCAACAGTCATTGCTGCAGTTGCCATTGTGTTGGTACTGTTATATCTTATCTCGCGTTGAAGTTAGCTATTTGGACTGCGACCAAGGACTATATCGAACATTGTCAAGGAGAACAGGTGTGTTTTTCTCAAACCAGGTGGGCCAATTCATGTTACTGTCAATTACTGACTTGGAATCGAGTTAAATCCAACTCAAGAAGCAAGTGTACAATGTCGAAAGGCGGCCACCCAAGGGCTACCTCTGCCTCCCTTCTACCGATATGAAGACGGTACTATATTGCGTCGAACTTGGACTGGGACAATCATTGGAGCCACCGGGTCGAGAACGCAAAATGATTGTTACATTTGTGGGTATGCACTTATAGCATCTACGATGTTTTATGCGGCATGGAATGCGAAACATTTAAAACTTCTGAGAATCCTAAGAGAGTCGTTTATGCCTGCACAATATGACGTTGAGCGACAGCCTCAAGACCTCGGCCATTGCACTAAAGATACATGTTTGATGGACTTGGCTGGAAAGCATGCTTCCGCTGCGCTCCCCCGAAGAAATTCAGGTTCAAGATCAGTTACAGTCACTACCACCAGTCAAGATAATATGGAATCGCGCAAGCTGCGCCAAAGAACGATAAGGACCACAAAGAAAAACGAGTTACCCACTGGAAAGTTATCAAATGAGGTATATATAGAGCAACAGCCTAAAAGAAAGCTAATAGGACCGGTAGTGAAGCAAGAGCAGGATGTCAGAATAGAGCAGTTGGCGCTCGAGGACTCGAAGTTTCTCGGAAGCACATGAAAAATTGAAACAAATTTATAAAGGAATCGACTAGAAGCAAAAGGTAGAGATGCAAGGGAGAAAATCACAAAGTAGAATGATTATGGATTCTCATCTTTCAGAACCATTTTATAAGATGAGTTTCCTATGTTTGATCAATATATTAATGACTTTCGCACTTTTCTCTTAGAGTTATTTGCAATCGGAGGCCCTCGAGATCATCGAATAGTTGACAGGCGGGTTTATGACTCAGTGCAAACATACCTCATACCAACGATTTTATTGATTTTATGATTCACTAGCATTGTATACATGAACTATTTAATGATTCGACGAAAACAAATATCTGAGACCATCCATCGTGGATACTAACATAAACAACGATTTCACCACTGCGCAAGAGCATTCACATTGGAGTCAACGCCCCCCTCATGAATCACATACATAGATCATGACGCAGCTATATTAACTTTCATCGCCTTTCTTGCCATCCCATTTTCCATTTCAACATCAAAAATACCAATACTACACAGAACATTGAAATTATATCATCATCATCATCGTACATAATCATGACTACCTACGAGGCCGTGCCCAATACAGATGGCCAAATTCTTGTACCCGTCAGGAAGAAGCAACCAGTTCTGCCTCAACCTAATATTCCTGGCACTGTACCTCCATCGCAAGGACCACCAGGCAAGAGAGTACCTATCCGAAGATCTGGAGCTCGACCACGACCACAATCACCGCTGTTTCATAGACCTGTTTACAGGTCCAGAATTCGGAGACCGGAAGCCTTGCGATTAGAACAAAGCCAAACCTCAAAATATCACTCTAACAAAAGACTCGAAGCCCGAAAGTTAGTTAGTAGAAGAGTTGGAGCTATTAATTCTTCCACCCGCTATTTGCAAAATCCAAACACCGGTACCTTGGGCTCCCATGCCTCGAATCAGGGTATCATAGCTAATCGTTCAAAGTTTTTGAGACCGAAGGAGAATTCCTTGATCAAAGCAAAGCATGAGCATGCTAATATAATGAGTCTCTCATATATCATGGAGCAGCAGCCCAGTGCGCAAGAGGTTCCGTCTGCTTCCGACGAAATAGAGGAGAGAGTCATCAAGCCGACTGCATCTTCCCAGAGTGGAGAAGAATACGAATCTGAAGACGAGCTTCAGGAAGAAATGCCACTCCTGATTAGGAATAATTCATATAGTCGCGACATCCCTAACATCTCAAATTCTCGTCATCATAACCTCAATCAAACCAACGTTGCCGCTCTGCAAGATTCTTTACTCAATAAACCCGTGAAACTCGAGGACATTGAACGAGCTGTCAGAAGTGTTGAATGCGGTAGTGACACAGGAACATCAGGTATAATACAATTCAGAGCGGGACGCAAATTACCACCAATCAAAGGAAGAGGCGCAGGTTATTCTCAGTATCGTCTAAACTACATGTCTTCATCACCATTGATTTTGCCTCGGTCTATTCCAAGGACTCCAGCATCGCACGATCTCAGTACATTGGAACATACGGCTATAACTACACTCGCCAGTCTCAATCGCTTTTTCGACTCGAAGAAGTTGTATACATGTGCCACCACTTCAGCCCCAAATCCAGATTCACCAGCGCCAACCAACGAGAGTGATCAAACTCACAGTCACAGTCTGAAACGTTCACCATCTCGTATCTCCAACCTTATCCCCGCAGAGATTCACCAGTCTACGTCACCTACTTCACCAGAGATGACTGAGCTCGATCCATCGAAAAAGAGAATACGCATAAGCTCTATTCTTAATCCGACGTCTACCCCTTCAGTTTCCACTTCACCAACTCCCCGGAATCAAACCACAGGCCCACTCCGTAGCGACACTCCACTCACTCACGATTCAATTAAGCTCGCTAGCGATTTTGAGAATGATACCTTGATGCTATCTCTGCCTTCTGACGCCTATCCATCTCCTCCTAAATCGGCATCATTGTCATCATCAATTCCCCTCACAACTAGCCCACGCCCTCTCGTTCCCCGAGATACAAGTCCAAGCATCTTGCTCCCCAAGAAACTCACCGATCCACAATCTCACCTTGACCCATCCAGCGACCGTGCCTACAGATCTCCTGCGCCTTCACCATCATCGCTCCCTCAATCTAGAGATTATACTCCAGCTCTTACTGGGACAGCTCCGAGGTCTCTAGTTCCAATGATTACTGACATTAGGAACCCAAACCCAACCCCACAATCTCAACTCCTTTTCTTTGGTCATCAAGCCTACTCACCTCTACCCGCACGAGCCTCACCTGTCGCTCGCTCATCTTCACCTCCACTTTCATCACCATCTACCAAACCCGATTCAAGATCACTCCCACGCAAAAACTTCGCCTACAGAGCATGGAAAATGCGTCCTTCTCGCTCTATACTCACTGGTCTCTCTGGCTCAAGTCCCCCGCAGTACTTAGTCGTAATCCGCAATGACGATCGTTCAAAGACCATTCCAAGTTCTGGTGCCTCGGATGAAAATGGTAATATGGGTAAATGGTGGAGTGTACTTCCTGGAAAAGAGGGTTTGGACAATATTAGGAAGATTTTCGAAGAAAGATGAATGAATGTATGTATGAATTGGGAACGTGGGTGACAACCCGTGGAAGAAATATCTCGCCAATATCTAAAGAGTGCAAGGGACTCACAGGATTGGCGGATGATATTATCTACATTGTGACTTATTAACGAAATGGAAAAAGGATTTACAGGCGCTTAAGGGGGCAAGGGATTCGGGACTCGGTGGTTTTCATCATCCGCATATGGAATTCGATCGCGTGTAGTTTTGCGATCGCATGTTTCACTACGTAGTACATGAAGTAGTCTAATAAGAATCAGCATAATACCATAAAATCGATATCAATTTGCCATCTACCAATGCTGTATCATATTCAGCAAACATGAAATTTTGGTTGAATAGTGAAGATACTCAGGTAGCTCATACTAGTTCTTCATCTAAAGTACTAACTCATGCAAAAGGTTCAGGAACAATTGTAGCAGTCAAGCGTCATTAAACTCCCCGGCCCTCTTCTTCGATTGATCTGCATGACATTCCGGTGGTTTTTATTCGATTACTTATTGCTAAAATGGTCTATACTCATCCTCCAGATAAATTTGAGCATTCGTGCGAAATGCCCAGCTCAAGTGTTCTTTTTGAAGCATTTCACTCATGAGTTTTGCCTTGGAATGATAATAATGAATCATCTTGCCTTTTCTGTAGTTGATAGTCGTTCATAGCAATGCAATGCTATACTAAGCTTTGCTATGGTATATAGCATATCTGCGCGAGATACAAAGGGGTATTATATAGTACATTTAAAAGTACAGTTTTCAATGAAGTAGATTCCACTACACCATACTTTTCTGCAGATGGCCAAGTGTTTTTATATCGTCCATGCCATGCTGATCTTCAACCTTGAGCTACCCTTGTCGTTTCTACATTCAATCTCATGTTCCCAATTCCGTAGCGGGCACCGTTGGAACATCTGGCTGTTCTTCCTTCTTATTTTCCATATCAACGTCCTCATTTTCCGTTGGTGGTAATTTCGCTGCCTCATTTCCCTCTTCAGTTTTCTGTTCCCCACCTTCCAGCGCATCTTCATCGCCAGGGGCGACAAGATCTTCGGGTTTGACATCATCCTTGAAGATTTCGTCAATGCTGTCCGATTTCTCGATTTTGTCAAAAGCAGCAAGTTTGCTTGCACCAGCGATTCGGAGTGCTCTCCAACATTTGCTTGCTTTAGCTTCTATAGCCACATTTTTTGATTCTTCGTCCCGAGCCATATCGATATCCATATCGTCCAGCTCGATTTTATTCTTGAAACTCTTGATGGAAGGAACTTGGTAACGTTCTGGTTTCTTCAACCTCTCCAAGCCACCCTGTAAGTCGCTTTCCGCAAGAAATTTGAGATCTAAAGATCCTAGAGGATTAGGGCGTAATCGTTTATTAGTTGTCGCTTTGCGAGCCGACGCTTTAGCGGTAATATAATCGTGAGGTGAAACAGCTGGTCTAGCAATAGAAGGGCAATTTTCGACCTTCCAACGAACCCAGTTTTTATCTCTGGACAGAACCGTCTCAACCATACGGTAAAAAAAGGCACCATCCGCGCCTTTCTTCAGATATTCTGCAATCGATTTTTTCATATCTAATGACCACTTTGTCTATAGATTGTCAGCTAATACCCAATAAAAGACGCGTCCATAAGACGGGTTACTTACATCCTCTTCACTAAGCGTCTGGTCTGCATAAGTAACCGATCTATTGAGATTATCCGGTAAAGCTTTTGAAAGCTTCTCTTTCGCCTTGCTGCTCAATGAAAGAAGGAAATCCATTATTATCAGAATTTGAACAAGTATATGCCTTCTAAATGACAAATCACTAATCTAGCAATGTTGAGTTAGCATCGTGATAGAATTTGTGGGTGTTAAAAGATAGCATACCTCTAGTTCAAATAAGTCCCTACTTGTGAGATATTTAGGATTGAAGGAATTAGCTAGGTCGTCGTCTCCTTGACTGCGCTTTCTTTTTGTTCCCCTCTTACTATCCTCTGCTACCCTTGCTGCCGGACGCCCTGCAGTCTCATGGTGTACCGACTTGAAAGTTGCTATTGTAGCTTCCAGACCCTTTTTGAACTCGGCAAAATTATCTGAATTGAACAATCTTTTCGGTTGGCTGAAGCTCTGCTGTAACGACCAGAATATCGGGTATAACTCATCGGGCTTCATCGGCGGTTCACGTTTTGATGATGCTACGTCCTTGCCTGAACCATTGGTATCCTCAGAACCCCTCGCCGTGCTTGTTCGTCCATTTGATGCTGCCTTGGAGGTTGGTGGAGTTTCTTTTGTGTTGCTATCCGAATCCACTTCCATCTTCTCAACATCCGTTGGAATGGACGGTAGGGTGTCGAAAGATGTAACATTTTCGACATGAAATTCACCGCGTAGATTCACAGAACTCTTGTCGCCAAGGGGAAAGCTTTGAAACATGAAAATGAAAACGCGACCGCAGAATGCGGTATCCTCTGCTCTGGAAAGTCGCCGCAGAAGCTCGTTGCAGCTTCTCAAGATAACTAAGTTCTTTTGGTTGAAATGCTTTGCAGTAATTTTTTCACGTCGTGACTCAAGATAATCGAATATTCTCCGACATCCCGCAATAGTCTGGCTATCCAGTAATTCTTCAACGAGCCAAAAGAGAAGGGCAGGTTCGCATTGTTCATCGTCAGACAAAATGGAGATAATATCGAGGAGGTTCCATAACCTGGAAGAGGAAGAAGTCTCAATGGATATAGAGGCCTATGGGTCGTCAGAGGGTATCTACGACTCGTACTGGTGCATGGCTTACCAGTAAATTGTTGAAAGTATCTCGAACAGCGGTTTCGATGATCGCATACTGACTGCGCTTCTTAGTTTCTATTGGTGCCGCTCCGTTGAATATCTGTTCGATTCGCTCGTATGTGTTCGCAAGCTCCGTTTTACTCAATGGCGACTCTATCGTGTGTGTTTCTTTGACATGTTCAGCCCGCTGAAGCATTTCCAACAACAATTGCGCAAAAGATTCCACAACGGGAAGACCGTGTCCCTCCATACTGACAGCCATGTTGTGTTTCAACTTCAATTCGAAAAATCCTTTCGTACTGGCGCCGACGAAAAGATGTGATTTGAAAGGTTCCAAGGTTGGCGGTAAAATTAATTGTTGCGAGAAGTGAAGGTTATCGCGACGTCAATCTAGATACGGCGAATTTCTGCTTAGTCATCGCGCGTAAGAGCACTGGTGCACCAAGCTTCCAAAAATTATCAGGACGATAAGATGTTTACACGCGACCGACGCGCGCAATACGAATTGCCAGTCAATACCACGGATAACAACAATGGCCCCGAGGACGAAAGGAAGAGGCCAGGGAAAGGCTGTTGAAGAAACTATGGGAGTGCCTTCTGCGGAGGAAACACAGGACGAAAGCTCATTTTCGCAACTTGCCGCAAAATATTGGTTGAAACCTTCGAAGAAAGCCTCGAAGGTTAAGGTCAAGCCTGATGTTATCAAGAAAGAAATCTGGGATGTTTTAGAGCAGGAAGACTTTCCTTATAGATCTCTTTTGACGCTAGAAAATCTTCATATTCTTGAGAAGTACATTTATCCATCCAAACACTTAACGTAGGAACTATTACTGACAACAATGCTAGTTATCTTTGGCCGGGTTATTCAGAAGATGCTTCCAACTTTCATATACTTCTCATAGTTCTCATCGTCAACGTAAGGACTAGAGAACATCTGCCAACTTGGGGTAAGTAATATTAAGGAAGCTTCAGTTCGTCATGCTGATGAACATAGATATCTTTGCGGACAATACACCTGATTTCTCAACCCTCTTCCGCCGAATCTTGTCTATGACATTGGATACTACCCTCTCTGCGACGATTCGGACGCACCTGTTGTCATTCATAATAAGCGCATTCCAGTCACTAGACAATGGCATAGTTCGGAAAGAATGCGCACCTTTAGTCTCAATATCCATTTGGCACAACATCTCAACAGAGAAGAAAAGAGAAAAGATACTCGATCATACTGTACAACTAAAGAAAGCTTGGAGGGCTGCTGGAAAACGATATGATGCTTCTGATGAATCTACGAAAGCTAGACTTAGGTTCGAGCGATCTTGGCTCTTGACTCTAATTTTGGATTTTTTCAATCAGCTTTACGGAGATAAAATAAAGACAGGTTTGTTGAAGCCCTTGCTAACACTATGATCTTTTCCTTTTGGCTAATACACGAAACAGAAAATGTACAGTATTGCGAAAGGTTTATAGAGTTTTTATCGGATCTTCAGAGCCAATTGCCAACCAGGAGATACGTGAACACACTTCTACAAGATCTTCACGTTCTTCCAACTATCAGACTATCCCCAGCATTCAATGAAGAGGAGAATGGGCTTCTACGAGATCTATATGCGCTTTTGAAGCATTATACATATTTTGCAATTAATGATCATACAGGCGTTCAACATAGCCGCACGGAAGCATATGAACGCCATTGTGCAACACTAGCGTCCCTGCAAAGAATTGCACTCAAGCATTTCAAGGAAAAGCTGACTATTCTTGCCTTGTCCAACTATTCGTCTATTGATAAGCGGGTGGAGCTTGAGGGTCATTTAGAATCCCTCACAGACGCCGAGATGACAGAGCTTTGCGAGCTTCTTGATCTACGGACGTCTTATCCGTCGTCTACCAAGGTTGTAGTAGACCGTAAATTTCTCTTGGAAATTCTTTTATCAACACATGAAAAGCGCAAGACATTTCAGGAAACTGCGCGTGACTTGAGCATTCTTCCAACAGAAAGTACTCTTTTCGAAAGAACCCTGCTCAGGAATGATGGATTTGATGGATCACAGCCTCTCGCTATCCCAAAGCTGAACCTGCAATATCTAACTGTTGGAGATTTTCTGTGGCGGTCATTTATCTTGCATCGATGCGAGTCGTTCTATGAGATCAGACGAGATGTAGAGGACACAATAAAGCGTCTCCGACCAGTCGCCGGTAGGACAGGACAGACAAGTTTTGAAGGATTTTCCAGGATGGCACTTCCAATAGCAAAACCTTCGTAAGTTTTAGCATCATTATCTTATTTCGATCCATTCTAATCGATTTGTAGCATTCTTGAAGTAGTACCTCCTCTAGTAGGAGATGATAAACCAGCTCTCGTCCGAGCCGAAGTCACGATCGATGTAAGCCGCATGGCTGAAAATGTTCGCCGTGAATGGGATTCGCTGCGGCCTGATGACGTGATCTTCTTGCTCTCTGTGAAAGCCACGGACGAGTCTGCTATGGTCACGAACGGCGGACCATCAACTTCAGATGCGCAGAACCTCGGCCTGAGATACCTCCGAGCAGCTGAGGTTATCCAAGTGCAAGATGATAGAGGACGCTCACTGATGAATTATAATGGACAAGTCAATGGAAATGCTCGCGCTGGCTCGCGGAGACTGCAATTAAAACTTGATGCAGCCATGTATAAAGAGGACAAAGATCGCGTCGACAAGGGCAAGCCTGACATTTACGAAACCATGAACATCATTGTTCGTAGAAAAGGACGTGAAAATAACTTCAAACCGATTCTTGAATCAATCAGAAGTTTAACACTATCTGATGTTCCGCTAGCCCCCTGGCTTCACGAGGTCTTTTTAGGCTATGGTGATCCTGCAGGAGCTAACTATACTAGACTATCAAATCAACTCAAAAAAGTCGATTATCGAGACACGTTCCTTGACTGGCAACATCTGATCGAAAGCTTGCCCGGTAGGACAGTCGAGCCAAATGACGATGTCACCGGTAGTTTTGGGCCACCCTACGTATTGCAAACAGTGGCAAAAGCTGCTGAGCCGCCAGCAAGACCAACGAAAAAGAGGCGCAGAGAAGCAGAGCCTGCACCAAAAGATGAGCCACAAGCCATCCAAGTTTCTTCTTATAAACCCCCAAGTACAGGGCCATATCCCATGGACACCCCAAAGTTGAACCAAGTCCGTTTCACACCTGCTCAAATTGAAGCAATCATCTCCGGTACCCAACCAGGGCTTACTGTTATTGTTGGTCCTCCGGGAACTGGAAAGACGGATGTTGCAACTCAAATCATCAACAATTTATATCACAACTTCCCTAATCAGCGCACTCTACTTATTGCACATAGTAATCAAGCTCTTAATCAATTGTTCCAAAAGATCGTTGCTCTTGATATTGACGAACGCCATCTTTTACGACTGGGGCATGGTGAAGAGGAATTAGACACTGAAACGAATTTTAGTAAACACGGACGTGTCGAGTCTTTTCTTGAAAATCGAGATGGGTATCTTAGAGAGGTTGATCGCCTTGCTGCCAATTTCGGTGCTCCAGGTGCCCATGGAAGCTCAGCGGAGACTGCCGGATACTTCAACTCGGTTTACGTTGAGCCAGCATGGACAAGATTTCAAGAAGTTATGAAAGACCCGGATTCAACATCAGAGTCAATTGTCTCTGCTTTTCCGTTTCATTACTACTTTTCGAATGCTCCTCAGCCTCTTTTCCCTCCTGGTGCCGATAAAGATGCTGTCATTGATGTAGCTACAGGCTGTTACAACCACGTCACTAAAATTTTCGCTGAGCTTGAAGACGTCCGACCATTTGAGATTTTGCGACGAGATCGAGACAAGGCAAACTATCTTCTCACCAATGAGGCTCGCATCATAGCGATGACATCAACGCATGCAGCTATGAGAAGACGTGAGATATCTTCACTCGGCTTCCATTATGATAATGTTGTTATGGAGGAAGCGGCTCAGATCACTGAGATCGAAAACTTTATACCCATGGCGTTGCAGAAACCAGCGAATGGTGGAACTCCCCTCCAGCGTGTAGTCTTGTGCGGCGACCACTTTCAGAACTCTCCTGTCGTTCAAAATCTTGCGTTCCGTCACTACGCAAATCTCGAACAGTCGCTCTTCTCTCGTCTGGTTCGCTTGGGTGTACCAACTATCAACCTCGATCAACAGGGTCGTGCTCGTCCGTCGATTGCATCTCTGTATTCCTGGCGTTACCAAAATCTTGGCAACTTGCCAATTGTATCAACAGCACCTGAATATCAAACCGCAAATGCTGGTTTCAAGTACGATTACCAATTCATTCAAGTTGCTGATTACAAAGGAAAGGGTGAAATGGAGCCAACTCCTCATTTCATTCAGAATCTTGGAGAAGCAGAATACGCAGTCGCCATCTATCAATATATGCGCTTACTCGGATATCCAGCTTCGAAGATCAGTATACTATCCACATATGCTGGTCAGCGCGCACTAATCAAAGACGTTCTATCTCATCGATGTGCTAAGAATCCTCTATTTGGTCTCCCAAAAATTGTCACAACTGTCGATAAATATCAAGGAGAGCAAAATGACTGTAAGTTTCGCGATGCTAATTCTTTTGCCGATAAATCACTGACAGGATATCAGATGTTATTCTCTCCCTCACTCGTACATCACGTGTCGGCTATCTTCGCGACATTAGACGTCTAACGGTGGCATTGTCTCGCGCTCGTCTCGGTCTTTACATTTTGGGACGACGGGATATCTTTGAATCTTGTTTCGAGCTGAAGCAGGCCTTCGATATTTTGTTATCGAGACCAGATAAGTTGACATTAAGCACTGGAGAGATGTGGCCAAGTCAAAGAATCGTGGCAAACGAGGAGGGTCTAGAATCAGTGCAAGGTGAAGCTGTTATGGAGGGGGTAGAGCATCTGGGTCAATATGTTTTCGAGATGACTAACTCCAAGATAAGACAGTTGAGAGAAGAAAGAGGGTTACCGGAAGGCGGAGCAGAGGTCTTAGCGATTGAGGAGGGAAAGGTGGTTGGAGATGATGTTGAGACTGGAGAGGGGTATGAGGGCTTAGGGGAAGACGACGATATTATTGAACCCGAAGAAGAATTTGATGGCGTCGATTGATAATACCAAGATGAAATTTGTAAGATAAATCAATCGCCGATAGATGTATGGGTGAAGGAGAATTAGGCCGGCTCATGGACAACGTCCACGGAAATGTATTGTATGTGACTATAATACAGGAAAATGGCGTACAATAATGAACAAACAAAGGATGATACCAATTTATGAACACAAATCCGTCCTTTCTATCTTATCATTCTGTTAGCCTGCAGTACCTATGTAGTGTAATTTAAGTTTGAAATTTGTGCTTGGTGATTAAAATATCTCCTTTCATGCTCGGTTACGAATGTACTGTATCACCACCGACGGTCGAAATCACGACATAGTCGCATATTCTGTAACTAAATCATTTAGTTTCACGGTAGCCTTCAAACGCTGTACTGGTTTCTCTGTAGATATGAACGACCCTGAAAGTGTATATTAGATGAGATCTCTTAATGCGTTAGGCTTGGTCAAGCAAAAGAGAAAAGTTGAGATAATTAGGATGAAGTAAAATGAAGTATGTCATGAGTTTTTAACTGGGACTGCAGATCATAGTACTTCTCGATTGGGTTCGCCATCAAGTTCGATCTTCTCTGGAAAGACTAGTACAGTTTACTGTAGTTACATCTAGAGATCATGGAGAGAGTTAAATTTGTGTTGGTGATGTGTATATCTATTGTACCGCAGTCATACCAATAGAATCTTTGGATTTCTTTTGCTTGATCCCAGATTTTGAAACTTTTCTAGTGAAAACAGCTCCTGAGGTATAATATTTACTCTGTAAGTTTATGTCAAGTTTTGAGGTCCGGTTTCAGGTGCGGGGAAATGGAGTCAATAAGATGAGACTAAACGAAGAGTGTACCTGTGGTGCATTTTCTGACGTACATTACATTGAGTGAACTGTGACTATGGTTCTATGTGTTGAAGCTCATAGTATGAGCACACTATTTGAGCTCTCGAATCAATCATTGATGGGTCTTTAGTGATTCCTCTCATGTACTAATCAAATTTCCCCAAGCCGATTGTTTTTCTTGCTCTGGATGGGTATCTAATGGGACATATTCTAGTATACTGTCAACATATATATCTCTGTGAGTGCGCATGTAATATAACAACCCATCGGGATCTTTGGAATTTGGTCTTTCAGAATGCACATTCATTCTAAGGTATCTCAGCGTGTTTCCTAAACATCCATAATCTTTGACAGCGTACATCCTTTTGCAGGCAATATCCAGACATCATATGATCGATATAACCGTTGAGCTTTTGAAGCTCATCAGTCATATGACGTTACTTAATGTCTTTTGGACTCATTGTTACATCAAATCTCAACTCTAAAATGGACGTTGCCAGAAGCGCGAAGCTCAAGCTCAAAGTCTATCGTTCTAACTCTTCCCATTACGGAGAAGAGTTCCTACACATAATTTCCCCATATTTTTAACCTATTCTACCGGGAGAAGAATCCTCTCTAACCAAGTACTAGGCTTAGAAAAAAAGTTGCAGTGTTAGCTCAACAAGAGCTCCGACTAGGGCCGTTGCTGCCGGATCAACGGTCGTTATGTTCCGCCGAAGGAAAGATCATCATGAAAACAGGCTAGAGCTCAAGTCTAAACTTGACCATAATTTTTGACTATAAACTTGATCGCGTGTCGCGGGTAATTTCGTATATACTGCTCCACACGATGTCACTGCTAGCTACCGCAATACGAAGTAGCATTATCGACATCACGAGGTGCTTATAATAGTTTATCTGAGCCAGTATACACACGAGACACTTAAGTTTTATGCACACTAGATCTCTCATTTGAAGTCTGTAGAATGAGTCAAGATGGCGATGGCGATGGCGATGTGTAGATAGTAGAGCCACGATGTCACGATGGCTTGTTGAAGGCTTGTCAATAACGGCTGCGCTAAGCGCTAAAACTTACCCTTAACTTAGTTCGTTCATTTTTGTGTGATGGTTAATGAGTCAGTTGCAACGTTTTTTCGGACCATCGTCCTGTCTCTATAATAAAGTATGACTTTTGTGATGACGATATACCTATATGTGAATCTGGCAACTATATTACTTTTGCATCTGTCAAAACTTGCAAGGAGAGAGGACTGGTAGACACTTATGGAAGTAAATAGAATGTCTACCTATATGCTGGGGACGAGTTCTAATGTTTGCCTCCAAAGTAAGAACGGCATTTTGATGTTATTGTTATACTGACCAATGGGAAATATCGAGACACTACCACCTAGTAGTGAAGCTAGTAGAGTAAGGGCAATGACACTGAAAGGACAAATATAGATTTCGTTTTGATACAGGAATCTTCCAGATCTTTGACAATACATTTGACATCGTGGGAGGGCTCATAATGCTTTAAATTCACCATGATACATCATACTTTGGACTCATCCTACGCGTTGCCCCATTGTGTATGTTTCTTGACACAATCTGGCAACACACGAGGCTGTAGCTAGGGGGCGCGAGGCGAGACTGAGACGCTACCGGCTTCAAGGATATGCAATAAATCTTCTGCCCCAAAAGAATACACACGATGTATCTCATAGTAGATGACTGGTACCAAACTCAGATCACTGGTACCGAACTCATCATCCCTAGGCTCCATCAGAAAACGATATGATATGAAAAGTGGTAGAATGTTCACTGAACAGTGGATCTTGATGATCAAAAGGAGATTTGGCTGAATTCTCGCTCGTCTGGATGCAGACTTTCTCGGTTCCCTTGGTCCATTTCTGTCCATGGGATGAATATAACCGATAATCCCGAAGGGAAAACTATTCCGGGAGATATTGTTTGGGAATTGTTGAGTCAAACTCCAACAAATTTAGCACCTTGATAGTAACGGCCTGCAAAGCTAATCCGTATTCCGACTCTCAAACTGATTATCAAAAATGTCCACGACGATTTTTTAATGGACATTCTCCAAAGATAACCAGATTTCTGGAACTGGTCCATAACCAGGTACATATGGTTTGCAGTGTAGGAAATATATTGCAATATAATTAATCGTATCATGCATGAATTACATGTAATATACAATATATAATATATTAATCGCCGACAACTGCCGATATTCCCTTGATACGAGATTCTGAGTTTATGTATCGAATTCTGAAATAGAAAGTATACAGTACCTACTACCGGAAAGTCCTTTACCCGCACACAGGGTATATTTTGAGTAATTGAAAATCCGGGGACACAGCCACCTTACGTCTTGTTTGTCGCATATATGCAGTGAGATGGTAGTCATGGTGATACTTTCTTGATGTGTGCTATAGATGGAAAAACACGGGAGATTCTTCTCGTGCTGGTTCTCGTGGAGAGCTGCAGGTTGTAGGTGTGCGAAGATAACGATATGAATGGTCGCCGTTCTATTAGAATGCGGTCTTCCTACGGGAGAACACTGCATGGTTGCTAACAGCAGAAAGTAAGGCAGAGTCCGTCCACTCATGATTATCGAAGATTCAGAACATGAGAGAATCCAGCGTGGTACTTTGTGGCGCCCGTGCTGATCGACGCAGCAAGGCTCGATACAGGGATTGTATTATGACCCCCCATCACCTTAAGATGAGCAAATGCAAGGGCATGGATGCTGGACGTGATATGGTTGGGGTCTCTGCACCCCTCAATCTCTCGGATAAACAGGCGGATAATGAGGCAAGCTCGTCAGCAGCCTGAAATTGTCTGAAGTGTTCACAACAAACAGCAAAAGCATCATAATTTGAAAGCAATTTCAAACGTATGACGACTATCTAACCTGGCCAAAGTCCCACAAGTCCGAAGAAGACGTATTGTGATGAGCCCACGACCACGTACAGCACAATGTGACAATGTTTTTGCAAGCATTCATGTACTAAGTCATGGTTCACAAACATCCTGTTGTGGGTGTTTATTTCTGGGCATTGTTTGAAGATGTGAAAGATGTGCTGGTGACTCGTCACGTAGAGAATCTGAAGTTTCTGATACCTGTTGAGCCATTCGAAGGACTACTGAGTGGGGAACGTATCGGAGAATATTTTAATCTGAAGCATAAGCGCCATCTAGCTCAATAGGAGTAGATGGTATCCATGATGGCAGGTCTATACTTGTGCCGTTATGTTTCCTCACCGTTCCTGCTTTTAGACCCCGTTAGTGGTGGATTCTCTCGGTAATTTCGAAGAAATGATTCCACGGAGTACTGTAAGCGATGTGGTTGTAGCGTTCTCGGTCCTGGTCTCTTACGAAATTATGTATCCGAAGTCTTAAAGCGAAGAGTGGAACAACCCATTGAAGGACTTCTTTGACGCCTTACCTCAGTTTTGGTAGTATTCGGAACGGAGCCGAGAGTTTGATTTGGGTAAGGGAAATCGTGATGATTACAAAACATGTAAGATTAGACAGACAATGGGAAAAATGACATGGGGATGACAATCGGCGAGCAGTTGGCAGACCTGCCAAACACAATTCTTACTTGCGTAAGGGTTGGCCCGCTGTCTCTGAATTACAGACCGTGCTCGGAAGGAGATCTTGGAGTACAGTCGACGTTTGGGGGCGAGTCAAGTAAGCTATGTCGTCCATGGAGTCTGGAACATTGGAGAATGATATCTGTACTTAGCCAGTAGTCCAGTTCAGCTGAAGACTTAGCTCTATGTACAACATTAGATGGCAGATAGATCCTCGAGTATAGTAGGTAGGCGGTGCTACGAACGATGAAGGCATTTTCTAGGTACCATGCAATAAGTCCATTTTGTTGTTATTATTAGTGATCACTTACTTCTAACAAATCGCCCACATTGTTGATTCCACTGCTTCATGTTTGTACAGCTTCCCACGTAGTCCTAGCTATTAAGGAGATATGATCATAGCCATGTGATACTCCCACCTATTCTACCGGCGGTTCTGTTCCAATTCTGTGGCTAGTACGGAGATGATAGATGGATGTGATTTGAAGTTTCTTTTCCACGTCAAACGGCGTCTCGCACTCGTACATTCTGAGAAGTCCACCACCCCACTCCATGGCTCGGCGTTCGATGCAACAGCGAAGATGTCATTTTAATTGTAGCCTTAGAAAAAGAAGGTTCAAAATGAGTTGTTTTGAGTTATTCTGATGACTGGAATAGGCATTTAGTGAGTGGATCAGATTTGAAGTTTGTTTCATCAACTTTTTTTTTGTATTTTCTTCTTCATTTGTGTCAATTCGGGTTAGACACTTTCAGACCTAGTCGACGGTCTACGGTCTGCGGTCTTCGGTCGTACCTGCATTTATGAATTTACTCCACCAATCGTTTTGCCTCATTTACCTTCAAGCGGTCTAAATACGGATGTATCCATAATTCCTTCTTCTAGCTGAGAGATATCCCAGAAACCCTAGCAATTCCATTACGACCAACAATAGGTACCTAGTAAGAGCAAACAATCCTTCTTCAAATCTCATTTCGTTTCATTTCGATCTTGAATCTTCCGAACATCCCTTCTCCTTTCCCAGAATCATACGGGCGTAGATACTAGAAAGTTAATCTTCTCCCTTCCAAATCTCTCGTGAGCCTTATCCTACCGCCCATGTCAAGAGAACCTCTAATTTCGTTACATTTACCGCATTTTGTAGAATGCGTCTCCGTTCTTCATAATCAAGGATTATGACTTGACCCTGACTCTTTGTGGAGCCTCCAGCTACCATGCCAATTCTTGTGCTACCCCTTACCGTGACATTACCAAAAGCCTAGAGGTACCGTACAGTCGGAGCTTTTGCTTGTAGAGCAGGAGTAACCTTTCTTTTCTTGCACCGCACGCCTCTAACACGCTTTGGATTTACACAACCTGAGTAGTTGTAGCTATTCCGTTGCATTTGTCCAATCAAAGCACAAGTTTCATAGTCATTTCGAGCCCGAAGCATTAGAACATTTACAAAATTGCTACACCACCAAGGTAAAATGGGTAACGCAAGAATTAGGAATGGCTAACTTCTGGTACCGTCATGGACTTGCTGTACATCCTCAGCCCGGTCGCAAATCACAACATTCTTGAGATCCCGCCCGCGCTCCGGCAAGATCTAAGGTTTTGGCTACCAATGGAAGTTTTTGAGAACCCCGAAGTGCGGCTACTTACAGCTACCTACCCACAGATACCCCTTCATACTCTCGTCTCATGCTGAACAATCGAATCCAAGTCAGTTCTATCCCCCACAACTAACGAAAAGCTTATTTGCAAAACTTCTGAATCCGTAAATATCGTATCTATACTTGTCCAGCTTACGAGTTTGCGAGATCTTAGCGTCGCTCGTAAAACGTCGTCGTTACTCAGAATATCTCCAACATCTATTGTTTTATATATTGTATCAGCCTTATGAACTAAATTCATGCATTCCATGACCGAAGAGGTTGATACTGCTCTATTTACCGTGATCGGCGGGGTATGGTTTCTAAAAGTAGTACCATGATCAACGATTTGAGATGTCGATGAAGAGATGAACAATCAAAGCTTCTAGCTTGACTTTTTCGCATAATGCATTACGCATAGAAAGAACTCTCTCAACAACCTCTCTTGACTCTTGGTAGATTGATGATAGGCTCTTGACAGGCCAATCCTTGTATCAGATCGCTGAAATGGACGGCACACGCATTATTAAAAACATCCCCGGGGATGGTTTCCTGCGGCTTCATTGCTACGTCTGGGCATATACGTATGCGTCTTCGAATCGGATGGTTTCTTGTCGGAACAATTACAAAATAAATATCAACAAAACAACAACGTGTTGGCAGGTGAAGGCGAGGTTGAATGTGGATACTGTATGACTGACGAAGGGGCCATCCATATTCTATGTTTTTTCGAATTTCACTCGTGAATGAGCTTTCCACGAGTACGTTTGGTCACGGTGACAGTAGTCAGCGAAATATGCGGTGTTCTCAACACTATCTCGTGAATATTTTCCAAAAGTCTGTTGGTAGCTACCCGACGTCACACAGTCTAGGCCATGACGGGAATGTGCTTAGCAGGACCGTAGGGACGGGCCCCGTCAGAATAAACACACGAATACATCAGAGCGAGAAAATCCTTGAATCGACCCTGGAGATGTGTATCTTGCTATTTCAATCACATCACGGTTCTCGCTAGTAGTAGGTGATGTGAAGCACAAAAGCGGGAAATAAAAGTAAGAGACGCACGTTAACAGTCATGCATATCATTTCATCGCGTTTTCGGTTTTCGAGATGTCCTCGGAATCCTTAGCAAAATAACCAGACTGCGGGATGTGCAGTTGATGCACAGACTTTTCGCCAGATGAACCCAGTTTTAATTTCTAAACAATGTGGGAAACTTCCAGCTACCCAGGCGGACTTGGCCAGGTCAGGTCAGTTGAGATGCTTGACAGAATAACAATGTCATGAATCAGCGATCTTTAGATTCTACATTGGTAAGATTGTGACGGATAATGTGGTGACGATGTGGTGATTTGATGCTACCCGTGGGGGGGGGGGATCTAATCTGATGATAATTAGTTGCTTGGGGGCCGTCTCAACTCTTTTAATTATTGTGTACCTTTCCAACCTAGGTAATGGTTCAAGTTTGAGATTATTTATAATCTCGTTCTCCCAAGGTTCTTCGTTCTACCTAAATATCTACGAGCGAGTATCAAATCTGTACCAAGCTAGGTCTCCACTCTCCTCCACTTTTGTGCTTCTATCAGCAATTCGAATCTTCTCAGGCTAGTCATGGTGGATCATGTTCCATGTATCAGCTTTCTTGGAGTGAGCAAATAACTATTCACTCATCTTGCTAGCTTGTATTGTATACTTGGGAATACCTTGATACAGGCAAGACTAAGTATTTCTGGAATAACGATAGAAGATGTCAAAATAATTCCGTCTAGATGCAACCTTGTTTGATTGTTGAGATTGACGAAAAAATGCTAATTATGTGTCCACCTCATTTTTGTGTCCTCCTATCCACCATCGAGCCATATCGTTGGAAAAAGAAGAGGATGTAGCCTGCTGGCTTTTCAATTCGAACCATCTCATGATGATTGCAAGCATCGACCTCGAGTACTCTTCGTATTTGAACCAAACTTGGATCCCCTCACACGCCTCGATATTAAAACATCATTTCCTTTGGGACCTGGAAAATTAGCAACGACCGGCATGGCATGGAATACATGAATTTGAACCCAGTCATCTTGAAACTCTCTTTTCTCTGTTTCGCTGAACAGACCTACCATAACCCCTACCAAAATCACAAAAAGTCTACCAGGTAGTCCAACCCGAACGACCTTACCCGCACACCCGCCAATGTTCGAAAATCCGAGCCATTTTGACAGACTTCTAGCTTTTCTAGCCCGCTGTTCTACGATTCACCTAGGCTTATGATTGCTAGGCGTAAGTATTCTTTACCGTTCAAAAATCTTCCATTTTCATGATTAGTACCGTTATTAGTCGCTGTTGTAGTTTACTTAGTATGTTTCTTATCACCTAGTTTCCTCTTAGCACAAGGGGTAATGCTCCAGTTTTCACCCACCATCAAAACTCAACGGCAGGCCCTAGTTCATCAGAATTATGAAATGAACAATAATGCATTGATTGTTCTTTGCGACTACACACCCCAACTTTACAGTGTACACAAAACACCGTACATTCGCTCCCATCCGGAACTTTCCTGCCTACCAAACACAATGCAATCATGTCAAAACAACCTTCGCTTGACTAAACTCTCTATGGATTTTGTAGCAGATTCTGCTCAGCCTTCTTGTGGAAACATACGCATAAAACTTCATGGTTTGACGATGATCTCAAAAGTACCGAGAAGATTGATTTATCCATCCTCTTACAGTATCCCGTTCTTATCAACTACCTATTTAGAATAGTACGGAGGGTAAAACGACCTAGTCTTTGAGGCTATTCTTCTAATCTGTAGTTTGCGAACCTAAATATGCAAAATATGCATCATCTAGGTGTTTCCTGTTTTGTATTTGACTTTTTCTTTTCTTACACTCTTGTTTGCGTTAATTGTTCATAAGCGGCAGGGTCGTCACGTTGTCAAAGTCACAACTCGCATAACGAGTCCGGCACCCCCATGCTTTCATAGATCTTCATTGGGTGGTATCTATTAGCGACAACGGTTGCAAGTTGGCCCACAGATTCAATGATCCCTTCAACCCTTTCATGCAAAATGAAGACCAATGATCCACGCAAAAAAGACCCAGCCTCGATCTCTCCGCTGGTTCCCTGTCATATCCGTTGTTCTCTCAAGCTCTCCCACAATAGGCTTAGCTGAGATCAATACAACTCACCATTTCTGCGGAGCCCTGCTGTGATTTTAACCAACTCCTGTTGGTCCATTTAGAATTTTGGATGCTTCATCTGAGTATCGGATGATTGCGCCGGCACCAGATCCCTACACCCCAGTCACACATTCATCTTATCCAACGTTCTGCACAGTTCTCGATAGAGTGCTATCCAGCATTTCGCTGCAGCTTTATTTCCATTTGTCAATCCTCTTAAGAGCCACAGTGGGCTTCTTACACATAATCATTTCATTGAATCGATTCACTTTTTGTTGTTCCCAATCTTTTGTCTAAATTTGTGGCTGACTTTGGATGTCCTCGTGCATTAAAAACATTTCCCTCCAAACTTCCTTCTTTATCCACTCTAGCTTGTGCAACTGTCCTTAAAATCTCGTCCCAAGTCCGGTCCTCCCAAGCAAAATCCTAGACGCAACCGTGCAAGCCTTGTATCAAGTCGAGGTGGGTATTTTTGACACTACTCCGCTCCGCTTGCATACTAGACTCTTGTCATCGGTACAATTTACTTCAGCGGCATTCTGCTGCAACGACAGGGACTTCCTGTGAATTGTGAGAGCCAGGGGTAATAGGGCGCTTGTCGGGTCCAGTCTCCTTGTTGTGGTGATCATAACCAAGGAACTTATATATCAAAGGCCTTCAATCTTGGAGTATATTACCCGACGTTTGTCGATCGAACGTGGAAAGAAAGACAACGACCCCCCTTCAACTTCATTCCTGTTACTTCTTGATACGGACTTAGCACGTCATTAAAACAAGAAGCAATTTATATTTCATTTGGACGACGCAGGACACTCGCCACATCCGTTCATTGAGCCCAATCTATCCTTGAACCAGGTCGCTTCATCTTCTTTTCTACACGGCAGCGCTGTTGAATACCAACTCGTCAAGTAGTAAAATCTCTGGAAGGTATACGCGTTCGGCTTGTCCAGAACATTTAAAACCTTTCATTTATATTCCCGGGACTGGTCCATACATCAATCAACCTTATTTAGCAGATCTTGATTAAGACCCTTAAGATTAATCTATCCACCGATCAATAGCTACAGGAACAAGCTTTGTACACTCTTCCGACTTCTCCAACATCATCATCCAGCAAGCAGGACTAGATCATAAACTAGACTTAACAATTACTTGCCTTCGATAGGCCTTATGTTCTTTTCTGGTCAGTGATCAGCCATTGTCTATAGCGGCCTTTACACTCGTTCATTCCACGGCTACTTACCACTGCGACAACACAACACACATATTCCTTTCTCGAATCAAGGGCTCTTGAAGAATCCAAAAAGCAACTTCCAGACCATCTTCAACGGTCAAATTACAGATACTCTCAATGCTTGTTACACGGCAATGCGAAACAGGACGGAACACTTGGTCCTCTAATAAACTTGGGTCTGCTAACTTCGCGTCTCCACGGATGGCGAACTTTGAAGCTTTACCGCAGCAGCCGGATTGGCGAGAACAGTACTCTTCGTATCAACTCTCTGGAGACAATGGCATGGTCCACCAAAACTACGAGCACTCTGCAGGCTCCAACACAAACACCAGTCAACAGCAACCCGCTACTAGACCAACTTTAGAGCATCGACACACACTTGGCCCAATAAGACCGGAAGGTCCGCCAACTCCTACCATAGAACGACCAGACTCCGCACCGGGAGATTGCGGCCAGCCTTCTGTCAACAGAGCTAGGGATGAATCTATGGTTTCGACAGAATCAGCACCTCTTTCACTTGGGCCGATCGCACCGAATTCAACATCATCTGCGTCAAGCGCACCACAACAAGGAGCAGGAGCACTCATGAGCGAAGACGCGTCAGCTCTCTTGAGTCCTAAGGAAGAAGACGATGATGATATTGATGACGACGACGATATGTTAGATACTGAAGATGGAACTTCATCAACGCCACAGACGGCGGCAGAACGTAGAGCTGAACGCAGGAAGATGAAACGATTTCGGTATGTTTATTTTGGTTTACGTATGCATTTGTGACATGAAGAACTAACTAGTACAGTCTCACTCATCAACAAACTCGATTTCTGATGAGTGAATTCGCGAAACAGGCTCACCCAGATGCTGCTCATCGCGAGCGTTTGTCACGAGAAATTCCAGGCCTTAGTCCAAGACAAGTGCAGGTATGGTTTCAGAACCGGTATGCAAAATTCAACCCAGTCTGAGCGAAGAATATGGACTAACGGAAGCAGACGTGCAAAGATCAAGAGACTTACTGCGGATGACCGAGAGCGAATGATGAAGATGAGAGCGGTACCAGATGATTTCGACAACGTACAGGCTTTACATTCTCCTTACGGAGCTGTACACGGTATTGGAACACCAATGCAATCGCCTGTCGATTTTGTGCCAAATTACGCGGATCATATGATACGACCTTTGATGGTAGACACGATGCGCAGACATGAACAAGATGACCACATGTCGCCGGCAGGCATGAGCCCTGGATATGGACATGTTGGATATACTCCGGGAAGTTCCATTGGAACACCTGATGTCCTCTCGCCATTGTCCATTAATTCGTCTGATCGATACTTCTCCAGTCATCTTTCGAGCCCGATGAGCTCAGGGCCAAGGAGCTCAAATCCATTTGATCGACCACCTCCGGGTTATCAAGCTGTTTCCCATTCCCAGCAAAGACATCACGGCGGCCGACCATTACAACCATTACAGCTTCGAGAGACAATGTCAAGATCGCGATCAGAGTCACTTCAGTCGCCATTGAGATCCAGTATGTCTTGGAAAGGCGAAACTTTAGATTACGCCAATTATCCAACTGGACAACCAAGTCCTCAATCGACTGGACGTCAACAATCAATGTACCAGCCCGAGCAGAATAACGCGGTCAATGCGCACCAATTTGAGTCAAACTCTTACCCAAGTTCGTTCCATCCTTGCCAAAAAAACTAGATGAAAGACTAACCATGTTGATAGGTTCCAACATCCAAAACTCACCACAACACATGAGCTATTCACCATCGCATCCTCCATCATCTTTGCAACAATCCTCACCAGCTGCCATGTCCCGCTTGCGAGCTTCCACTGGCGGTGCTTTCCCCCAAGGTCTTGATCTACGCAATCAATATCGACCTCTCCCCCACCAAGGTCCATCACACTTGCCTCCTACTTCCCGCCCATTCGCGCCCTCATACTCAGCAGGTTTTGCCAGCGCACCTTTGACGGCGCCAATGGAATTCTCCCTTCCTCGAACACCAAGCGACGCAAACCATCCACAATTAAGTGCGCCAATGGCACCGCCGCAAGATTTCGCAAATGCGTACAACGCATCAAGAGCTCCACAAAGTGAGCGAGAATTCAGCTCCCAAGGTCAAGAACAGCAGCATGCTCAAAGCCATGCGCAGCCTGAACATCAACCACAAAGAAATAACAGCGACGGTTCGTCCTATCTTCGACCTAACGAATTCCAAGCAAAAGATAATCGCAAAAGAAGCTTTACCATGCCTGGAACTTATGCCCCTTCTCATATGTCTTAAAGAAATTTGTCTGGCGCTCATTTTCAATCTTCGATATTTGTGTGCATACAAAAGTTTTTGCTTTCGGAAATCACGATTCGTTTACAGGCATTGCAGTTTGAAAAAAGAGCAGAGCATAGAATTCATCCTTCTCTCACAAGAAGATAAGAAACCACCTCACTCCGCCTTACTCATGACACCACCCATATCTCTCAACCATCTCCAATTCCAACCTCAGACCAACCTTCAAATTCATTGCAGCTTTCTTGCTATATACGTATGGATCATTCAGATACTCGTACATACATATATTTAAATATACTTTCTATACATACTTCTTACACTTTTGAAGTTTCTCCCAACGCTGGGACGGACAGGAATCCGACATCATTTCTACCTTTCGACATTCGACTTACAGCTTTTACCTTTACCCCTTCTTCTTTGTATTTTCTAGGAGATACTATCCGGCATTGTTTTTATATCAAATTTTTTCTTCCCCATTCAACCATTCATCTGGCCATCTTTCTTCAGGAGTGTTTTCGTAGGGTTAGGAATTTGGGTTTGGGGATAACTACAAAGCAAAGTCTTTTTTCTTCTTTTCTTTTTGAGATATTCGCTTCTTATCTGTGTATAAATGGTATGCAATCTTTTGTTTGGAGCTTCTTAGGGGTTAGCTGGATCTTGGATTTGAACTTCTTGTTATGTTTCTTGTTGCTTTTCTTCTTATCTTTTTTTTTTTACCCAAGGGGGTTGGTTTGATATTAGGGATTTTCACTGAGTGAGGGAAAGAACTGAGAATTGGTTCGGTTTGGTGCTTGGAGCTGGATAAGGGATCGAGAGGGGATGGGCGGTTGGAAAGCTTCCGAGGGAAAGGAAAAGGATAAGCCGAAGAGCGGAAAAATCACTTGTAGATATCTGAATCGTGGAGTGGCAATATCATTGTGTGGAAGTTGAATAACTTTGTCTTTTCTTGTCTGCTGTGAGATGTGATGTGTGATCTCCAATATGATGTGATAAAATGTGACTTGATCCGAAGATTTTACTCTAAAAGTCTATTGAGGCATGCTATATACAATATGCAATTTCCAGTCCATTCCCCGACTCTACGCATGAAATTTCCCAGCTAATTCCTAGGCTCTACAAGTATGGGCTACAGGCTCCAAGCCCTGAAGCAGATATGCAACAAATGGATTAAAGTAGATTGTCGGCTGAGGATTGGCTAGAGGACTTTGTTGTTTGAGTGAATATGGCATTGGCGTCGGGGGGGGAGGGTGAATATAAGCGAAAATTCGATTTGGGGGCATGAGTCTTGTTTTAAGACAGGACGAATATAATTATACAGCCAAAAATCAACATTCACGCACGTAGACTCCTTATTCCAATCAATGCCAAGATAACTTATTCATGCACAATCTCAATTGGAAATTGAACAACGGCATGCTCAGTGTCTAAGTTCAAGCTAGTGCTGGAAATAATAGAACAAGGTAAGGGATTGAAGGACTTAATTTCAGTTGAGAGAGGGAATATGGTGGCGAGGTGCAGAATGCGAGATGTGAAGGATGGTGATAGTTGGTTTGGAATAGTATAGAAATCAGATGAATTATTATGATATATTTTACGTCCATTTGAATTGAAAGTTTCACTACCATTCAAAATACTGCGAGAAACCTAACCAAGTATGAGCATGACGTGTTAAGTAAAACAGACCTTTGATGTGGGTGAGTGAAGAGGCACAAGATCCCATCATATTAGCCTCACCATCCACTGTAGAAGTAGTGACGATGAGAATTAGGATACTCAAAATTTTGTTCACTTGATAATAAAGCTCCAAGTCCATGGTACGTCAGGTAGTTTATACCTAGTCGTTAACATCGTTTCTCAATCAATAATCATAAAAACTATCATCAAAAAATCAGTACACTATCCATCCATGAAACGTAGAGTAAAAAGAAAAACTCACCCCTTTCCACTTTTCTTGCCCAACCATCCCGCATCTACCATTTTCCCCAGTAGTACACTAGGTCTATACTTGCTATCTCCTGTCTCCTCGTATAATACTTTCATAATTGCTAAGCAGGTATCAATACCAATGAAGTCCGCCAATTGCAATGGCCCCATGGGAACATTGGTTCCGTTCTTCATTATCGCATCGATATCATCTCTTTTACCAACACCAGTCTCCAAGCAAATTATGGCTTCATTGATATAAGGCATCAAAATCCGGTTTGCCAAAAATCCTGGGGAATCTGCTGAAGTAGATGGGATTTTGCCCATTCGTTTGCAGAATTCAATGGCTGCATCCAATGTATCTTGACTTGTCTGTAATCCAGTGATAATCTCAACACCCTTTTGAATGGGGACTGGATTCATAAAATGTGTTGAAACTACCCGAGAGGAAGCGCTGGTGTCTTTAGGATCTTTAGTAGTTGATGCGGCAATTCGTGTAATGGATATGGAAGATGTGTTCGTAGCCAAGATGGCATGAGGAGGGCAGATTTGGGCTAGGGAACTGAAGATTGAGAATTTCAAAGAGGGAATCTCAGGCACGGCTTCAATTACAAAGTCTGCCGAGGAAAGATCATCCATCTTTGTGGTTGGGATGAGAAGGGAGCGGATACTGTCAGATTGTTCTTGAGTTATGCGCTGCTTGGTTACATCTTTGGCCAGGAGTTTATCTGAATTCAGATAAGAATTAGTTGAATGCTCTTAAAATGAACCCGTAAAGAAAAGTGTGCGAAGAAGGAAAGAGAAATTTAGAAAGCATACCAGCAAATGCGAGACCCTTATCAAGAGAAGCTTGATTTGTGTCGACGAGAGTGACTGGAACACCAGCTCTCTGTGCTGCTACTAATGCTATTCCCAGTCCCTGTATATTATGAGAAATTGTTTATTAAAAAGTACAGCAAAGGTTAATGTACCATCTGGCCAGCGCCGATAACACCAAGGCTTTTGACCTCTTGTGCCGAAAGCATTCGGCTGGAACTGAATGATCTTGCATGTTTTGAACTCTGCAAAATTCCTCTTCTGACAATTGGAGATATCATATTGGGCGACGGTCTTAGAAACAATCTTAGAAAGAGAAAACAATCGAAAATCGTGGTGTTGTATTGACAAATGACAATGAAGCTTGAAAGTAGAGAGAGAAGGTTATCATCGGTTGTTTCCCCAGGATTTATTAAGGTTACCGAGGCGGGCCGGCAAAGTTCCGCTGTTGCATGTGGCTTTGACAAGGGTACGCGTCGCGATCGCGAATTTTGAGAGGAGCGTGTACAGTGGTTTTTGAGTTAGACTGATCAAAGTCAATATAGCACAATAAATTATTATGCTTTGATATTCATGATAACCACCATTTACTACACAGCCAAACATGGAGTTCTCGGGTGGTAAAAGGGATGTTGTAGATCCCGAAGTCAGAGCTTATGTGAATAGTTTGGTTACAGCTGTAAGTTATATCAATTTTATTGTCTGAACAGATCCAAGAATTAAAACTAATTCTGATTATTAATAGTTGGGAGGAAGCGGAGCAGATGAAGAGGGACGGTATGTTCTAGGAGACGATGCATTAGCATGTTTACGAGATCTCAAAAAATGGTTAAAGCTCTATGACGAGAAAGCGAATCGATTAGACGTCGCAAGATGTCTCGCAGAATCCAATTTAGTAGGAGGAGATCTTCTACAAATCCTCGCAGCATGGCCCGAGAATGCTACGGACGATCGATTGAAGTCGAAGATAGCGCTGGCATGTATGGAATTGTTGGTACCATTAACTTGGCCATTGGAGAAGAACAAGGAAATGACAGTCAATCACCACCGACATGTCCCATATTTAGAGATTGCACAAGTGGGATATAAGAGGTCGATACTTGGGTTTGATGGAGCAAGAATATTACATACTGCGGTCAGATGCGCACTGCCTGCCATGGCAGTGGATATTGGAGATCGAAGCACAAGAGATGAGGGTATTATCAAATTGATTTTATACTTTCTACGGAATATCGCTATGATTGCACCTCCACCGAATGGACAATATGAAGGCGATGAAACGGAAATCTCACGATCTGCGACAATTGATGCTTTCGACTACCAAGACATATTTCATCTTCTTTTGATGGTGTCTTCAACAATGGGGGCGGAATTCAATACCCAGGATGTCGTGGTCATGGACGTTATCTTCCATTTAGTTAAAGGAGTGGATCTTGAGAAGTTATTCTTCAGCGAGAAGGCCATGGATAATAGCAAAACAGATGAACTGGTTAGATTACGGAAGAAAGAACAAGCAATGCTTCGAAGTTATCAAACAAATGCTCCCACAAGGCATAATCGATTCGGAACTATGGCTTGGATGCAGCGGGATGATGCGAAAATGACGACAATCTCTGGCCAGGCCGCGTTAAGAACAGGAAGAGGAGGACTTGACAAGATGGATAGCACTAAGAAGTTTAAACCACCTAGGAGAGCAGTCAAGGGAGAAAGTGGACCGCTAGCTTTTGATAATCCAGTTCCTCTCAATGCATCAGCGACAAAAAATCTACGGGCATTTGTTGAGGAATTTCTCGATTCTGGATTTAACCCCCTTTTCACACACCTTCGAAAAGCCATTGACAGAGAAGCTGAAAGAGTTCTTGAATATCACCATCGCCAATTCTTCTACTTGATTTCGTGGTTTCTTGAGGCGGAAAGAGTGAGGAGAAAAAACAAGAAGCCTTCCAAAGGTAAAGGCCCAGAAGACGTGGATAGTTTTGCCCTGGTTGCAAGTGTGCTCAATCAAGAGATGTTCATCACACTCAATAGGGCAATGGATCTCAATTTCGAGAACAAAAACTGGTATGACTTAAGTGCTGCCATGAAATGCTTCACACAAATTCTTCTCACCGTTCAAGAAATGGCAGATTCGCCTCTAGAGGCCGATCAAGAAATTGCGGAGAATATTCTGGCACGTATATTCTACGAAGATACAACTCACGAGCGAGTGGCTATGATAACCAGAACATATAAAGACCAGGGATTTGGTTATCTTGATTCTTGTACAGAGCTTACACATAATTATATGCGTATTCTGGAACAGTACTCAAAGCAAAATGTTGATATGCAAGTAAGATCTAGGAGACGCACGCGGAGAAAGAAGAAGGCTGCGAAGGATGCAGGAGAAGACATAGGCGATGACAATATAGTCGATGAATCTGATGGTGAAGATGAGGCACGAGCACAGAAAGAATCCTCAGAGCGCAAGTTCGATTACAAACGCTTTGCTGCTAGATTTTTGTCTCAAGGATGTATCGATACATTTGTCTCTTTCACAAAGTACTATCTGGATCTCAAACCAGCGCAATTGAAGCGAGCCCATAGATTTTTCTATCGGGTGGCCTTCAAGCAGGATATGAGTGTTATGCTGTTTAGGGTGGATATAATTCATTTGTTCTATACGATGATCAAAGGTCCAGGAGGCTTAGATCCTCAATCCCCTTCGTACAAAGAATGGGATGAAATGGTAAAGCAACTCTTGAAGAAATGCACGAGAAAAATACAAGAACGTCCAGAGCTTGTGGTGGAAATGCTCTTTTCTAAAACCAATGGCACTGCGCATTTCTTGGAGTATGGCTATGAAAAACAGACGATATCTACAAAACCTAAAGCAGCAGCCGAGTTAGAAGTCAAGGGTGGATTAGAGTGGGAGGATCAAATTGGTATCGCTGTTGGCGCTTTACTTGATAGAAACGAAGCTGATCATATCGAATGGGTGAAGTCGCAATTATCATCTGCAGAGGATGAAAGGAGAAGTTGGGAAGCGGCCAATCAGGCTTTGCAATCCGTTGAGAAAGATCCACTTGTGGAGAACGAAGAGACACCTGCCACGGAGGTCGAACTTCCAAAGGCGCCTTCTATCCGTATGTATCATGATAAAATCATTCGCTTGTCCGTATCACTAACGCAGATAAAGTTCTCAAACCAGACAACGACAATCGAAAAACGGTCCTGTTCAAGAATGGCTATTTGCGTCTATTGATAAAGCTTGTCGGTCTCACAATCATTGGAGCTGCCGACGACCCCGATACCTCCTGGTATTTCCCATCGGCAAAGTCAGCAGATCAGATTAAAGAAGCCCTAGATTTAATCAAGAAATTTGAGTTTGCCCCTCCAACCTTTGACGACGGTAAAGGAGCGCTTGATCAAATAAGAAGAGTATCTGCTGGTATGAATAGAAAACGCTCTGCATTCGATGATGATTCAGATGATGGCATTGATAATGATGAAGAAGAGGAGGAACTGGTTTTCGAGCCCGGTGGACCTACAGCAATGAAAAAATCTGATGCTTTGAAAGCTCTAAAGAAAAATCGAAGAAGACGCAGAAAGGATGGAAGTGAAGAACTCGAAACTCGTGGGCTCACAGATGAGCAAATTGAAGCTCGCGCAGCAGCTAGAAGAGCGAGAGAGTTAGAGAAGAACCGCAAAATTAAGAGTGAACTATATGTCCATGATAGTGACGATGACGAAGAAAATGACCGAATTTTCTTTGAAGCAGAGGAGAGGCTCAGGCAGCAGAATAAGATCACTATCATGAAGGAGTTGTTGGGGGTCGGTCAGCAAAGGGAAAATGGAAAGAAGAGGATTGCAGATGCGTTGGATGGGGAGGAGGATGGAGATAGCGATGAAGATATGGTTATGACATCGAACAAAAAGAGGGCAAGCAGTGCAATTTCGCTGGATAGTGATGAAGGGGTTGTTGTAGGTGCAGATGATCTAGAATCCGAGGAGGAAGAAGCAGAGATTATGGATACCCCGATCTCGAGTCCACGTAGATCAGCACAACCAAAAAGGCGCAAAGTGTTGAGCGATGACGATGATGATGAGCCTTTGGCGAAAGATGCAATGGAGATAGATGATGAGGATGAAGAAAACATTGTACCAGTGGCGAATCCAAGGAGACCGAGGGTTAGAGCTGGCTTTATTATGGATAGTAGTGACGATGAATGATAGGGATTAGCTGTATGATTTGTTTTGCGTGGATGTCTGATACCATGGCGTTGAAAATTTGGGTACAGCATTGGGAATCATGATTTGAGAGTAGAAACTTTAGTATTATGAATTACTGTAATGAATGGCCATCTTCAGAATGGCGTCTCTGATAGTTGTGAGGAATGTGTGCCTGGCTATCGTTCTTACTCTTGTAGTCGGAGATGTGCTCATATAATATTAAAAGTTCTAGTTAAGTGGGCGAGTGCTCAATCATTAAGACTTATTCGCTTGTTCAAGTGCCAAACTTACGCAATTTTCGATTCACCGATTTATTCAATGTCGATATGAATTGAAGTGAGAGGATTTGGATAGAAAATTCCCGGAACATTCAACTCAACTTCTCTTGACTATCTAGCGTAGACGAGCCGTTTAAGAAGCCGCGGTAGCATACATGAATTCGGTGCCATGATTTTGGAGTTGAAGACTGAAGTTCGTCGGAGATCGCAGTGTCTTCCGTTTCTTCCTCAAGTTGATAGCCATCAATGCTAATTGAATTTCTAAATGTGCATACAGATCCACCAAGATTATGTCTTTGATGGTTACGGACGACTCGAAGTAGAGGCTCAATGTTTTATCTGAAGCTAAATATCGAGCAGTACAAATATAGGCCTATTCGGAGTCTCGAAACAAACGGGAATTCTAGGGAAAAAACGTTGACTCAATGCATCTGCTGATATTCAGGCCGATATCAACATCGAAGCGAAAAACATTGGTCAGGATCTTTGACTGACGGCGTGAAAATGACGTTAAAGATTTCTGGGGAGTCTAGGTGGATGTTTCATTGGAAGCTAGGTAGCTACTGTAGCACGGACCATTTGCTCGTTTGCCTAATATATCTTCCCATCCGTCATCTAGACCTATTCCTTACATTTTATATTTGTTTGGCGCTTTAATTTGCACCCAAAAGTCTACCCGCTATTCTTAGCATAAGACATCTTCTATACCAAGCTTCTGTCTGATACCATTTCACTTGATTAATATGGCAGGCACCAACACACAGTCGCTTCAACGGCAACAGCGACAGCGACAGCGACAGCAGATCATGATCCAAGCTCGGCGGCAACAGATGCAAATGATGGCTGCTCAGAAACAGCAAAAGGAACAACAGAAGAATGCTATGAAAGCGAATATAAATAGCAACAGCAGCGACAGTAGTAGCATACACTTCCAATCACAATCTCAAACTATGGGTACAGCGCATGATGACATCCCATTTCAACCCGCCGATATGATCTTCACTAACATAGGAATTACAAATTCCAAGTCTGATATTGTGAATGCTTATGAGGCCGCGTGTAGAAATGGTTCTCTTTCTACAGTTCAATCCATCATAAGAGCTGAGAGCCGCACCCCTTATTTTCTTAACCATGGTCTCAACCTCGCTCTACGGAATGGGAATGGTGAAGTTGTTAGATATCTACTGTCATCTGGAGCGCCAATTGCCCGAGTAACGCCAGCTCAAATACTATCAGCACCTTCTTCCCAACGAACTCCGCTCTTTGAGCTACTTTTCGAGTTTAGCTGGACGCCTAACACTCCAGGCTTTTATGGACAGGTTCTGCTTCCTGAATTAGTTACCAACATTTCTCTTCTCCGTTGGTTTCTCTCCCACGGAGCAAATCCAAACCTCGGTGCTCAACGTCTTCATCACGCTCGATTTGGAGATCCCGAAATAAATTCATGCGCTACCCTGGAATCTTCAGCCGCAAAAGCAGATGTAAAAACTGTACGCCTACTCCTAGAACACGGAGCCAAGATTGAAAATGGATATCCTTTACACTATGCTGCTGGCTCATGCCCTCCGGGAACAAACCCACATGTGGCTCTCGTGACCCCAAGTACAGAATTCGATATTGGTCGAATTCCAGTCATGGAGCTATTGGTTTCACGTGGGGCCGATGTAAATCAGAAGGAAGAGTCAAGATATATGGTACCCGGCTATCCGATTGTGTATGCGGTTATGGCAGGAGCAGTGGAGAGAGTTCGTTGGCTTCTGGATCGTGGCGCGAATCCGGAGTTGAGAGGTTCGTATGGGAGTGCGGTGAGCTATGTGGAGGTGATGGGAAGTGAGGAGATGAGATGTGTTGTCGCGGAGGGTTTAAGGGCAGGAAAGTGGTTGAAGGATGAAAAAGAGGTGGGCTCTTCTCAACGATCATGGGTAAATTAATGGTGATCGATCGAAGAGTATTTGCTCATGTATACCGATCACGATTAGGGGGAGATCCACACTTATGTTTAATTGAGAAAGAAATGCTGTGAATGTAAAGTGTTGATTCTTCTTCTCAATGGCGATGTCGTTGATTATGTGGTAGAAGCACCTTCTTACTTTTGAGTCAAGATTTCTAATAGTTCGGACTCTAGTTCATCAATCGAGAGCTTAGAGATAGTCAAATTCTTTGAAATATTGATATGATTACATATGTCAAAGAAATTCTGAACGTTGATTTGATTTGATTTGAAACAATGTCCCATTTTTACTTGATAGACTCCAAGCACGTGAAAGTCCTGAATCATACAATGCATAACGAGCTCATTTCCATTATAGCTAATGGCTAGCTAAGTCATATATAATAGCTAAATGTTCAGGGAATATACCTTGAATATGATCCTCATACAAGGCTCTTAGATGTCCCTTTCAAAGATACATTTATTACCACCACACACCTTCAGGCCCTTCCTTACCTCAATCTGACTCTTCACATTACACCCTTCTCGCCTTGTATTACGCATCACCTCCTGAATTTCCATCAAAACCAAAGCCTCATCGTATTACGCCAAGCACTCCCATGACGATCAACAGCTTACCTTACCTCGTGCTTCCTTCCTTCCATCCATCATCATATGAATTTCGAAATCTACAATACGAAAAAAGTATACACCTTTCACTTCACAGGATTCCGTCCATGCTATTGCGGTAAATCTTGAAACGCGGTATCATTTCTGCAGTAATAATAAGGCTGAGAATCTCTCGCGATGAGCCACTGCCGAGGAGGCGTAAACACACTTCCACCACGAAAACAGGAATCGCGTAAGCTGAGTATCTTGGAGAATCCTCTTTGTGTAAGTTTTAAGTTTTTTAAGCATACAATTAAGCTGGGGAAGGAAGGTAACGTGCGCAGTGCATATATTGTGTGTTGTGAATTGTACTCGATTTTGTTAACGTGATGGGCTGGCTGTTGTGTCACAGCTGAGTGTATGGTGTTAATTTGAGTGAGCATTCCTTTAGGAGCATTTCATGAGAGGTTTTATATGTCGAGAGTAACACAACGGGTAGGTTTGGGATATATAAGAATTGTGTTCTCCAGATGTGAGGTTTATTGCTAAAACGGTCATTTGCTTCATTCCTGTTGCTTTAATACAATCTTCATCTGATCTCATACATTTTCTTCTTCACTTTCTATAAACTTATATCGTCATTGTGACCATGCAGTTCAAAGTATTTGTTCCCGTAGCAGCTCTACTATCTCTACAGCTCTCCTCTGTTCTAGCTGCCCCAGTAGCAGAAGCAGAGACCGTGGAAGTCTCCTTCGAACTCGAAAAACGTATCGGCACCGACGCTGGAGATGGAACAAAAGCCAAGCCATACATTTTCAATATTGATTGTGCTGGTGTCGAAGAAGTATGCGAGGCTCAATGTGCTGCAATTCTCTGCTTCAAATCGCCTTCATTGCTGTGAGCTCGCTTGCCATATTGTTATCGTTAACATACAGATTGCTAACAGAAACTAGTCAATATGGAGGACCAGGATCTAATACGGCACAGAGAACAGCAAGTGGTGCCGGCTCGGACCCTTTCAGACCTCCCATAGCAACATTGGTTGGGGGCTCAAAAATTGATTTATCCGCGTTGAAACAATCCACTTGGACTAGTCCAGAAGATACCACCAATGCATCCGCAAAAGAGGGTGGAATAGGTTGTCTCATTGCACCTGTCGATCCAGGCCATAACACAAGTTAGTTTCCTTTTCCTCCTGTTATGGTAACAAAACTAACATATGTATCAGAGGAGGGATCTCGAGTCGTAAGCTAACCCAATTTCCATTATTGTACTATGAAGCTCTACATGAAGCTCTATTTTCTACATCAAAAACATACCCCACTGCACTCGAAGACTGTCTCCTCATGTGATAACTAACCCTCATTTGATAGTCCGGACAAATCAGTCACTACAAAGCCAAGAAAGACGAGTACTTCAAGAAGAAATACCACAACGCCGGGTAAGACAAGCCATCTAGTTTTTGCCTCGCCAACTAACACAAATTTGCAGTAAATACTGTACAGCATTAGATGCTGGAAAAGCAGCAGACACAGTTTGCAAAAATGCACCTTCAACCGATCCAGTCAACTTCATGTATCGAAGAACATCCAAAAAGATTGGAAACTCACTCCTCTGGCAACACCTTAAGTATGGAACTGACACATGGGCTGTCAACTTCCCCGGATATTCTTGAATGTTCGTATAAATATTATGATTTGACGGGTGACCAAATTGTTATGCCTTGCAAATAAATTGAGAAGTTGGGGATTTATGTTTTGAAAAGGATTGGACTTGATTTTCTTTCATGCTTGCGCTATTTGGGTAGACATTTTGTGATTTTTGCTTGGGTTGCTTTATTGCATTGGTGGAATGGCGAGGAATATGGTATGCGGACACATAGATTTATCAGAACAGAATGATGAACTCACATTCTTTCCAAATCTTGGATCTTACTATTCGATGTTCTAGGCCTGTCACGAGGTATTTGTTCTAGTCCTTCACCTTCATGGCAAATCGACGTACGAGGCCTGTGATTGCAATCGAGCAGGTTTGGTATGACTGGTATATCAATCTGATACCAAATTATACTTCTCGTGGAAATGATTTGCTCAAGGGGAACCGGGGCCTCATTCCGACCCGTACATAAACAACATCCAATCGAAAATGCTAGGGTAGGTAAACCTAAAATATACGATCTGACTCCTGAAGATTTTCTGTCTTGATTATAAGGATTATAGAAAGTGACAATGCAGTGACGTTCTAGACTTCTTGATTCGGAATGAAGGGTGACATCTCAAGGAAGGAAATTCGCAGGGAGCTGCTTTATACCAAAGTTCGAACCGATGTCAGTCGTTTCAAGAAGTCCAATCATCAATCTCGTACAGCTGCAATGTGAGCCTTTGCATCTGAACAAGATTTAGTGCATCAACCGAGAGATCTTCTTGACTACGGGTAAATAGTTTGAAAGTGTCGACTGTAGAGATAAATGTCTTTTCTACCCTCAGACAACTAACCTAGGCTCAGCTAGGGTGGTGGCAGAATCAATGCGGCGAGGCAAATACTAGCGCACCAATATTCCGAAGTTTATGCGAAACGGACACTGACATGCAGCTAGTTGTCTGTTCATTTATATGCTACTAACAATATCCATATAGCTAGGACGGCGTAAAACATCAGACGACGCCAATAATTCCTTCGCTGTGCCTCTTGGTTGCTTGCGGAATCCCTTAGATAAATGTTTCTTGCTTACGGTACATAGATACCTCTTATGTCATAGCAATATGCAACCACTTCAGTCTGCCCTGCAATTCTCTTGGCCATTCCTTAGTAGTTGGCAGGAAAATCTTGCAAGAAAGACGATACAATAGCGAGAACAACCAGCAATTGTCACTCACACAAAAGGTCATCTATAAGAGCCCGAGTATGTTCTAGAGGCCTAGTCCTACAAATTATATCTAGCATCATTCGAGATTGAGCTCAAATCCAGAAGATTCCCTCTACCCACGGTATCGTGGTTAAATGCCAGCTGGAACTGGAGCATCTTTGGAGCCTAATAATGGAAGTTCTCAGCACCATGTCTTGGATTTAGACGTCAAAAGTAAGATGCATCGTCTCAGTCAGAGTGAATCCTGCATGTGTTACGTAAGCACAGCCTCTGAGCCTCTGACGTTCTTTATTGTCCTGCCTCAATCCTCTATCAGCCTTACCTGGGTAATTTCTATACAAAATCCCCAAGTTTGTCCTATACTCTACAACTAAGATTCGAAAGTAATCCTTAAAGACTAAATCTCTTGTGGCTTCAACGTGACCCGCATTTCCAGTCAAGAAATATCTTGAGACCCGTCAGCTCACTCCGAATCCGAAGATATGGGTACATTTCTGGTTTTTTGCACGGCTCAAATACCAAACGAGGTAAGTCAAGCAGTCTGGTTGTTAATCGAACATACATTGAAACTTCCTCCCCAGACACTTTCAGTCTTCGTAACGCAATCTACCCAGGCCAAAAGCGCACCCGAAAGCCCATGGATCCTTCAAAGATCTCCGGATGAAGATGTCCACGGACCGGAACTTACTCTTCCTCTATCAAGTTCATCATTCACTACTGGTTTTCAAAACGCATCTCCTGAGGCGTTACAAAAGTTCATGATGGAAAATGTCGTCGACCGTCACGACTTTCCCAACTTCGAGGGTGGAATTGAATGGAATCAATTTGTAGTTCTGGATTCCCAAAGTGCAGAGGACAAAAGTACTTGCTTGGTTTATCATTGCATGAGACGCATGCCGGAAGGTTCGGCGGAAGATGAATGGGATGAAAAGAAGCTCGTTAGTGAATGGAAGGTCTGGCGCGTCAAGTTTCTCGTGGCATGGTGGCTGATTAGTGGACTGTGTATGAATGATCAAGCTCTCTTCCAGGTTCTCGAAGATGAGAGGGATACATATACCGACAAAGACGGAGTGTTGCAGATGCCATATTTGGAGAATGATGAGTATGAGTATCCGGATTTGGAGGATCGTGTCCCATGGGGACCAACTCCTTAGACAGAGTATTTCGGCTGTACCTATCTAGTTCCAGTGAACATACCCTTCACTGAAAATACAAATATGAATCACAAGACTGGCTAATGGCTGTTCTCGTCTGTCGACCATCATGCGTGATATCAGTCTAGCAATGTTTCGCCGCATGCTAGTATTACCCTCCTTGTTCACAAACTAGTTATACCACAATCATCAAATCACGCCATAGTTGGTTCTTATTCTATGCATTCAAATACCTCATCATCACGCCCGCCTCCGAGCAAGAAGAGATTAGTATTGGGTGCTCCAATGACGATTTGATGGACCGTTGCAAAACCATGACAATTTCGAATCGGATATCTCCATGAAATGCAACTCTTAGTAATTTTCCGAAGAGCATTGACCGTTTATTCAATAGACTTACATTTACTATACTAGCATACAATTGCAACTGATTTCCGCGGAGAATTTTGGTACCTTACTTTCGGTATTCTCTCTTCTTGTATGATACAATAATCCAAGTATAGACTCACGGCATCCATTATCGACTATGTGTTGGCTGTGTGTATAGACGATTCATTTGAACCAGCACGAACCCCCTAATAGAGTCAATTTTCCTCAAAGCTGCTCCACAACACTAACCTGTCTCCAGAGTGCCGGTATGTCCTAAGGTACCTTGACACTAGTTGCCTATAGTTCAGAACCCTCACTTGGGCTATTCCCTCTACCCCTCTTCTGGTTTCTTGTATCGGAATCTGTCCGCGTTTGGTCTTCCTCGTGAAATTGTCGTGAGAATCGTAAACTCCGTTCTAACTACTCAAGACCATTCGGCGACCTAGGTGGATATCGAGGACAAAAGAAATCTACATGAACATTATGTATTGCCTGATACGATATTAAATGGTCCGATTTTTGCCATTACTGCTTCATCGAATTTCAAAGGGTCAGCACTAAAAAGCCTCGAGCGTATACAGACTCTGAATTGCAATACATCATCATCGAAGGCCGAATGATTTGGGACGAAAAAGAAATGGTACAAGCAGAAGTCAAGGGTTCACGGATCGGAAAATCGAGAAAAAATCTCTCGATGCACGCTGATTCCTGATTTTTCCCGTGAGTAAAAAGAAATAGAGGGAACTAGAGGGGTAAGAGGTTAGCGACAATGTCCTTTGGCGGTCTGACCACAAGCTTGGAGACGATCCGTCTGATAATATGTGGGAATAGACGAAGTACAGAAAAAACAAAAACTAAAGTAATCTTTCAATGGACCCTGCGAAAGAAAACTGCTAAGCAGATAAGATAACGCTGGATGGTTAGGACGATAGTGGCGCGAGGATCCGGTGGAGTGGAGTTTGGGAAGCAGCTTTTCCAAGTGCTAGATGAGGAAACATGCCGAATTTGTTGTGGAAGAAGAAATATATCTGCAGACTAGACAGGTCTAGCTCGAGAAGTAGACGAGAAACGGTCAAGATCCTAGACGGTAGAGACATAACTGGGGATTTAGCAGATGTGATCAAAATTTCGTAGATAACGCATGCGCAGTTTTTTTGCTTCTTTGTTTTTGACAGTATCTCCACCGGTGCAGGTGCAACTGCACGGGCCTCAAGATCGTCGAGGGAAGGTGGCTTCACAATTGTGCTGCAAACAAAGCAAGCACTGTCAAAATTGAGATGCCGAAGATTAAGCATTCCTAAACCTGATTTGCGAGTAATTCCCGTCATGCCATGACTGGTGCTCGATCCAACTTATCGTATGTAAGTAATATCCTCATCTTTGCATCTTTGCATCTTTGCATCTTTGCATCTTTGTGTCACGGGGCCTTCAGAATCGCTGTCAATCTGCAACATATCTTGGTGTTTTACAAACCCCAAAAGAAAGTGTTGGACGCCCTGTTGTGTTTCGGATATAAGATACTGTTGATCATATCTGACGATTCCAGACTGTTGGGAATCTGGGGACCAGAGATCGAAGTAGAAAAGCTTGCGAAGACCCCTTTCATTTCCTTTCCTTTTTCGGCGTTAAATCGGTGGTCACATCGAGCCCTATGCAGCAACGATCCTTGAGGGTGCATCACACTCGGCACTTGACGCTTTAGTTGCTTTTTACTTGCAGTGTATAGCGTTGCGAGTCATCAACTCTCGGCAGAGTCTATTCCTGATCCATCATTTGATGAATTCTTCATCTTCATCTTCAAGACTTCCGGTTTTGGGGTGAAGGGCAATTGGGTATAACATTGTTGCCGGTACTACAGCATGTAACGTTAGACGAATGCGATCTTATTCCAGCCGTCCAGAACCATGCCCCATTCATACCTCTGAAGCTAATCCCCGCACTTTGGCAGCGCCCAATAACCTTATCCGGGGAATCTATCGATACAACACCGTACGCGATCTTCATTCGTCTGCTAATGCCCAATGAGAGAAGGTAGTCCGTGCGTTATGCCCGCTTTCTCAGGGACTCTTTCCCTCATATTGAAAGGGATCTTACATCGTCCACATCCCGAGAATTTCATCAAATCACCTCCCTTAAACGCTACCTGGATTAGCTCCATGCTTGAACTTTCTATCAAGTAGTCGCCGTTCTTCAAAGCAAGATACGGACATCTGTGCTCAAAGTCTAGAGGACAACAGGAGATCCTGAATGATATCCTCAATATGAGAATAAGACAACAACCTATTGGATAATCGGAGATCTGCTAATGCCATTGAGTGTTGATAGATCAAAATTCGAGGGTTCGTGACACGAACATGGGGTTTCCACAATAAATCTGGTGGCTTGCAGTAGTTGAGAAGCATATGTTATTGAAATCTGTGTGTGAAAGATACTTTCCATCCCGTCCCCCTACAGGTTTAGTATATCAAGGTGGAGTTCCCTTGCGTTAGGCACGGATCTTTCCCTTGATACTTTTTTGGAGCCGCAGTAGTGAGCTGCTAGCATTGTTACTTTCTTATTCGACCGTTTCCCTACGACTATATACTTCAACTAATGTACTTCCATCTTGCCTTCATGTCGACCACATACATTTCAAGATGCAACTTCCCTCTCCTGAGATCCTCGCCTCTTGGCCAGTCCCGAATTATGATAACCCTACAACGCGAGGGAATGGAGTTTTAATTGTCACTTCAATATTATTTCCTCTAGTTCTATCCATGATATTCATCAGGCTCTACACGCGACTTGTAATGTCAAAGAGTTTTGGATTAGATGACTGGCTCATAATTGCAGCAATGGTGCCATCGACAACATTTGCTATCCTCGCTATCCTCGCAGAGAGAAAATTCCACTTCAATCGACATATATGGGATGTTCCATTCAATCGGGTTACCTTTGGTCTACAATACATTATAGTTACACAAATCGTTTTCACACTTGGCCAAACTCTCACAAAATGTTCTATGTTGGCATTGTATTACCGAATTTTATCAAGCGGGCGAAGGTTCAAGATGATGACCATCGCGGCTTCCATTATAATCGCTGTTCAAGGCCTTATATTCATCCTCGTTACTATTTTTCAATGCCGGTTAGTGGACTCACATGTTGATAGCTGACTGGGGTCACATGAATATCATTGACTGACTCAAAAACTAGACCACCCTCTCATTACTGGCTTATAACGTTCGCCTCTCAGCCAGAATGCATCAATGAAACTCTTCATGTCACGGTTGCTGGAACCATAAATACTGTGACTGACTGTATCGTCGTTTTATTCCCAATCCCGAAAATGCTACAATTGCAGATCTCTCATCGTCAACGGCTCATCATTATTTTTCTCTTCGGCGCCGGATTTCTCGTCTGTGTAGCTGGAGCTGTGAGAACATACTACACTTACGTAGAGTTGGTTTCATCGGATATGACATGGGACACTTATTATGTTTGGATAAGTAGCACCGTTGAGCTTTATGTTGGTATAGTAAGTATCTCCATTTTATCTTCACATCGCAGGAAACACAGTGAACAGTTCTAACAGAATCTCAGATTGGGGCGTCCGTTCCTGCCACAAAACCTTTCTTCACACGTTACATACCTTTTATCCTTCCCCACTCTTTACATTCCAGCCGAAGCGACCGTTACGCTATCTCCTCAGCGGATAAGGGACCATTTTCAGGATCCACAACAGTCGCTACTCCAAGAGCCTCTCGTACCTTACAAAAACTCTCAAATGACGATCTTGAACTAGGCGATGTTCGAGAGTGGGAAATCAGGACAACAAGATGCTCAAGGAATCTGGATGCAATTGAAGAGATTGGAAGTGATGCCAGCATTTCGAGTTTCACGAGAATGGCAGCTGAGGGAGAAAGGAGAAAGAGTAGTGATGAGTGTAGAAGCGACGAAATCGGGATAGGAAAGAGAGATAGTGATACGAGACCAAGAAGTGAGGATACCTTTCGCTACACGACGAATTCCAAAGATGAAGCAATCGATGAAGGGGATTTGGGTATGGCCGCTCATTACAAACCGCGATACTCTGTGTGAAGAACAACCCACTTAGTGGAAAAGGAAAGGAGTTTTTGAAAAATTATATATATATCTAAGGAGTCAAAGGGGCGTCGAGGGAACGGCTGGTTGATGAAAATACCCATCTCTCTGGGAGATTGAGCAATGAAATTCGATATCCGCAATAATATCAGTATATGGTAAGTTTTGGGCTGGGAATAATATTCTACAATGTAAATTTCTTAAACATCCTCCGGAGATACTTTGTGATTTCCACTTTTCCAGTCGCCGACCTTCATCTAAGCTAATGTGCGTTTCTACCCATTTCAACTCTCCTGCAGCTATGCATCACGGACTTCCCCTTACTATATCTAACGCCTCATACTAGTTCCTGCTACTACCAAACTGCCGTCGGCGCTTGCCATGACTTTTCGTCTGATGAATGATGTAATGATTATAGTTCCCGTCTAAGGTTTTGTTGCAGATCGTACGAGATCTGATCTAGTGGCTGCTTATGAGATCTCAGGGTTTAATGATTCAAATTGATTACCTATACTACATTAGTATGTTACCAAGTTGGTGGAAATGCCGGACTTGTTGCTCTTACATCGATATTTATCCCGCGAATCTATAGTGTTAGTAGTACCTTTTCTCAAACTTAATTTTGTCTCCATGATTCGCTTAATCAATAAACTTTCCACTACCTGCTCCTCCATTATCGACCTCCTCATTCATACATGCATCTAGACTTCGTTTTTGGTCATTCACTCTTCTATAATCAAATTTCTCTCACACATCTCCTTTCCACCGGCATTAATTACTCTCATACCGAAAATTAGCTTCGAATCCCATGCAGTAAGCTGCGTGTAGGCGTTATCCCACATTCCTCTCGTCCGTCCACCCAAAATTTAAGACGGGATCTCATCCGCAAATTATGTCCACTTGTGTAAATAGATTGGTAATATAAATTGAATCAAGTGATATAGATAGAGAAAGTGTCTAGGATGTTATACCTCCTGTAATTGTCGGGGTAAAGAGATATAACAGCGGAGTGAACACCTACATGACTTCCGAGTCTGTTTTAGCCGAGAAATGGACTTCCAGTTAATTTCAGCAGTCAGCGGATTGAGTAGCTCACATTCAGTGCTGATATTCGGTCCCGAGGATTTGAATATCATCATTTGCTGTGAGTTATGATAGTGTAAAGAAATACCTTTAACCCCTTTTGTAACTCCGCGAAATCACTAAACTTTCGCTGAATTCCATGTTCAATATGCCCTCTCCGTGTCACAATCCCACGAAATCTATTCTCTACATTCATTAGTAATTCCAAATTATTATGTATCACATCCTTCCAACTATAACCGAAAGCAAAACCATCTCCTTATCCATCACCAACCCCCTCATCGCCCCTCCCCACATCCACACCCTCTCTTCTCCACCACTTATCCTCGCCCAAGAAGTCTTACTCCATTCCCACCCACCGAAACCAATAAAACAGATTTCGAAACCAATTGTCCGCGATGCATTTATCGCATTAGATCGAGATGAGTACCACTTCATTTATCAACTTGCTCTTGCCACATCTGCCGGAACATTATCGAGATAGGAACGAGTTTCGGGGTAAGTACGATTCATTTTGCACTAGCTAATACGAGTAATTTACAAATGATAGGGGGGAGGGAAAAGTAATCGCTACGGAAAAAGAAAGCGGGAAAGCGGAGCAAGCGAAGAGGTATTGGAGGAAGCGGGGAGGATGTGAGTCGGGATATTGAGTTGAGAGAGGGGGATTGGTTGGAGAGGTTGAGGAAGATGTTCAGGTTCATTTGGTGGTGCTTGATGGTATGGTATCATTCTTGATTTTTGTAGGAAAGGATATTCTGACGATTTGCTAGTCTGGACGCCAATTGCGCTACCGGTGTTGAAGATTCGGGAACCGAGAATGAGAATGGGTGCGCTGGTTATTATAGATAATGTGGTAGATTCTGCGGAGGGTTTGCGGATTTGTTGGAGTGTCTTGAGGAGCCGGCGAATGGGTACACGAATCTGATGATTACGTATGAGAAGGGATTGCAGATGAATATTAAGTTTTAGGGGTGGGATGCTCGATACAAGGATCATCGAATGACTCTCCTCCTTTGCGTCACTGGTCTTTCAAAATATTGACCTCAATTTGATCCGCTTGGATTTCAATTCTGAGCTGAAAACAATTGTGTGATCCAAGATGTTCAAAATAAAATCACAAGTAGTCAATAATATTATAGCAGACATAAAGAGCACTTGACAGACATAACCTGGTTGTGCAAACTCACTTGACAGTCTTTACGGAACCTTGATCTACATGCATAATTTCTCTACATCAAGACACGAAATGTATTCTTTCTGGACATTAAGGCCCGAGAAATCACCACTTGACAGAAGCCATGAATGTTTGACAGCTAGAGTAGATGAGAAATTGAAAAAAATAAAATTGAATAAAGTGAAAGATAATTGCTCCAACTTGTATGTATCACTTGAAAATCACTACCCATGAAAGATATATACTAAAGAGATACCATAAAGCCCATCCACACCTCAACGCCTCCCTGTGGGCCTAGTTTCAAGTCCCCATGAGTTCCAACACCACCCCTTAGAACCCCGGTCCAAAAGTCCCATCACCACTAGATCACTCATCAGCAAATCTTCCCACAGAGACCAAACCAAGATAAAAATCAAGAAACCTCCAAAATACTCACGTCCCCATCTCCTGCAAATCCAAACTCCACACCACCGTCCCACCAATACAAAGCCCATCCGCATATTTCCTCTTCACCCCCCAACTCTCCTCATCATCATACCCCATCCACTGCTTCCCCCTCCAAACACAATCTGCTTCACCCCCGTCTCCCCCTCCTCCGCCGCACTCGCTCCCACCCACGTGGCTTTCAATCCCTCTCTCTGCACCAACACCTCAATCTCCCTCATACTCAGAATTCCGGCTTCGGTACTACACGGACCGGGCTCATTAGGCCCTATATACGCACACCCGATATCCGCACACGCCGGATTCGCAAGCGTGTAGCCACGTCCGTAGGCGGCAAGTCCGAGATTCAGTTTCATGGGATCGACGCCTGCGAACCAGAGAGGAGAGATTGCGGCTGTGATATCTGGCAGAGAGGTTTGTGGACGCACAAAGGCGCCGAGGGAGGGGTTGGAGGCTTCCCATGGGCCGTGCAGGTCGTAGGACATGAAGTTGAAGAAGGTGGTGTAGGGTTCTAGGTTTATGGGGTCGAAGAATTGGAGGGAGGAGATATCTGGTGGTCTGTTTTCCTTGTTAGCTCACTCTCCCCTTGCTCACTCTATCTTTAGAAAGTAAGATGAGAAGAGGAAAAATCTCACAAAACAACACTAATCCCCCAATTTTTCCCCGGGTGATTCGCTGTGAAACTCTCCTTCATCTCTCTCACCAACGCCACAAACCCATCTCGATCACTATTACTACTCGGAAACTCCCAATCCAAATCTACCCCCTGGAAATTAAACGTACTCAACCATCCCTCCACACTACTAATAAACGCCGCTCGATTCCCCTGATTCGACACCATCTGACTCCAAATCGGCGGCAAGACACTCGATCCACCGCCCCCAATAGCCATGTACGTCGCCAAAGTCGCAGAAGCGAGAGCAGTAAAGGGATACATGAGAGGTATAGCCGTGGTATCGAAAGGAACCACGTGGAAAGTATTGGGAGAAATAGACATGAAGGCGAAGATCAGATGCGTGATATTTTGAGTGGAGATAAGAGAAATGGGGAGCGCATTACAGGAACGCGTCGCACTGCCGATTTGCCAGTAGGATACTTTGCGCCCGTTGCTGGCGGTTGTGCTGCCCGGACCGCAGTTGGGGAAGTTTATTGGGCCGCAGGCCCCGTAGCCGTGTTGGCATGGTGCGTTGCCGTTGATGGGGTCGGCGTTGATGCAATAGGCGGATGTGGTCTGCGATTACAAGTCAATTACAAATTTATCGTATATTACTCGATGGTGCAGTAAGATTTGTGAGCATCATACAGGATTCGAAAATACATACCCCGCAGTACCCATTACCACTACAGCAAGTATTCAGAGGACATACTTGACTCCCCTGCGGAGCATTTTTACCACATTGCGTTAAATCTCTGCGATTCGAAGAGTGAACTGGGGAGGAAGTTTTGGTACAATTAACAGAATCGCGATCACATTGTCCTGGCCTTTGATCCAAGCATTAGCATCATCTCATGAGCACATCATAGTACGAGCCATCCGCAGATTCGAATAAACTCTGGCCAAGAAGCAGCTATCAGGAAGCAAGATGACTCACTAAAGAAAAATTAGAACCTCCTCGCTTCATATGCTATTAGCCAACCAATCCATTATAAGAAGAACTTGCCAAATCACAACACTCCCCTTCCAAATCCAACTCTCGATGCAAAAGCACCGGTCCCGCACCACAAATTCCTAGATAAGCCAAACCAAACAAAGAAAATGTCCAAAAACGCATGATAACCGAATCGATTAAATCTCACTCACACTCCCCAAGATATAGCAGAGGGGTAGGAAATATATCCCCTCGTAATTCATGTGTATAAAGGAACAAAAACTCCGCTGTACATGCATCTGATACCTTTTGCGTTCGCAATAATCGACCAGGTGAGCGGGAAATCTCTCATCCGCAACCAGACCATCGAAAGCAAATTGCGAAGAGTCTGGAAGTCGGTGTCTCTTTGCCCAGTATGTGAATTCACTAGTCATTCAGGAGGACATTTTCTGGAAATGAGGGCGTACTGCAACGAACAGAGCCGAGACATTTGAACGCCTCTGCACAACTTCAAATCCCAAGAAGAAGGTATGGAAGAAGTCTAAACGCCATAGATGGAAACATGTGAAAACTGTACCACCCCTTGTAATCCGAGGTATCGATTGTGAGATCACCAATCTCCCACCTGCCAAGGGGTCTAGTCATTTTGGTACCACGCTTTGCTAATCTTGAAGGTAAGACTAGGTATTGCATAAAATTAATGTATTGACTGGAACTAACTCTACTGGAGTAAGGATCCCTTACATGAAGAGATTTTAGACGAAACCATGTTAAACCTGGATGCATGGAATGCTTTACTTCCATGACTAATATCCTACAACTTTCTACTCTTAACCAAACCAGTCTTAATACCAGTTTTCTCACCACCATAACCACCTCTTTCTTCTCCACCCTTGTACACAGCTTTCATACTGCCCAGCTTCTTCTTCTTCTCGTCATACTTCATCCTCTTCTTCACTCTTGGGTTTCTGACCTCCTTCTTTCTCTTTGGCGCCAATCCCTTATTCTTCTCAATCACATATCCGATAGCTCTCTTGCCATCTTCGTCATTCTCCACTTCTACTACTCTTGCCAATTTTCCGGCCTTCTTCGCTTCAGAAATTGCGGCATACTTTGCCTCTTTGTCATCCTTGCGTTTCTTTGATGTCTGTGCAACCATGTCATAGTACTCGTCTTCATCGCCTCGAACTTCGCCAGCAACAGCTTCTTGATCGTCGTCGTCGCTCTCTCCACCCAGAGCCGTACCTCTTCCGTATTCATCCAATTTCTTTCCACGCTTCTCGGCCTCAAGGTTGAGTCGTGCCTGGCGATCTCTAAGCCGTTCTCTATAGGGTAGATCCTCGTCACCACCGGCTCCCCTTCCTGCGTCAAGTCTTTTATTCGCTTTCTGGGCAATTTGAGATGTGTAGAACTTGAGTGACTTCTTTCTTTTAGCCTTCTCCTCCGCAGCCTTGGCATCCATAGATTCTTCTTCGCCGAAATCGGAATCATCATCTGCCTCAACAACAACTCTCGATACCTTCTTTGACTTCTTGGCTTTAGATACGAGATCATCAAGACCTGCCAAGTCTTCCTCTGCTTCCTGTATCTGTTTGCTACGTTTTGCGGCCGCCTTTTCAGCAGCAGCAGCGCGGGCCAGTTCCTTTCTGGATTTCTTCGTTGGTCGAATTGTCTCCATCTCCTCTTCTGATGTGAGTGTATCCTCCACGTCATCCATAGATATATTTTCGTTTGCATCTTCCGAATCTCCCTTCAACTTTGTGACGTCAATTGACTTGACCCTTAACCATAACTCTCGAGTTGACTTTAAATAATCCATAATCTCATGATCTCGCAATTCTTGTGGATTCATAGTCTTTCCCTCTCCTTCAGGAGACTGTGATGGAGAGGTCAAAAGCGAAAAGTACATGGCGATAGTAGATGTGTAAGCTGCTAAAGCTCTGGCTTTTGTGACTGTAAAAGGTATCGCGTCGATTTCATACTCAGGCAACTGGTCTACTTCCTTCAATAAATCTTGAAGAACAGGTGCCAGTTCTAAAAATTCGTCTGCTAGGAACTCGAATTCTGGATATCTCGAATATAGTATCCTCAACCTTTCTTCCGGGCCCATGTCTTCTGTGATCTCAATATCTTTCAAAACCTCTGTTACCACATCTCCCTCTTCATAATCATCATCTGCCTCTTTGTTGCCTCCCTTGCCCTTTTTAAGAGCACCCCCCAGGCCTTCCTCGTCATCACTCGCAGGGAGCCATTTGATGTCAAGTTCATCGAGACCGAAAGAAGCTTTGGTCAATTTCGAAAGCCTCTTTTGTTGTAATCGTTTAGCCTCCTCTTCTTCCATCAGGGCGTCGGCTTCCGTTTCGATGTTATCCGCATCATAGTAATCGCGCTTCGAAGATCCCCATCCCTCAGCATATTCGTCTTCCTCTTCCGCATCCGCCTCATCGTTTTCTTGAGCTTTTGATTTCTTCGATTTCGGCGCCTCGTATTCTTCTTCTTCTTCTTCTTCAGAACTCTCGTCGGAGTACCCTAATACCTCTTCGTCCGACAACTCGACTAATTCATCTGTAAGAACTTTTAGCTACTATAAAATCCACAATCTCAATTAATCTAACCGTCATAATTCGATTTCCTCTGGCGCTTAGCGTTTGGTTCATCATCCAACATAACTTTATCTCTGTTGATGTGGAATTCATCCTCGGAGTCGGCGATATCTTCATATGTTGTGAAGGCTACTTTTCCTTTGGACTTGTCGAAATCTTGCGTGCGACTTTTGACACTTTGCCCGGAGGCCTTCCTTTTTTTGCCAGCCATTGTTGTAGATTTGCTCGGATTATCGCGCGGATTGCGTGGAATTCTCGTTTCTTCCTCCTGTAGCTAGAGATTTCGATATCAAAAAAACATTTTCTCATTATCTTAGCGTCGCGCTAGACCATTGATATGATCCTTGTTGCCGCAGAACGCCAAATACACGTGATAGGTTCTAGGGGCTTATGCTCGTGCTCTTCATCGATTCGTCATACTGGAGTAAATTCCTTATAGAACTTTTGTATGTATGGTATTTGAAAATTTCCTATAATCTTTCGATAAATTATTATTATTTTTCCGATATTGTTTTCCTCAGAAATGATCCATGTGTGACGCAAAAGCTCAATGCTGTCTTGTTTTTCTACATCCAAAAATATCTCTTTCCACTTCCCCTCTCCTAACACCATGCAAAATAAGACATCTAGAATCCCATTCCATCTCCCAGACCATCACCTCCGAAAGCATCCAGTAAATCACCACCATGGCCGCTTCCGCCCATCATCATTAAATCTTCGCTACCAGGACCCATATCATGCATATCAAGATTAGGTTGATCGACTGGTCCAAGACCAGAATCTCCCATTACAGCATCTCCCATAACCTCATCCAGACCACCCATACCATTGTCATCTGGTAATAATTGTTGTTGTATGACTGATTGTGCTTCAACTCTTCTGTACAACCTAATGACAGTTTCGGCGTGAAAAGTGTCAGTCTTGTGGACTTTCGGCATGTTTTCTGCTTCTGCCTTTAAAGCTTCCCTTAGAGTTAGTCGTCGTTGAAGCAGTTGTGGTGTGTTACCACTCATAATATCTATTCCTGAACCTGAGTCAAAGCTTGCAGAATCTGGAGCGCATATTAATGAAATGGCAATGTCCAGTACCACGCTTCCATTACCAGCTTCGGTTTGTGTTTTCACTTCCTCAATAATAGTATTTAGCAATCGTTTTGCACCGAGAATTTTCAGTCCAGCAAGAACCTGTCGATGAGTATAAGAAGCGGGCATAATTTGCATGCCCGGGTTGCGATCACATTGAAGACCCCATTGAGCGAGGGTAACAATTGTGTGCTTTATGCTGGTAGTCAATCCACCCCCAGGTGTGGCTGTCCATACTTCTAACTCGCTGTATTTACTAGCACCTCTTCGTTCCCAACCTACGTTTGACTCCAGTGCTTTCGAAATCGAATCAATGTCGTGACGGTGAGGCTCCGCGCGCTGGAGCCATCGGAGACTTTGTTCAAGATTTTGGGCTATGATCTTGAGGATCGCATTAAGTAGGTGAGATGCTTCCATGTTGTTTGATATGGATGGAGGGCTTTTGATTAAAGCTGACAGGATCTGAAGAACATAAGTCGCTTGAGGGCGTGCTTCCCACAGATGAGCCGAGAGCCATGTGATGCCCGGAATCAGAGAAGGAAGCAAAAATGGTTCAACCATGAATTCCAGACCACCTTTCAAACCTTCTTCCGAGAGAGTCTCTGTGCTAAGTGCTAGCACAATATGGTGAAAGAGAGTGGGTACCAAGAGGTAGAACTCTTGTGGCGGGCAAGATGACATCAGCTCATCACCAAGCCCGCCACCTTCTGGCTCAAACAGCCCTCTGATCCACCCGTCTAAATGATTTTGATCCTGCTGAGATAATGGATCCAATGCTCGACTGAGATGGCCCTGGACGAGTAACTTTGCTACAAATGATTCCGTCGGGTTTTTGATGCCCAAATCAACAGTTGAAAGGTTGTAGCGATGCGCAAATGAAACTACCAGCAGCAATATTGATCCAAACTCTTCATAAACAGGTTGATATTCTCCCTGGTCTTCATCATATCGCCAATTATCAAGGAGCTCGCAGATTGGTTGCAAAAAGGATGTAGGCTTATTAAAGAGAAGCATTATATCCAAAGAAGATGGATTACGAGCCAATTGACTGCATAAAGTCTTCAAGGTCATTGTTTCTTTATTACCACACATGTGTTTTATAACCTATTGCTAATTAGTCATGGTTATGAGGGGCTAGCCGAGATACATACCTCTGCAATTGCCTGACTAACAGCGCCAGCATTTCCATCCATATTTTCTAACTCGGAAATCAATCCTTCGGCCCGCTCCGAGTCAGAAAGACATTGTTGAACAAGATCCTGCTTAGAATACCTTCCACCGGCAGGTAAACTTTGCATAGGTATATCGCCTAGTAGAGTTTCAATACTAGATTCCGGAATTAAGCCATGTAAACAGCAAGCGAAGCAGAAGTCCTGTCTAACGGAATCTGAGAACATGTCATTATTAGTCGACTCTGCAAACAGAGTAGAAAGAGTGGGAAATGCATTAGTATCGACATGACTCAAAGCTTCCGTGATACAAAATTCTGATGTCAGTGGTGGGAAAAAGGATGTTGCGAGCGTTGAGACGAGTAAGGGAACTTTGTTGATCAAAAATGATCGTAGTATAGTTGTGGTTTGTGGTCCTTCGTTTCGGAAAGTTGCATTGGCCAACACGTCAAACGATGCAAGTATAAGATCTACTGTCGTCGATTGGACATCTCCCTTGCCATGATTAGTAAAGATTTTGTAGGATGATTAACCGGAATTACCTGATATCTATTGTGCAAATATGCAAAAATTGCACTATCGTCGACAAGGGGCCTACCAACAAGCTAGAATCGGTTAGTTTACATCGGAGATACTCATTATGAACATCGTGGTACTTACAATAGAATTAAAATAAATATACAGACCCGCTCGAGAGTTGATAGTTGGCAGATCAGCGACCACGATATTGTCAATGTTCATCCCAATTGTGGAATCCAAAATCTCGTTAATCTCAGCATTGGCAACTCGCTCCTTTTTGTCAACGGGTAGAATCGTGATCAGAGTCTGTGTTCGGAATACGTCTAATCGTTGTACATTCTGTGGGGAGCTCTGAAGTAACAAAGGAACAAACCCAGCCATAGCCTTTCCGAGGTCAATGCCGGTCCCTGTTGGTTGGAGTAAGCATTTGAGCGGCACTATTCAGGCACTAGAATGAAGCAGGAATACCTTTTGGGCAGCGACCGTTTTGTATAGCTCCTAAAATCTTTGCATTCCCAACTACTGCGACCATCAAAGTTCCCAAAGCCATACCCACCATCCCGATCTCCTCCACATGAGCTTCGATGTCCAATATCTCGTGCGCCCCTCTACCCATACTGGTAGCGACCATATCCATCCATTGAATACATATCATCAGTAGGTCGACTGCTTCTTGGACATTTTTAGGCCTTATACCAGTAGAGACTGTTTTCGCAAGTCGGTACAACATCATCTCTTCGGCAGAATATGACATTTTCCACCTTCTATTCCCTCCCTTCACTCTTTTGGTCTTATCTGCACCATTATTGGCTTCGCTATGCATGTGCCCATCTTGCATATAACTCCAGAGTGAAGAATATCTCAACAAAACTCGAAGAATTCCGGCGCAATCAATAAATCCTTCTGCTAACAATATTTGTACATAACGTAATACTCGTGGATCGACATGTATATCGTTGTATTTGTCGGGACGGAGGAATATCTCGCATATATATTGAGATGGCAGTGGGTTCCTCGAATATAATATACGAATGTAGTCTGTGAAAGGTTCGAAGTCAAGCCTCGAGGCAAGGCTATTGTTCAGTAATGTTTGCCAGTTTGCGATGGCAGCTTGTGCGGTCATCTTTGAATCGTACAATGAAGTTTAGATTAGTAAATGCCCATTACACCCGTCGCATACACACATTGGAAGGCCTCGTTATCAGACTGCGGTATAATAAGAGAGTGTAATGATAAGAATACAAAATGTGAAATAACGATAAAGTAAGGAAAGGATTTGTGTGAGTGAGAGTGTGCGTGTGTGTGTCAGTGAATCTAGAATTAAAGTTCAGATGTGAATGGAGCGCCCACCGATAATGCACGTAGTTGTGGAGACCAATCAGCGAAGGATTGCTTTATCAGCCTTGTCTTAGCGTCCATAGCCCTAGCACGACTGAACCATTCCCCCCATGCCCTATAATTTACTTTTACGCCCGGAATTACCATGCCTGCAGGTGGGTAGATGCAACGGGGTTTTGAAAATACGATCAGCAGCACGTCAAAACTCTAACATTCGCAAAATGGCTTTCAGGCATATGGATGATAATTTATTGTACAAAATACGAGAGAAGAACCTGCAACTAAACCTGATACCAAAACGTCACGAGCCTCATGTTACGACCTAATTCCTGGATATCTATAACTCCTATTGCCAGCGTGATCTCATGTAAATTTACCACCTGAATGCTCCTACAAAAACAGGCCCAAAGACCTCGACTGAAAATCCTATCTGTGCTGTAACTCTCAGTTATCAAAATCACTCTCCTTCTTGATCCGTGGTGAGTTATAATGCGGCGTGCGTGAACGTGAAGGGGGCATTAAACTTTGCGGTGTTCTGGGACCGATCACCCAATCCTGCATGGCCATCCAACCACTCCAAGCTTCATCCGCGGAGGAAAGCTCTGCCTCTTCGATCTTCGGCAGAGGAATCATGTAAGGCGTTGATTGTTCTGCAGCCAGCGAATCATCGTAGTATTTCTTTACATCAAGCCATTCCTTACTTTTTGATGCGAAAAGGTAATTGCGTCGCTCTAGTTCATGTATGGTCCCTATCCCCTGAACCCAATTTGCACCGAACCAAGTTCCCATGATTCGAGGATCATCGTGACCAGTGACTATTAATCTTCTTATGTACGGGATCAAGGACACCGATTGCGGGTAACCTGGGGGAGGGTGAGGTTCTTCCTCTTGTTGACGGTCGGAAAGATTCTTCAATGACCATGCGGCCGAAGCTCGATGGACTGGGTAGGGTTGCTTTTGATAAGGCAGCTGAATGTTTATGAATGCTGCCACGGCCTGAACATAAAAATCATGTTGAGCTTGGTCGAGAAAGTAGTGATGGCACTGTAGGTAATGTCGGTACCAATTAACAGTATCAAAGCCTGCCTCTTGCTCTTGACCTCTATTTCCGTTCCCACCGGAAGGATTGCCGTAACTTGCGGATCCTTGCTGGTATTGTTGTTGAGCATGAAGATTTGGGTTGGATGGTCCAGCCTGGGAATGATACGCCATCGCCGTTCTGCTATAAGACGACGTGCATTAGTAAAGGTGCAAAGAGTATCGAATGAATGCTGTGTGTACCAAACGCCAACGACTCGGATCATATAAATAATGCAGAACTCGTTGTGAAGAAGGGTATCCGTTATCAATAGAATCAAAGTGAATGATTATGGCGCGACAAGGTCAACAACGTTCCGAATCGGCAACATATATAATACAATCACTGACCCGAGTTGTATTATTTTTCTGATGGGAAAGAGAGGTTGATACTAAATCAAACAGGTCGGCATGCTATGAGACCGTGTCGAGAAGGTCATAATATCTCGGGAAGACCTATGCCAATAGGAGCGTACAGTAGAGTACTTATACTTTTCATGACGGAGGAAGAGAATAAGGTGAAGGAGAGACGGTCGAGAAAGTAGAGACTGCGAGTACAATGCATGGTTGCATCTAGACGTAATAAGTGGAGGTGTGAAAAAAAGAGCACAGCAGCTTTGATCAATTGAAACTTGGACATAATAGCTACCTATTAAAAAGGAATAAAATTAAGATTAGATAAAATGGAAATACAAGTAGAGAGAGAGTATGGAACGAATGAGAAGTGAGGAATTAGGATTTACAAATTAGCAGATGGCTATCTATTTTGCCATTCCTAATAGTATGGGAATAGTCCTCGTAAATGAAAGGACATTACGAAATTGATAGTCGACCGGAAGTAGGTTGATAGGTAGCCTTACAGGTACAATTTTTGGTGGATTGGTTTCTACTTTATTGCATGATTCAGGTACTCAACAAAGATTCAGGGTCTTCTTCAATCAGGGTTTCTCGGTCCGGTCTACTAAATTGAGACACTGTCGACTGTATGGCTATTTCTTCTCTATTTTGGGTGAGTTGAGTGGATTGAGTGGATTGAGTGGACTGTCTGGCTCGACGGAAAATGGGTTAAAGTTTAGAAGTTTAGCTTGGTCTGAGAGATACCTGTTACGTGCTCTCCTCACACGCTCGATACAGTACTTGGTGTGGCCGATCATAGACCACGCCGTCGATAAACCGGTCGACGAGCTCTAGGTCGGTAGGTCTGGAGGCTATCTTGCCTGTTCCATTTAGCACGTCTAGTAGGTGGTAGGTTAATAGTGTTAGTCGTATTCGTATGTGGCCGCTCCTGAGACTTTTCTTTTGTATTTCTTTTGGGGAATTTTGAGCACCGAAAACGTAACTTTCATTGGTTCAATGACATTATCAAGTCCCCTATTCGGTCTATGACATTAATTCTCCTTTGGTGTACCTCACATATGATCTCGTCTATGTGCATGTATGTGTGTATATGGCAGGATCACATAAGAACTACGCATCTGTCCACCTGGTACTCAATATATACTCGGAGCGATACCACCTCTTCCAGATCCCGAACAAATAAAGACGAGGGGGTCCTCGGCCAACCTAGATGGCTAGGTAGTTTGACAGTATCCACCCACTCCGTCGTAGTTTTCAGGGACCATGACATACCTACCATTGACTGGGCACTCCTTGAACAGTGCACTCCTGCTGCACATTGAAATCCTACTCCGCACGTGCTAGGTAGCTATACAGAATCTAATTGGCTATAGAGCTCAGTCAAGGAGAAATCGAGGGGAGGCTGCAGACCTGCAATCTGCCAGCCTGCTTTCTTTGATGGGTGTTGACAAGAATAGTCTCGAGACAAGTTTCCCGCCGTATCCTTTTCATCCCTTTACTCGTCTACGCTGAAGTGTATGCATTGTGCAGCTCGACTAGGATAGGCATTTCTATTAATGATCACTCACCAGGCGCTTATTCGTACTTTTACACTCTCTTCGTATTCACATCCGGAGTTAATAGCCGGTTAGTGGCGGTCACCTTGCTCCTGGTCTCCAGGTCATCTATTCTTCTCGAGCCTGACTAGACCCCCTTTTTCCAGAATTGCCGAAAAATCTCTCATTTTAGTTGGCTCTCATCCATCGAGTGACGAGGTATGTGTTTGAAGTTTTTTGCTATCTATTACCCCTTCAATTACCCATCTCAGTGCTCCCGAAACTCATTTGGGCCACTATGCGTGTGACTCGAAGATTACAAAGACGCCGGGCTGGGTATTCGCGTTTTCCTTCAATTGTCCGCCCAATAATATGAATGCTTTCGTCTGCCTGTGTCCGCGGTATGTTCGGCTCAGACCTAATGGCCGATTCATTGGACTTTGAGATGGGCATGTGGATTCGAAAACAAAACCCTCTCCTTACGCGCAGTGCACATTTGATAAGCTGCCTACATAAGCGGTGAGTTAAGCACATATGTATGTCGTGCAGATACTTTTCACTTGTCGCGCAATTGCAAGGCTGGCATCGTCGGCATTTTGTGAAGCTGGGATTTGTAAAAACCTATGGTTTCCTAGAATTTGTGGCTTCCTCCATTCGCTCAAAATGTCCATCACGGAGGAAGGGTTCACTTCTTGTGCAACGCAGGTGAAGCTCCACAATATTGTTCGCCGTTTTCACAGTGCATTCGCATCTATCATTTTCTGATCTATGGGGAAAAAAAGCCCCCAACAACTCAGCGATTGTGTGCACAATCGGATTCCTTACTGTTCGGGCTACACCCGAATAAACTTTTGACATATGCATTGTCGGCTCGATCCGGATGATGTGCTACTATTTGGTCTGGTTCGGGTTCTAGAACTTCCTCGCTCTATGGAAAAACAAAACTTGGCCTCAAGAAAACAAGTTTTAAGGACACGATGAACCATAGTCCCTTAAATTGCACGAGTATAGATTTCGTTCTGCTCATCCTTCTGTCACAAGAAACTGACTTCCATCCAGCTTTAATCAGAGAGTCCAATAGTCCAGACTGCAGTGCTACAGTCCAAAGCTTTGGAGTATCCAATTTCTTTCAAGCATTGAGATTGCTTTGAATAGTGATATAGTTTCCTTATCAAAATTATTTTACATATCGAATTTGTGGATTTGCTGATGATGTCTTCAGAATCTCGAAACTAGAATCTTACAATGGATTGCAGTCCGGGCTATCGGAAACACTGGCTGCAATGAAACTTGAACTCATAATGGAAGATGGCGTGTTGCAAACTTCGAATGATCGAAGATCTATACCCATCTTGAGAAGCCCAAATTAATAGTCCGCCTCGGGATCTGTGGCCGTTCGAGAGTATCGTTGTATGGCTGTCGATCGCAGATCAAGTGGCCCATCGATTGTCATCTGTAAATTCTTGAAGAGATCTGGTGGCATTCCATCATTGTGCTACATGTATGGTTATGCTTAATCGGACAGCAAGGTTATTATTTCATTTTTTCGAAAAATTCTACGAATTTTGCATCAATCGACGTGATAGAAAATTCTACTCCAATGATTCTTTGCTGGGTCTTACTTTTCTTTTTCTCTTCTGCGCCTCAGCCTTAAACATACGCGTCATTAAGATGATGGCGATCGACCTAATTACAGTATATGTGCGGCCAAAAGGAGGAATTTTCATCTGTCCTACCAGAGCACAAGGTTACACGTTGCACGGCTCTTCAGAATTAATCCGACCTATTCCAGTGTTTTGGTATTCGGTTGGACCAGATTTGGTTGCAAAATTACTTTTGCCACGAGATCTGTGAACCCCTACAGACAATCGATTCTGTCTATCAAGCAATCTGTCGGTCTCATATCTCATATATTCTAAAACCGTGGAAGTCACACGCATGATCACGTCGATCTTCGGGGCCTTTAGACCCAGCTATACATCGAAATTCTTGCCCTTCATAACCATCAATTGAAAGGACTTCATATCCTCTTGACCTTCGTCCAAGTGGAATGATAACTGAGGGTTCTACTGTAAAGCTTTCACATTCCTTTTCGAAATTAAAGGCCCGGAAACAAATAGAAAGCAAGCAAGATCATCGCGGAACCTGTAGCTTCCGGTATCCGATTGCCTAATTGCTTGCTGCGATCAGATTCTACAAGTGCTTTTTCTTTCGGAACTGGATGCCGTTGCCGAACGGCACGTTTTCCGGTTGGCAGCGTGCAAGCATCATATAAATATCTCGTCTATCTCATAATCCCTCCGCACTAGGACTAGCTTTCTCCGCTTGTACAGATTCAATGTACCGTCAAATGCGGTAACTCCGACGATCGTGACGGAATCTCCTCTGTGACTGATATTTAGACAACTACATTCTTTTTGATAGCTCCCCTTGCACTCAAAAAATTACAGAAGTAGATGCTCAACAGTGTGCGCATAGACTGATGGAGAATTGCGGAAAGTAGGCTTTGCAATGATCCTTCAAATATCCGTAGATGCTCTGAAGCACGACGGTGAAGTTCCAGATCTTGACGTTGATTAATCGGAGATATCAGAGGGGTTTATTACACATCTTTTGAAATTTCTACATGTCACATTAGTCCCTACATCCACTGGTAATCATATTTTCAGAATTACCTATCTGTTAACATATGATCCACGACAGTTCAAAGCTCATCTTGTGTCTAAACAATGGGAAGCATGCTGCGCTAGGCGATTGGACGATATTTCAAAGATGCTCAGAATGACAAATTTTTATCTCCGATGAGAAAACACTGCAAGCAACAATTCGGAGACTTCAAGTCATGACGCAACCTGGAATAGATGCGTTGAATGACCTTGGGCAGCTGATAATTTGAATGAGAAGATCAGATCCGCACGCGCTCGATACTTTGGGACTTCATCTTATCTGGTTTCTTCTATGTCAAATCGAAGGGTTCTCTTCTATTAAAAGACTGGATTGTGAATAGTATGTTTAGAGATCCAGTGATCTCTCAATGAACATCTCCCTCAATAGAAACTCTTCTTCAGACTACCCAGGTGATCTACCAAGTGATGGTCCCACGCGCGGAATCTAGATCAACAATCTAGGCGAGCTTTCAATATTTGAAAACGATCCAAAATTCAACATGAATTCGGCACTTCAAACTAGGTAGTATCTGAATCATCTGAATTGGTCAGGGGATAGAATTTTATGATTTTGCGACTGAGTCTAGCCTTTGAAATCTCTGCTGCAGTGTAGATATATACATATACATACTGTATAGCTCTGTATATCGAGATGACAGATTTCATTTTCACAGTTCATCAGAAACTGATTGTTCTAGTGATAGTTCTAGTACTTCATAGTAAGTGTTCATATTTTTCAAACTAGTCTGAAAGATAATCACGGTGCGCAGAGTTCCGAAATGAGTACTGTGCTGTGCTGGTCATATAACTGGTGATATAGTCAGTGACCTAAACCAAGTATAGATGTAGACAATGAGTGTTATGCATATCTTCCTGTAGTATCATAGGTAGTGAATTACTTACACATTACTGTGGAATTGCTCGAGACTAATCTAGTTGCTTATATAGAAGTTAGATTGCTTATGTCGAACTCGAGAGTGAATCACTCCGTTAATACAGAAGATTCAAAGATGATTCAGACGAACTACTTTGGATGTACGATTATATGATAAATGGAGTAGTCATGAATAGATCACACTATTCACATACTATACAGTCAATATGCCTAGTAACTCATACAGCTAATCACTTAGTCAAATCTACTGCATGAAATAAAACGGTGGAAAATCTCAAATCCTTCGAACCTAATATCTTCCACAAATTAGCAGCTAATCTATCTTAACGTCTGTGTGAATCAGCAGTACTGTTCACATTTTCTGCGCGCGATTCGCAGAAATGGTGATCATATGTCTATAGCAATATGAACTATGATTCTCTTGCCGTATCGCTAGATTGCGTAGATATAAGTTTTCTTTGTATCTCTGTTCTTTCTCCTATCTCCGTTGCAATTGCAATTGCGATACTGAAGTTTAAGTTTGATTACCATTCTTTCTCTTTCTCTCACGAATACAGAAACTCGAAAAACTCTCGCGAATCATTTCGTTCATCGCGTTATTCCAGTTCCATCTTTCCAACTCTCCACAACAAAATCCTCTTCATTTTACCTCTTCTCTCCCAACATCCTCATACTCGTATCGAGAAACAACCCATCAACAAATCTCAAGAAGATCAAGATTCAACAATCCATCACAAATGTGCACAGAATACATCACCACCTACACGTGTTACCACCATGAAACCACAAGTCACATTTTATGTCACAAGCCAAGAAGAGGTGAGTGCACCTTTACGGAAGAGATTTATAATAATATGAAGGAGATTTGTGGTGTTTGTAGGGAGAGGAGAAAAGTGGATTGTAGGAGGCTGGTGGATGTGAATAGGAGGGAGAAGGGGGAGAGGAGTGGGGAGGAGGGTAGATAGAGAGATAGGGAGATAGGAAGGTGTGTCAGATGGTTTGGAGTCTTTGAGGGGCGGGGAACAGGGGTGAGATAGTGAGCGGGGGAGGAGATTTGGGGCAATGGGGCCGGTGGGTACTTCTATGCCCGGGGCTAGATTTCAATGATATATCGAGGCTTCGAGGTGATTGCTGAATAGATACAAACCTGAAGATACGAGATATCTGTCTATATATCAAGACTAGACAAGACACACAAAGTGGAGATGAATCGCACATAAGCCTATTTGCTATGTGCCGATATTCTGCACCATCTAGATATTCATTCATGAAGCTCTTTCTAGAGACTTCCATATTAAGAACTTTCTCCTATTTGAACACTGAATGGTTTGTTGCTGATATCATTGTTTATTGTTATGTTTTTGTTGTTGTGATCTAGTTTGTGAGTATGAAAGTGTGAAAGTGTAGTGGTCTCATGTTCTCGACTCTCGAGTGTTTATGTGGGTGCTTTTATGTGGTGTTTAAGGGGGGTTGTGGATTTTGTGATGGCAGTACCTAAATCTTCATCCATGGCAGTGTATGAGGTGGTTAGGTCAGAACTGGAGTGAGGAAATGAGGAAGTGGAAATCGATGATGATAGAGATGTGAGATTTTGATGGACTTTCAGTGAGACAATATCATAAGTCTGTTAGGTGAGAGTAATATGGGTGGATGGTGTTAGTTTGATAGGGTAGTAAATGTGTCTTCATTTTCGTTGATTTTCTTACCGGTGTTAATATCAAGACAATGCTCCAGAGTATATCATCTTAAGGGTAAATATGACTGATGTAAGAAGATCCCAAGCTAACGAGACATTTTTCATTTTCGGTTAAGTGCAAGGTGAGTAAACATATATACTCTGCTTGAAATATGTTGAGATATGATGTATCTCTAGATCAGTACAATAAGTTCAGCGTTTTGAATTGCGAATCTGAACAAGTGTTTTCAAAGTACTAAGAAGCAATACAATATCAAGCTATATTGTCAAAATATAAGAAGTCAAGAGTCAAATTTACTCAAAGATAAGTTTGAAAGCATTGATACGTCAAATTTGTATGTTGCGGAGAGTATTCATTGGTATTTTGATTCAATACAACGCTGGGGGGGTCTCTCTTGCTCATAAATGGTGATTATATTTGGTTGTTTTAGAAGGGATCAAAAACTCTCTGTCTATAGAATTGATATTTTGAGGGAACAATGTGGATGAATGAGTGTGTATAGGGGCTTGATCATATTGTCTAGATGTTATCAATAGGTTAACCGAGGGGTAAATTCAATATTATTTCCTACCAGAAAAGAGGTAAAATTATCTAAATCGAAACAAGAGACATAGGTTGCTTATAGGATATGCATTGATTGAGCTGTGTAGATATCTGTTATCAAGAACCTCTATTTCTCAACCGAGATGGTCGTTGAAGAAACATCCCAAACTCAGATTTGCGTTTATGCCATGGCTAAAATCAAAGCTCGGATTAGTGGTATCCATCTCCTACCTCAAGTATTTGCGGGAAGCTGGCTCAGTACATTGGTATACAAGGAGGAAAAGAATGCAATGCATGAGAGGAAATCATGAGCAACTTGGTGACACATTACCACAAGAACTGAATTATGATGGCCGATTGGCTTGGAACAGGGGATAAATTTTATATTTTAGCGGCAAGCTTAAACCTGTTCATCACTGTCTGGGGAGCCAGGTTGTCATGAACATTGATTTATTTTAACCGATACTTCGAAAAGAGAAAATGCCTTGTGCGATCCCAATGAATACTTTAAACCACCGTGCAGACGATCTTCAAGGAAGATAGACATACAGCATGCTCCGAACTTCCATCACCCCTCAATTATCTCTCATCCGCCAACTTCTCAAAATAGTTATGCTAACAGAATGTCATTGAAAAGCATAAACCAGAAAAATACTGCAGTTCTTGAAGTCCATTCAATGGCCACTAAGTGTTTATATCCCCATCCACTCTCTGGTTGTCTTCCAAGGTAGAAGTACTATGCTCGAATTTTCTAGCAAATTCAACTGAAGGGTGATTGATACCTCCTTGGTTTTCCATGACTGCAATTAAAATTCTGTGAACACCTCCGCGGGAAGCGAATTTAGATTTGCGAGCGTGCAACTCAGCCTTCGATAAGAATGGCCACAGGTAAGCTTCGAGGTGTTGCTCGCTGGCTAATCGACATGCTGAATGAACCTGAACATCAAATTCGGCATCACACAGTACCGTATCCATCTCAGCAAAAAGCCGGAAGAATTCTGCTCTTCTTGGGTCGCCAAAAACGTAAGATAACTGTTTACATCCCCTAGGACAATCATGATGTTCAATCCCATGAAAATTTTTCAAGTAAGATTCTCTGTCATCTTTTCCCACATTCAAAGGGCAATATGAAAGGGTGATTGCTTCAAAAGCTGCGACAGGCCTGGTAAGCCGGACCTCGATCGTTCTCTCGAAAAGATCAGCGGAACAGATAGCGTTGGGATAGCAACTATGGGCGAAAGGAATACCATGTGTGGGCACAACAAATCCGCTTTTGTTTCCAATAAGTGATGGGTGGCGTAGAGCATTCCTGGTAAAACTGTCGTAGAAATTCACGCCTGGTGGCTCTAGGTGAGAAAACGCATTTATGGGGAGATTCAACAATGAGAGACCACGGAGAACGGTAGCCTCCGGTGGGAAAGTATTGTCAGATGTCGTATAATTCTCAGGATCACCAGCTACTGAAGGCATCCAAAATAATATCGTGTCTCGATGTATGACTGTACCAGCAGGCGAGGCAACCTCAACTCTAGCCCAAGTTCCTCCTATAGGAGTGACGCCACTTATCACGCCTGGTTGATATTTTCCGATAAACATTTGAATCTTGAATTGAGAATTGGCTGAAAGAACGGAAGATTCTTTTGTCAAATACGTGTAACCCGCTTTGATTTATCAAGAACGAAAGAGAGTGTAAGCTTTCCTACGAGGTATAGCAAGAAGTAGTTATGCGATAGGAAAGAGGCATAGAAAGATCCATACCGAGAAAGAAGAGCTGAATGATTTTTCAAACATTGGGTTCATTCATTGTTCTAGGTTTAAAGCATGATTTCAGTGGATTCGTCAAATTCTGTCGGACTATTCAACCATTCGAAGTACTGAATTCGATGAGATTATCATAACCTTAAATCATCAAAACGACGAACCCACCTGGAACACTGCAACAACCAAGAGAATTAGAAGAACTTAGATCCTTAAATTCACTCAGAGTATCAGAGTTTGAATGGAATCTCAACTGAAAAATGAAGGTAATTATCAAACTACCTTAAATGTTGATCGCCTCTTGATATCAGACACAGTCGAAATAAATTTCTATTCGAGATACTAGATACTAGATACCTCCCCGATGCTTTCCCAGCTCAAAAATAGACTATCTTTTAGCCTGCTACTTTATCAAGTTTGCGATTTGCCTTGATCGTTCTTGTCCACTTGGATTTAGTTCATCTTAGCCTGACTGAAATTCAAACAACGGAAGGAGGGGTTATGACCCTTCATCAAGACTCCCAAGATCCCATTGCTGCAGGAGCGAAGGAGGGCACCTTGGACGACATGTTCAACTAAACCACTAACAACCACATATAATACCACTGAAGCACAGGTGCAGCAAATAGGGCTTGTTCGAGATCACACCGCAAACATCATCGATTTCTACATACTCTCCCATGAACCTCGTACTCCAACTGAGATCTTCCACCAAGACCATTGGCAATATCACACTCTCAAGCACCAATCAAAACCCAATCAGCTCTGAATATCTTTCGCCATATCAAACACCGGAATTTTCACACCATCTGCAAGCTCATTTCCAAACCCCTGCAAGACGTTTCCTTGCACGATACTAGCACGTGTAAATATTTCCGTCGCGTCGTCTAATGTATCAAAACTGGACTCCCCGTAGATATCGAGAATCTTCCCAGTTCTATTCTCCCAAATAAGTGCATCTAAAGCCCGTGAATACCAGCTGGTCGAACCAAGTATATCTACTTCGGGCTCACACCTGCGAAGAACATCACATAACAGATCTTGATTTTTGACTCTGGCGATTTGGATAATTGTGAGGATTTTCTGGCTTGAGTGACGGAGATGACTTTGGTGGTAGCTTAGACCTACTTGTCCACATTCTGTTGTTGCGACACAAGGACATATATACACCAAATCATGACGGGTGAGAGATTCTATGTCGGAAGCGTTGTCGGTAGCTAAAGTGGAGTCGAATTGGAAGGGGCAGGCGTTCTCGCATTCTAAAACGCGGAGATAGAGATAGTTTGAAGCTTCTTGGGTGGAAGAAGCTTCTTTTTGTTGGAGATCAGGCCTCAGTCTAGGGCATGCAGACATGATGGTCATTGATAATTTTTTAGGAAGTGAGCAGACTCGTTGTTTAGATTTGATGTTCTGTTCTACCATTAAATAAAGAGATGAGGTAGTTGATGTTACAAAAGTAAAAGGGTGGTGGTGAAAAGTGAGGGCTACCTTATATAGAGAAAAATGAAGCACTTGGAACATTGCCTGTTCATTCACAGAGTAATAAATCGTACTACAGCAGAATACATAGATTCAGAACACAAAACTGAATTTGTGAACATTATCATTCACCACCCAAAGACCCAATAGCTTTGATTTTTTTCTGGGATCAAGGCGACTCTACAGAAATATCTTCGCTAAATACACCCGAAGCAAAATGTTTGCATTCGCTGGTCTATACTCCGATACTTCATCATAGAATGAACATTCATAAACCGTCTTGGCTTGATTTCAACATACTGTTGAATTGAAAGAAGATCGACTAGCACCCGTGAATGAAATGATAATTTCAGAGGAATGTGGCTAAGGATCGCTCTCGCATGGTATTGCATCCTATCTATAGAGACTACAGCTGTGCGAAATGGCAAACAGGTCTATTATTCCAACTATAGTTTGCGAAGTTTATGAAAATTTCATTGCATCATCCATATAATATCGTTGCTCAATTTCTGGAGATAGAGGTATCGAAGAATTCTAAACTAGAGTCTCAAAATGGTATCAGTCGTATGCTTCGAAACATACAAAAGGTGATAAAAGTTGGGAAGAATGGCTTCTCCAGGTATTCATAGGCTTGAGCTGATGTCTGAGAATTTCTGTCAATTACTAGACTTATATTCTTGCTTTCGGTCTCCATTTTGCATATGGATGATCCTCCTCTCCGTCTGGAATCAGATGATCTACTGCTCTTGTATTCAGCATGCCAGGGTGTACTTGTGACAAGTCCGTAATGCCCATCATTCTCATTGTTGTCTCCAACTCGTCTTTCAGGACTGTATGTTATTAGCGTATTGATCAAGAACGTAACTGCTTTTGAGGTCATAACTCACTCTCGATGTATTTCTCTACGCCCTCGTGGCCCCAGCCAAGAGCAAACAAAAAGCCCCGACCGATTCCTACAGCTTTAGCTCCTAGGCACAATGCTTTAAATATATCAGTTCCTCTCATAATGCCACCATCAATGAAAACTTCCATTCCGTCGAAAACTTCGGGTGCATTCTTCTGCAATTCTAACAAAACCAGTATCGAAGCTGGACTTGTGTCCAGACTCCTACCACCATGATTACTTATCAATATCCCATCTATTCCATAGTCGAGCGCCATCTTTGCATCGAGCGAGGTTTGTACACCTTTCAGTAAGATAGGGAGTTTCGTACATCTTCGCAGCCAGGCGATATCTGACCATGAAAGTGTAGCATCAATATAAGCCCCCATTATTCTCCCCAAAGCACCGCCTTTCTTATCGTTCTTAGCTTTTGCACCACTCATTGGTGTAGACAAACTCTCATCTGCCTTTACTCTTTCATCCGCTTCTCGCTTTCCAGGGACTGGTGCATCAACAGTCACAAATATTGCCTTGACACCAAGTTTTTCCACATCTTGTAGAAGCTTTTCGGATTTATTTCTTTCCTTGTCAACGTAAAGCTGAAAAAATATGGGAAGCTCTTTCCTCCCATCGGAAGTCTGCGGATGGTCTTCAGACGCGGCCTCAAATATCTCCGCAATTGGAAAGCTAGCGTTTGTACTGACGGTCATTGCCGATCCCGCAGATTTCAGCCCCCGAGCTAGCTCCCGCTCACCTTGTGGATGTACCAGTTTTGCCATTGCTGCTGGTGAGCAGAATATTGGCACTTCCATCTGATTACCAAGCATCGTAGTCCTTGTGCTAACATCTTTGACATTTCTCAGTATTCTAGGACGAAGACTAATATTTGCATATGTGGAAGAATTCCGGCCTTTGGTTACAAGATCTGTAGCGGCAGAAGAATAAAATGCCCAAGTTTTTGGTGTAAGAAATGACTTCGCAGCAGTTACAAAATCGTGCGTGTTTATCAAATTATCAAGAGAAGGCTTAGAGCCAGGAGCTAGAGTCTTTGAAACTTCAGGCGGAGGTCTGATCCATTCTTCCGTTATAGTAGAGGAATCAACTGTTCCTAAGACTTTCGAGGCTGGAAGTGAGGATGATATCAAGGAGGATGCATGGATTTCAGAGTAGGCTTTTGAAGCATCACGGCCAGCATATTGCATAATTACTAGATGAGAAGATCAGCGGGAGAACATGAGCAGGACAAAGAACTTACTTACTGCTGACGCCCCCAGGGTGTTCGGGGGCAAAGTCTGTCAAATCATAAACTGTATCATTTACCACAACCCATAAATCTGAAGGAATGCTGTGCTGCGAAATCTCCTTTACTGATATACTCCGCGGCATTTTGAGATTTACAGATGGTACTTGTTTCTCTTGATGGCCTTCATCAAAATTATAACAAAATATGTGAAAAGAAGAACCACTTAAGAAATAAAAATCATCGAAACACAATGTACATTAACATATCCAGGTTGTTGAATTTAATGCGAGTCGGAATTGCTGCCGCTATTGTAGTGATGCAAGCTCGTGCTAATTGAGGCCGAGCTCAGACAACAGCCAATGCTTGATTGGCCAATATTGTGGATGACATTGTCCAATCGATACTTGATATGTCATACATGGAACTATAACATTTTGCTTCTTGAATCATCACTCGAATATCACTTAAGCAATTAACGATGCGAGTGTATAGATCAATTAATCAGGAAAAACAAACATGTCGACTCTGCTTCAATTTATTCATATTACATTTTCTACAAATTAATACATTGATGTCTTCATATAGAGGTCCTCATAATTTCGACTTCTCTGTAATCATACATGCAGAATTCGGGAGACTCTCAATGCTATCCCTATCGATCTGATCCACACTCTGGTACCCGGATACATTCATTAAGATATCGAAGTCGGCTAAGAGAGACTTCATGACATGTCGAACACCCAATTCACCCTTGATACTTAATCCCCAAACCCATAATCTTCCGACGAAGACGAATTTAGCTCCAAGAGCTAAGGCTTTGAATACATCAGCTGCCCCACGAACTCCGGAGTCGAACATAATATAAGTCTTATCACCTACAGCTAAAAAGAAGCATCAGTATCATTTATAGTTTGCCCCGGGGCATTAAAGATGCAGCTTGACAAGCGCTGGGGATCAACCGCTTACCATGAACAATCTTTTCCAATGCATCTAAACTTGCACAAGCTCCATCGACCTGTCTCCCAGCATGATTAGACACTACTATACCATCAACGCCAAGCTGAACAGCCTTTCTTGCGTCTGCAACATGCTGAATACCCTTCAGACAAAAAGGTTTGCCACCACTGATTCTTTTCCATTGCTCCATGAGCCAAGGCATTTTATCCCAGGACCAAGCACGTCCATGCCAAACATTATCGATCCACATCGCGCCAGCCTCATTCGGTTGCTTTTTTGGATCGATACCAGCTTCTTTCAATCGCTTTTGGAAAACGGGATCAGACAGTCCCAAATCAGCCCCTACGCCGTGATAGAAAGCATAATTCGAATTCGCAGCGTCACGGTGTCTCCAGGCCAATTGCCATGTATCCAATGTCAAGATACAGGCTGTGAAGCCACTATCATGTGCTCTTTGTAACAAGCTCAAGGTCAACTCATCATCATGCGGCATATATAATTGAAAAAATCGTGGCCCAGCACCGTTCGCAGCTCCTACATCTTCAATCGAGGTCGACCCTGCGGTTGATAAACAATATGGCAAATTCAATTCTTTTGCAACCTTAGCAACGGGCAACTCAGCCAATGGATTGTATATCTTGTTGATGCCGATCGGTGCGAATCCGATTGGTGCGCTGACCTTGTGGCCAAATATTTCCGTCTTCGTATCGCGATTGTTTGTATCGACGAGCATTCGAGGGACAATCCGGTGGCGGTAGAACGCCTGGCGGTTCGCAAGATGAGTGTAAGACTGGCCTGCGTTACAGGAAGCGTAATACCTATAAACAATATCAGTATCGAGATGATTTGTAGGTATGCTCAAGCTCAATTTACCATCCGCCCTTTGTTAAAGATTCTTTTGCCAAATCTTCCAGATCTCCTGGATCTGTGCTAAATGGAGGGACTTCTCCAGTGTTGTCCTTCCAAAACATTTCTCGTTGATAGAGTGCCCATTGTGGAGTGTTTCTACTTTTGATATTGGAATTCTGGGGATCAGACATGATGATAGGCAATATACGAGAAGCAATTGTAGGCAGTAATGAAAAGAAACGTGGAATTGGATCAAGAGAGTCTTGATAAAGAAGAAAACATGATACTTAACTTGACCACACTTGTCACTTAACATCTATGATCTCATTGTCGGCATTTCATTCCGGACTTAGAATCTCAGATGTCGTTGGTTCTAAGATAGTTCTCATAGCGAGTGACAAATAACAATCACGTGATTGTGCACGGATTTTGTGGCTTGAATGTGGCTCTGCTCTCCCCGAAAGTTTCAATAACTCATGACATTACGACATTACGAGTATCGGTCAGACAAAATATGGTAATTTTATGAATAATCGTATCGCTCTTCGTACCTCATATTCCTGTTCAGTTAAGGTTCTCACTGCATGGCCTCATGCCTCGGCTCTCTCATGCTCTCCTACGCAGAGCTTACAATATTTCGCCTTTATTACCATTAGTCCTCCGAGAAACACGCAGTCTTTCATCTGCGATTAATGAATTACGATGGCTACGTGAATATGTTGATAAAACGATGAGCCATCGTGTGCCCAATCAAAAATGGAGGACTTTGCTAAAACTCTGCCAAAGACGTGCCACAGGGGAGCCACTGCAGTATATTCTCGGCACCCAGCCCTTTGGGGAATTGGAGATTAAATGCAAGCCTGGAGTACTCATTCCTAGGTAATACTGACAAAGCACCTACTCTCAGACTCATATCTAACAATCAAAGGCCAGAAACAGAGGCATACACAACACATCTAGCAGAACTTCTTATCAAAGCACAGCGTTCTTTCCACGAAACATCGGAAAATCAGCATAATCCACTGAAGATCGTTGATTTTTGTTCTGGGACTGGTTGCATTTCCCTTCTCTTATACTCGCTTTTACATCAAGTATATCCTAGGCTCGAGATCGTCGGTCTAGACATCTCTAAAAAAGCGCTTGATTTATCAATTCAAAATGTTCGTTTTAATTCTCTGAACAGATCTGCACAGCAAAGTGTTCATTTTGAATTTGCTGATGTTCTCAGTGACGAGAAATTAATCCTAGGTATATTTCAAGGCGTCTGCGATGTAATTGTGTCTAACCCCCCGTATATATCAGAAGATGGATTTAACAAGGAAACGACACGATCGGTTAGAAATTGGGAACCAAAAATTGCACTGGTTCCTGATACATCGAGGCGGGAAACCATACACTTCAATGATACTTCCGGAAAGAGTTCTCTATTAAAAGTGGAGGATATTTTTTATCATCAATTATTGCGATTTCATTCCCTTTTGAAGTCAAAAATTCTTGTAATGGAAATAGGTGACGAGGCACAGGCAAAGAGAGTGATTCAAATGGCAATTGGCTTTTCAAATAGAATTGAAATATGGAGGGACTGGCCAGATCAACACGAGTTTGGAAACGAGAGTGCAGAATGCATGTTTCTGGACAATCACAAAATAGTAGTCAAAGGCACCGGGATGGTTAGAGCTGTCGTCTTGCTCTCCAATCAACATTTTGAATCATAATTATCCAGGAATACCATTAATATCATGATCATCATGCGTGGACGGCAGTGTTTGACGGGTCACAAGATAGTGTTGGCGGTCTAAAATAGAGAAATTCCAGGAGCAATCTAGAAGTTCTCTGGAATAATCTTCTATTGAGCGCCCCTTTTGCATTAGCCGAATTCCTCAATTCAACCTTTTCAAAGCTTCCAGAAGACTAGCGAGAGCATTCTAAGACAGCAGCTCCACGCCTATTCCAACTGCGTATATTTTTACGTCAATTTTCAGCCCGGTTAATGGCGAATTATGAGACAGGCTTCAAGTGGTTGCCATTATTTTGAAAGGGAACATGTTTGCATGCAAGATCTAGTGTTTTCTTGTTGTTCCAGACTTGGCAAGCTCGTATGGCATTTCACTCTGAAACTGCCATAAACATTCTTCCAATGGCCCCCTGAACCCCTTTCGCTTTATAAGGACAGAGGCGTTTTGCACAATTGTTTGGTAATGAATTTAGTTTCTTATATCTTAGTCCATTTAGTGTTCGAAAAGCTTCTTATCAATAGTTCACTCCTCGAGGTGCTTCTCAATACAGTCAATTCTCTTCTCTACAATTGTTCAACTCAACTTCCAAACAATCACAAGTTTAAATGTACACTCAATTCTTTTTCGTGCTTATTCAATTTTTGGGGTCTGTCACCTCTCGACCAAATGTCGTAGGACAAGGCTACAGGCCAGCTGCGTTTCAAGGCCCTTCAACTCCTAGAAATGTCAATACCTTCTTCACATTAACTGCCGGTATCAATCGTCGGAAGGGTGATCTTCCAGGCATAGCTCCGGCCAATCCGCTTCAGAAGGTGAGAATATTCCATGCACAAAGATATTTCATATCTGACGTCAATAGGGACACGATTGGTACACCGAATTAGAAGTGGAAGGACAAACATACCCTGTCGTAATTGACACAGGTAGCAGCGATACATGGATCGTGAAATCTAACTTTACATGTTTAGATTATGGTACTGGAGTACCCACTTCACAAAGTGTATGCTTGTTTGGTCCAGGGTATGCCCCCAGCTCAGGCTTCAATCATATCCCGAACCAACATTTCAATACTACATATGCAAGTGGGGAGAACTTAAAGGGAACATTTGGTCTCGTGGATGTAACTTTGGGTGGTATCTCGTGAGTCCCTAGGTCGTCTTCACAATTCAACTGCTTATTTTGCAGCGTTAATGCTCAAATTGCAACTGTTGATACAGCTGCTTGGCTTGGCGATGGCACTACAAGTGGCTTATTGGGTCTTGCATATCCGTCTATGTAAGTAGCTTCTCTCCCCGGATTTGGTTTTTTCTGATGTTGACCCAGCACCGCGGCGTTCAATGGCACCACTTTTGGAAATGACAATGCGGAAACTCAACGTAAGTGAGATTATTGCTTCATTTCTGCAGGACTAATGTCACACAGTTCCTTATGATCCTATCTTCACGACCATGTACCAAAAACACCTCATACCCCCAATCTTCAGTCTCGCCTTGAGCAGACCTTCAAATTGTATCGGCCATGGCAACGGGTATCTAGCTTTGGGCGGTTTGCCCCCCATCGCCTCCTATGGAGCTTGGGCTGTGGCACCAATTCAAATTGTCGCCATAGGAGAAGGATACATACAAGGAGCTCTTCCATGGCCCCAGCATCGTTCGTTCGCCTCCGTCAGCTTCACTTATCTCTTGACACTGCACTAACCTCCTCTCAGAAGTCTACACACTCACACCAGACAATTTCATATACCCCGGTAGTCAACGTCAAAAATGGAGCCCCAAACATTGGTCCCCACTATCCATGCCCAGCAGCAGTTCTCAAGTCCAACTTTTCATCGACTCAGGCACTACCCTTATTTTCCTTCCTAACTCCATTTCCTCCGCTCTCGCAGCACTATACAATCCACCTGCCGTTTACAACGCAGATCTATTCGCGTACTCTGTGCCCTGTAATGCTAAAGTGCCGTATTTTGCTGTCGTTATTGGCGGCGTGTCGTTTCCTGTCGATCCAAGGGATATGGTACAGGATGATAACACGGGTATGGGAAACTGCGTGGCGGGCGTGAGTGATGGAGATTTGTTTGACTTTTATACGCTTGGAGATGTGTTTTTGAAGAATGTGGTGGTGGTTTTTGATGTGGGGGCTTCCCAATTGAAGTTTAGGAGTAGGGGTTTTTATTGATTTATACTGATTGTTGACCCTTTGATCATAGTCTGAAGCGATGTCTATTCAGGCTCGGTTGTGTATCTCAGTGTTAGAAGTTACTTTTCCCCGTTCTTTTGATCGAATTGTTGGTTTTTGCAGTCTATCTGATGTCTGACGAAACTTCGAGAGCAGGAAGTGGTATGATGTGGGCATTTACAGCTCAAACGGAGCTCTGAATGCTTAAATTTCGTGCCAAAATCCTTTTTATTATGGCCATGGTACCTAGCAGTTGGTATTTTTTTTGTCGAGATTTGCTCATGCTATTAGCTGTTGTACGAAAACGACGTATGGGCCTAAAATATTCTTGAATTTGTTTTGGATCGTTGAATTTTATGTCACTTGTCTGATGTTCTTAACATCTCAGTCATTGGTTCAAACGGTAGGCTTTGTTGAACGCCTAGATCAAAATCCGACTCAATTTGTGCTCCTGTTGAATTACTGGCGCAAGAGTTCTTAAGTGCACATCTTCATAATGCCTAATGGCTTCCGTTCGAAATTTTGTTAACAATATTGGCTTTGCATAGCACATAAACTTATCGTTGCCGCATTGGTTTCTGGGAAAGCTTTGTCTTGCACGTCTGCAAAAATTCCATTGACTTTTGTCATTTGAAGTTGTATTTCTCATCAATTTTGTCTGCCACAGTAGCACTACTTCATTAGATAAGAAGTCTTTGGTTAAACGTCTTCAAAATCTAGTAGCTTCTCATCTGTCCTTTCGATCCGTCAAGTGTGTCTTCAGCAGTACCATAACAATTACCTTTTTTGCTGAAGAGTTGCTGGTTGTACTTTTGCAAGAATGCTGGACGGTTTTTATTTAGAGGTTTGTGACGTTTGAATGCTAGGCGTTCGATAGTATACAGTCAGTGATGGTCTTTGTTAGATTATCCCATATCTTGTCATGCAGATTACCAGCTTCCTCGCGAGAGCGCCCGCTGATATCGAGTGGAGTAGAATATTTCCCACTCATGCTCCTGTTGGTTGTGATTAGGAAAAAGTTTGTGGATACTTAATGTCTTCCAAGCATGTGTGCATCTTTATTTTGCTCTTTGAATCGGCTTCATTGTAAGTTTTCGTAATGATACGATGACTGCTTCGTATGATTTTCCTTTGAAAGTTGCCCGGTTTGAAGTGAAATTCCAAATGAACCATTCAGCGTATGTTTTCTGATAAAAGTTCATTCGGCCATCATCTGCTCAACAGGCAAGGAGAGAATTGAGAGTGGGGATATGATCGTCTCTGTTATTTCATGCATTTGAGATGCTAATTCATCCTTTCAAGCGACCTGAGTCATAATGAAACCGTCACTGCATTCTCCCAATGAGAGTCTGGAACATAGCCATGGTACTCACTCCTTGATTTCAGGATCGTATCCTTCAAGGCGTCGCATGGCGGCTTACTCCACAGCGGGACGAATCGTTCATATATCGTTGTGGAAAGGGAGGGGGTGCATCATGAAGAATGAATGACCGGGCAAGAAGTTCTCTGCCGTGTCGACTTCAACGACTATAACCGCATCAAGCAGCTCTCGTTCTTGATACAATAATCTCGTAGTTAATCTTGATTCACGGAACCCCCGAGTCTTGAAGGAGATAAATTGCTGCTGATCTTTGTATTGTTCCTGCACTCGCTCGCCTTTGGACCCATTTCCTGTCAACATAGAGACCCTCTTTTTCTCAACCATTGAGACCCCCGTAATCTCTCGATCAAGGCGGCATAGAAACTTGCACAAAAGTCACTGTTGGCAAGGTGAGAAATACAGTCTTCCAGGTCTCACGTTTCCAACGAGAGTATGAAATCAATTTGGCCCCATGCTATGATCGGCAAGATTGAGGTCAGGTAAGATTTTTCACTTGCCCTGGAGACCCACATCCACCGGGAGAGAGCATTTGTTGATCATAATTCACTCTACTATGACGGTGTTCCGATTCGCCATGCACAACATCAGACCACAATTTAGTCAAACAGGATTTTGATTCTGGCCAACTTTCACTTCATAGGTTGTTAATGTCGCGACTATGGTTCCTCTTCCGGGCTTCTAGCTTCACCCAATTTTATCTTCAAAACATACTAATTAACAATGATCTTCTCTACTCTATTACTGCTTGCTATATCAAGTTTTTTGGTTGCACTGAGAGCCTCTAAAGTATTCCATTTTAACGTCGTCACCCGGCTGCATCCATCCATCGGCATATATCATACAATACATGTACAAAATTCCAAATATAAACTGTCTTTATGTTACTTCACCTCACTATGCGTCAATATTCAGCTGAAAAGTGGCTCAAAAGAGTCGTGATATATACAAGGTCACGATTGAGGCTGTGTTGTAGTATTGTATTTCGAGAATCAAATTCAATAGTCCAGTCCGATTGTAGCTCGGCGAAGCGAACATGGTATTGTTATCTGCATTACAGCCGTACAGCTGGCAGGAAACCGTTGGGGGCGAAATGCGGGGGAAGGGAGATATGGGGATGGGCCGGAAAAAGATGATGAGCTGGCTGATAAGTTTTGGTTGTTACACGGAAACGAGAACTTCGTATGTAGTTAACAGATGTATACAATAAGATATGCGGAGAGCTGTGTTGGGATGAAGATTGGTTGATTAAAAGTACCTAGCATCTGTATCTAAACTCCAGCTGCGCTTTGCAAGAAACCTTGAAATGGCCTGAACTTGGTCGGGAGCAAAGACAAATGGATCCGTTGAAGACGTCAAGAAAAATTTAGGCTGCAGCATTCTCTGATTCTTCGCTGTTGATGGTTGCAACTTTGCAAAAATCAAATGTTCACTGCATGCAGATCGATATCAAGATGGAAACCTTGAAACACGCTTGAAGGATTCTTCCTTTGCGACTTCGAAAAGGGGTCTGCGTTCAAAGGCGCGCGTGAATATAGCTGGACGATGGGATAAAAAACCATGTCGGCGTAAATAGGTGAGAAGTCTACATCTAGTCGATACGAAGATGGCTTTCTTGGAAGAATTAGATAAGATATGCTGTTTTGACTACCGCGTGGATACTGAGGTTGGGATCTGGAAAATTCGAAAGGAAATATGGTGTTGTTGGAAGGGGTGAGTGCAATGAGAACCCCAGAAACCTATGTTGAATTGAAACATGCCGAATAGGAAACGGATATTCTACTTCCGCCGCTGCTATCATTCATTTTTCTTGGTCCCTATCATTATTTTTTGTTTTTTTGCGCAATTATAAACTTTCCAATTGTTTGGATAATTCGGTTGAGCCCGTACCGAACGGATATGTCGGACGCCGGCTGGCTGCCCCTTCATCTAGTCGTCAAAAAGCAATATGGGTTAAATTCCATGTGTGTGGGTGGGTATCTCTTGTGAAGAAAATGTGATAGACATGCTTGCTAGATGCAGTCATCCGCATTTCTGGACTGTGGTGGACAAATCACAAGACTTTTTATTTCAGCGTTTAACATCAATGGAGTCCAGAATGAAAATCAGCAAACGAATTAGTGGCCGGCATATGGCGGTTCATAGAAGTCGTCCAAAAGAAGAATTGTGTGCAGAATATCTTCAATCGTGTGGCTTGAAATAACATTCATAGTACCTAGGTATCGATGTACAGTGCCCTTTTCACAAAAGAACCTTGGGAACATGTACTTTGCCGCTCATTAGAACCCTTGAATGGAACAAGTTTTGGTTTGCTTTATCTCAAAAATGCCTCCCGACTCAGAAGTTCGCACTTGGGTGTAGGTCGATACCAGGCCAGGCCTGCCACGGTACTGTAATTCGATCTGTTGTATCTCCACGCGCTCCTCGTAACTGACATATTGGCTACCTCGTTGTCACACCTCCGACTCGAATCCTCGTTCTTCTTGCATGTAAAACCGTCGAGAATTGCATTAAATCTGCAGGTAAAACCACATCACATCCAAAAACATAATATCGGTCCTTCTGTCCCGGAGTTTCTCGACCAAGCATTTTGTTTTTTCGGCATTTAGGATTTCTTGGATTGATTTCGTTATGAATTACTTAGCTGAGACATTTCGATATATTTCTTCGGATCAATTGGATGCCATCCTTGGACGAGAACCTGGAAGTTCCTGTTACTCTTGTTTAAGGTCTGGGGTAGCAATCCCTCCGTGCCACCCTTGATGAGATGATTGAAGGGATGACGGAGCGCCCGATAGAGGAATCAAGCAGGGCATAAACGATAAAATTGCATATCTTTTGAATTATTAAGTAGCCAAAGAAAAATTTAACATCGAACAGCCTAAATGTAAGCGTGATGATCTCCTGTACTTGGTGAATCCAATTGTAGGAGACAGACACACGTTTTCTCCAGGTTCCAGAATGCTTCCACGGCATTACAATGAAGCATTGCATTTGCATTTGAAGGAGTAGGAGCAGTGCAATGTTGGATTTGCAGTATGTATGGATTTTTGTGGATTATAACGTCCAATTTACGGGACGGGGAACTTTCTGCTTTGTTGCATCGTGGGATAAGGCTGGTCGGCAAGGCTACTCAAGCGTGGTGAAAGTAGTGTTTCTCTTCTACAACAGCGTTCCATTCATTAGGCTTTAGGGCAGAGTAAATTTCCGGAGGCGACAAATGTCGTCGGAGGCTTAATTTGCGGTATCAATGATAGCTGAAGGTGTCTTAGTTGTCGAACGGTTCTTGATTTGAGCGTCTATTCAAACTTATGACAGGCCTTACGACAAGCATCGAAAGCCTATAATTTTAATGTGTTTCATTATCGACTTTTCTTTAACGTTTAAGGCTTTCCAGAGATAGTTGCAATACATACATTATTTACAAGCGTTTATTTGACGGAGCTAGTGCAAACATTCATGCGAGCTTGAAGAAATCCGAAAAACCTCCTAGTCTTCTTAGCCCTTTGTAGATATCTTGAAAGGATTGATGAAGTTTGACGAGCCACCACCTACAAACAGAAGCACATGCTATCATGGTAACACTCCCGGTAAGAGTATCTAGATGCCTAGGTATCTGTCACTTTCGGAGATACCTGCTTGACAGCTAGGTTATGTACCGAATAGCTACGATCTCGAACCCGCTTTTAACTCAATCGAAAGTTGAAAATGCATTGAACAGTACTTGAACATGCCACCATACATTTACGATCCTGGGTGAGCCCCTACACCCTCGTCGTGGGTGGATAAAAAGAACATATCTCGTGAAGCTTATCTAACTTGGGCTTAGAATAATGTTAGCCCCTTCATCTTCCGTAGCCCCACAAGTTCTTTCGCACATTTGTCTCGGGAGAACCAAACCTAATCCAAACCCATGGACATTAACTAGGGATGTATGTATGTTCAGATAATAGGTTGATGTTCGGGATAATGCAGCACGATCAGAGGTAAGATATTTGACAAGAATTCAAATCATGTCCTCGATATCAGCTCACAATAGGTGAGAAATAGATCGTGGATTATTAAGATAATATCGTATGCTCAAGCTAAAAATGTTATTTTTCCGGATATGTAGTAATACAGTATCATCCTTCAATCTTGATGCACCTCGCACTGTCAGATTTTATCGCCGGGTTCGTATTCACATCCGCCGCCGCAACAAGCGAAATCTCACGCGAAGCACAAAAAAAACATTTGCAGAGATGTGAAGCCAAACCTTGGTAATATTTAGGACACCCCAGGATTATTTTCAAATCCACTTACCGAACTATAACTCATTTAGGCCATATCCTCATCTCCGCCCATGGCTGACAGTCCTAGCTACCATTCGTCAGAAGATCATCAAGGATACTGTCTAGGGCCCTGGAAATAATTTATATTGGTTGGTGCTGAATAAGACTTGACAAGACCTAATGCCGCGTTAGCTCGTTAGACACAGAAAAAGAAGTGATTACAAACGCGAGAAAAGGAAAGCCTCAACAAACCAAAAACATAAGACGAAATGACATCGGACAATGTAGGTACTTGGGGCGCTTGGGGGCTTGAGGTATCTTTTTGATCGTAAGTGCTTGTGGAATGGTTGCCGGCCGGATTTATTGACAGGTCAGGGGCACCCGTTGGTCAAGGCTATTTCACCTTATGGGAGCTATACTCATTTGGATATGCCTGTCAGCGGATTCCATCCTCTTTTGAGAGATGACCGTGAGGCGGTACACGGTTCCCCCCTTGAACTATACATCGTTTACAGATTTATCCTTGTCCGTCAACGTCTTTTTCGATATTCCCTCTGAAGATCTCCAATTCGCCATGGTTTCCGATTTTAGGCACTGAGAGATGGAAGCATACAGCTCTCCCCAATAGGATCAATCTAGTCCATATTCTTATACACTATCACTAATGCAGATCACGCGCCAGCCACTTCTACTCGTTCGAGATAATATATGGCATGGGGGTAGTCATATACATTGCCCTTTCGAAGAGGGGAACGGAACACAAATGAGGCCAAAGCAGTTATCCACCTGCCTACTTGACAAAGAATTCGGAAGGACGTTAGACCCATCATGAGGCTTGCTTGCATCCCGCACATTAGTCTCGTCCTTTGGCCCCTTTGGTAGACCATGTTTAGATTCACGAATAAGAGCTTAGCTCTCGGATCTAGGATAAGCTTGTACTCCGGCCTTCATCTTCCCTTTCATCCCATAATACATCATGCTAAACACTCCATGAAGAATCACTTTTATGGATAGATGTTTAACTCTTAATCTTCAATCATTGATCGACCAATAATCAAAACTTCTCTCTTCAGATGCTTCAATGTCCATAACACAAACAACAACGATGGCAGCCATAAAGCCAGAAGAGTCAGAACATTCAATTTGGCAAAGCTATGCTCTCCAACCACCTCATACTTCTCATCAAACGGCGTTCGAGTCAAACTTTCCTTCCGGTCCTCTGGCATTGCCATATCATGCAAGACAGAAGGGAGGGTACCGATCAATGGATATTCCTTCAATCCACACAAGACCTCCTCACAGGGAAGGAAATGGAGTGCTGACTGCTTCACCACCATCACTGAATTCACATCATAGCTACCCTTCTCTCAAACGACCATTTCATTCTACAGATGATTCGCCCTATGGCGAGGTGGTGCAGGATTTTCGGGAAGACCTGTCAGAACATCCAAAACCTAATATTAGTCAAGATCACAGACTGCTTTCCTTTAGTAAACGACAGCCAAAGCACACTATCGTAGACCAACATGGAAGAATACAACAGCTAGACCTTTCAGCGCAAATCCACGGAATGTTCTTTTTATCGGAAATGACAACCCCCACGGGCGAGGGAGTGATTGTCCAGCCAGAGCTGACCTGTTACCGGAGGAACCTATTTCAAATTTCCGGATCCGTTACTACCCCCCGAGGCGCCTTATCAGTGATCACGGAACGCGGAGAACGCATTCCAATTTTGTCCCTAGAAGTAACGATCAGTGCCACGGAATCAGTTGATGGCCATTCTGTCAAACTGATTGTCATCCCATGGAAAACACCTCCACCAAACTCCCCTGAAGTGACACCTGGCCAGGAGCAGGAGCCATCGCCTATTCCACTACTTCCATTTGACGACGGAGCTCCAGATACAAACAATGAGTTTGCTGTTTACCCTATAGCCTACAGAAGACTTCAATTTAGAATCGCGACCGCGAACAATGGCCGGAGACGAGAGCTCCAACAGCATTTCACCTTGCATTTAAATGTTGTAGGGACCTTGGGAAACAACACCAAGATCAATGTTTGCGAGACAGCGACAGCGCCAATTGTGGTCAGAGGTCGAAGTCCAAGGAACTTCCAAGCAAGGAAGGAAATTGCACTCGTCGGATCATCAGCCTCTCGGGCCAAGCACCAGAATTGCAAATCACAAGTAGCAGTACGTCTGGTAATGCTACAATGAAACCAAAATTGGCAAAACCTCAGACCCTTGAACTACCTCGGTCGCCATTCAATTTCGATGCAAGCAATCTTCCTGTATCTCCACATTTGATGAGACAACAGTAAGTTCCTTCACTCAGTGTCATGTTATCCATCCGGATTTTGACTTGAAGTCGAATGATCTCGGGATTGTTTCCAACTTCGTAACATCTGCCTTGACTGTAAGCTGACATGACCAAATTAGAACTCTACCATCATGGTTCGCTCCGCCACATTCATCTGAGCACACCCCAGGACCATCAACTCCAAACTACCAAGGACCCCCGCCGTCGTTATCGATGGATAATTATCTTCAAGGAAACCATTCCAGTTCAGAAAATCCACAAAACCACTCTCCAGCCTCTACAATGCCAGCACCTGCACCTCCAGTACGATCATACACGTACCATAGTACAACTTCACCAGGTGGGGCCCCCATACGATTCATCGACAGCAATCCACGGCCCGCAAAATCACCTCGCCATCAAGCACCCCCCGAACTGAACTCTTCTTTCTCTTCCGATTTCACAGCTCGGTTCAACGCTCCTGCTCCATATAGTTCTGCCAGTGACCCTGCGCATCCAAGAGAATACTTCCCTACATCTATGTCTATGCAACCATGGACCACTGCTCAAGATACCGCGTCTACGTATGGAACTACGCTGCCCGCAGTCACTAGCTCCCACTATGAATATCCTGGGGATCAGCATTACGTAAAAGAAGAAGGCCACTCTCAACCACCACCGCCGCATCAACAGCCCAGTCAACAGCATTACACTTGGAGCGCCGCATAGTTTTATTAAACTCGCATAATTAACGCATTGCATTAATCCAGCATTTCAATGAGAACTCATTTCAATACATACACGCATCAGATATCAGATATCTGGCCTTCTTTGCGAGAATCTAGAAATTCATGCATCACTTCCAAATCTTTCCCTGAAGATCTTCCACTATACTACACGCCACGAAAATCATTTCCTTGCACTGTGTCAATCTCTTTTTTTTTATTTTAATTCTGCACTCCAGTCAGTAACCAAGGGAATTAGCCCCAGTTTCTTGTTTATATGTGCTCTCTTTCGAGATGGAAGGAAACGAAGCAATGGAATAGGATGATATGGGATACATTATGGTATTCCCCAGCGAACTGAAATATTCAGCATAAGCATCATACATAGCAAGCGATGGCGTAGGAAAAATGGTGGTGAATTTTAGGTTTCTCTTGTCTCCTTTTATTTTGGCATCTCTTTCATACTTTTTACACTGCGGATACATGGGATGGATGGACGGATGATTTGGATGATATCAATATGGATGGAACGATGGATGTACTTTTAGAAACTCATATTATGATCAGACTTGATACCCTCATTAATTCCTTAATACTCAGTCAAATGTAAATCAATAAAGATTTTGGGTGAAACTTCGAACCATTTAAACACAGGATTTATTCTTTGAATTCGATCATCTGTGAAATATACACTTTTTTACATAAAACAAAAAATACCAAGTGAAGTCTAAACAGAAGATCGCGGGCCAACCCGTTGCACAATTGGTCATTCTTGGCCCCCGCACAGACTTTATTTCAATCCCCACTAAAAAATATGTCGAGAGCTTCGATGCAGAAACATTGGTCAAGCTTCACAACAACATAACAATAAACATGTTTGACCTCCCGGACGCGAAACGGTGAGTGTGTTATTGCTTCATAAAAGAAGTATATCAGTTTGAATACCGGCTAACATTTTATTGATAGTGTGCGCCGTTCAGATCTATATACTAGATCCTCATCACCATCTCCCGAACCATCTTCACCCATCGACCCTGACGTCTCTGCTCGATTTCACAACCAGCTTGCTTCACTCTATGGACCTATTTCATCTCAATCATGCGCGACCGAGAACGCGTTAAACCCTGAACCCATAAATGACGCTCCACATTCACCACCACTAGAAGATGACGAGGACCAGGCAGAGGAATTTGACTTTCGGCTTTTCTCAAATGTCAAAGAAGGCAAGATAGTCCTCAAGGAGGAGGCAATTGATAAAGGGATTTTTGTTGTCCAGGAAAGAGACAAGAGTTACTACTTCACCGGTCCAATTGAGGGGCAACGTAAAGAGGAATACGCCATTGCGGCAATTAGTGGAGAAGATGTTTTGGAAGGCAGAGAGAAAAGATGTTGGGGCTTGGAAGTTCCGTGGCGAGTCCGGGTTGTGAAGATTGGTGTTAGTGGGCAGAAAAAACTGGGAAGCAATGGCCTCCTCGGGGCCAGAAATAGTTCCAATGGGGAGAAGAAGAGGAAATTGGGCAAGAAGATGAGGATTCTCATGAGAGAGAGGAGAAGGGCAATTGAGGCTCAGGAACAGGCAATGACGATGGAGAAGGAAAGCAAAGAGGAGGCAGACAAAGAGAGGAGAGCTAGAAAGAACAGAGAGAAAAAAGTCAAGAGGAAGGCAAAGGAGAAGGCGTTGAAAGCTGCTGCCGGGGAAATAATCAGACCCAGCCCGGAGTTGACGGAGCAGATGAATGAAGAAGAAAGGGCCAATTCTTTGTCGGTCGCTGCCGGATCGACATTTACGATGGGAGAAGAACAAAATCCTTCAATCTGCGATTCGTAACCCCACTCGAACCTCCGATAACCTTCGGTTCTCCCATGCGCATCTACAAAGGACGATAACCCCTCCAAAGAACCCCTTGCGTAAATGCAACCATAATTTAATATCTCCCCCACTAGATGAATTCTTTGTCGCATCTCACCCACAACACAAACGGGAAGGACACACACTATCCAACCCAACTAAACAACTTTTCCTCGTGGTTTCTAGGATTTAGCATTAAAGTTATGCAGTTAACATATCACAACGGTAATACTTGTACAACACGTTCCTCCCGTCCCGTGCTCAGGAGGAGGCTTAAAAGCCTCAATCACAGCCTCGATCCTTTAGTCGCATCTACGAGAACGCAAAACACCTTCAGAACATTCACGAAAACACATACCCTCTTCCTTTCATTTTTAAGGATTCCGAAGGATCAAATAACGTGAAATGAAGGATTCCTTCTCTCACACCATCGTTTCTCTAAATCAAAGACAGTCAAGCATATCGAGTCCTTCACTTGTACCTATTTGCCGGTCCCTGCAGCTACGCCGTACTTTTGCGACTTTGTACATTTCTGGGAATACCTTGGCCGCCGGCTTGCTAGTATGACAAATAGATTATTCTACGAGATGGCATGTTCCATGCCACGATTGATTTTTCGGATTCAACACCTTCCATAAACAACCAAGTATACATCTATCTACCCGGCATGCAGTTTTAGCCTTGGCCTCAAATAAGACCCTGCGGGCATTAGCACATAAGGTCTAGGTACATGGCTTTCTAGCTTATCCGCTCCACCCCCGCTGTTACGTTGCCCCGCCGTGCCACATCGATACAGGAACAATCTACATGGCCATGGCTGTAACCATGGTTAATCTTCGTCTATTGTATATTTACAATAGTGGATATAGGACAATTTTGTAAGTAACGAAGAGAAAAACAATGGAAATCAAATATCCTTGATTATCCACACGAGGCACAGTCGTGGCGCCATTACGCGGTACGGGATCGGAGGGTATTCCCCCTTTGAGTAATTGCTCATATATTCAGACGATCTCTTGTTGATCGAGCGGAAAAATACCTATGGCCAAGATAGATGGTACTAACTCTTTTTTTTTTTTTTTGCCGGGCTTATTAACGTATTCACGTATTCAGGATTTGTATTACCGGACTTGTACTCAAGTATTTTATTTTGTTTCTGAATAGTGGCTGGGAACATATTGATGGTCAGCGAGACAAAAGGGATGGTAACATGGTGTGCTATGTCAGATGTTTAAATGTCAAATTAATTCACGCTAGTGCGTACTTGGTCACACCATATTAAATGCTGATATTACATTCATAAGATAACTCATTATTCGACTAGGTACTTGCTTACTTAGGCAATGAGTAAATAATATTCCATATTTAATTTTGGCTAAGTGTAGTCAATCCATCATACTATTTCTTTAGTGATTACTATGCATTTATGAAGAAGTATAGTAATTGGTTCAAACCGAATGCTGATAGGTAAGGGTTCACTAGTCGAGGATTTAGTGGTTACTTTCTGCAAAGAACCCCAAGAGCTATCACATACATACAAGTCTTGAGCGGATAGACGGACGAGACCGACGCTTATTTATTAGTGTTGATGCACGTATGTATGTACGGCACCTTTGAAGTTTGAATGTTGAAGATGCTTGAGGGGATTGTTTCGGGTCATCTTTTACATGCGGATTTTACTGGATGGGTTTTGCGGAACGAGTATGGTTAGTGTGGGGGGATGAGATGAGGGGGTAGATTGTTTTTGAGGGTCTGAATTTAGCCTTTTTTTCCCTCTTGGCTCCAAATTTTGCAGTTCAACAGGATACAAATGTTCATTCTTAAATTCAATGATGCATTTTCGGATATAGAATTTCTTGTATCTTGTATTGTCAATCTCACCTTTTCGGCTTATGCATAGATTCGTCTATCCCTCCTCCCTCCCTTACCTTCCTTCGCCTTTCGTTCTAAATTTATAGCATACTTGAAATTCGGTTTATCGCCGAAAGTGATAACGTGAGGATGACATAAGTCTCGCTCTTTAGACCTCGTTCTGGATATGTATCTAGAATTGTGACAACTAGTTGCTTACCAGCATAATTCTTTGCTGGCTTGTTAGTCTGCCGGCTTGGTTGATTAACTTGATTGCGAAATTGGGGTCTACTTACTTGTACGTGTACTAGTGGGGCATCCCCATATAAGCGTTCGATGAGATAATATGGGATTCGCAAATTGGACAGTGGATCGTGAAGACGGATGTGAAGAGTAGATGAGATTAAGATGAAGATGAGTAAGGAATTGATCAGGGTTTTCTTAGATCATTTGATATTGGGATCTACTTGGATAGCGAGCGCAGCAGTGTGGCGAGTATTACAAGGGAGATCGACCGAGGTCTTTGAGGAGTGTAGGAGGCTTACTGTGGATATCGCGTCTGTGTTTGTGAGGGATTCAGTATGGGTACGCTCTAGAGTAATCTAATATGGTTCGTGACTGTATGTCAGGAGGCTAGATTGTGAGAAGGATTGAGAATATAAAGGGTGTCATGATGCGAATTCTGCTGGGGTTTGGTTGTGTAATTATCCTTGAAGCGTGATGGAGTCGCAAGAGCTGCTTGCTCCACACAGCCGGGAATTGAAGGGGAGGATAGAATCCGAGTACGACGAAGTTTAAACGTCTTTACTGTGGGTTTGAGAAGTGAGGTCTTAATGCGGTGGATGTGAACTTGAAGGTACGGAGACGGAGATGGAGATGGAGATAGAGAAGGACAAGGGATTACGGAGAGGGGGGTGGAACTTTGTTAGTGCAAATGGGAAAGGGAGTTTTGTTTTAGTGTCGTAGCGGTAAAGTCGTTTTGTACGGAGTATGGGTTTTGACACGGACTAGGTTTGGGAGACGGGGAGTTAAATTCTTTAGACGGGTTGATGGATGGATGGGTGGGTCTAGTGCTGGAGATACTTGTGTCTGTTATGGAGAAGTTTGCGCGCACGCGCTCAGGATTCAGATGGACATGGAGATGGAGATAGAAAGGAGATAGTGATAGGAATTTCTTTTGCTTTTTTCTGGATTTCGTTCTAAACTTGAACGGGGTACAGGAGATGGGTAGACAGTAAGTAGATGGTAGGGTAGAAGATGAATCAATAATATGGAAGGAATATATCGCGAACTCCGATGTAAATTTCAATACATATGCGTAAAAAGAATCCTAGTTTGGGTGTCTAGATCGAGCTATTGAGTAGGTATGTTAACTTGGTTACTTACTTACTCACTAGGTATTAAGTTTTAACTTCATTGTGTAGATGAGACGTATCAAGAAATCAATCTGTGTCATAAATTTGAAGAAAAACTTGTATATTGTTTGAATTAAAGATGTGAAATTATGTCAAAATCGAATTCAAATTCGAGTGCGTATGTACGTGTATGTGTACGTGAAAATGATTCTATGCTGTGTTAAAACCGAGGTCTACTCGGTTACTTGTATTCGGCGTTTGGGTTCGTGATTTGGATTGTCTGTCTATTTTAGATTGTGAGGATAGAGGTTTTGTTGTGGGGATTTGTCGGGTATAGAGGTTGGATGGGAGGGAAAGGGAGGGGAGGAAAGGGATGGGAGGAAAAGAATGGGGGAGTTATCATGCGGGAATAGAGGGGAGTTGAAAGTGTTGAGTGGGGTCGTAGCTAGATGGATGAGATCGATAGAATGAATGCGTTTAAATATAAAACGAGAGATGGGAGAAGAGAGCAGACAAATTGATGCGAGATCATGATGCTGGGCAGAGGGTGTCAGCTGAACTAGGACAATGAGTGATGATACGAATGAGGTGTTACAATAGCATACTATCGGAATACACACATTAGATGATAGAGCATGCATTATGGTACACAATTAAGTATTGACATTAATGATATATTCTTGTTTCTTTGCCCCTCTTTCTTGCTTTCTCATGTCTGTATCTATCGTTCATTCAATCATTCATCCATCTTGATCAGTGATTCGTGTGAAGTACGACCATTTACCATGATAAGTCCTCAAACTAACCTGAACCCCTCTCCCAGAATTTCCAACTGCTACTTCCACTCCCACTACTACTTCTTTCTCTCTTGGAGACTTGATCTCGTCCGCGAATCCGCCAGTAGTATATCGGCACACCAGCGAGTACAAACGCGACAACAATGAGCGTTTGGATTGGTTCCGCAAAGACTGCTCTGCTGAGTAGGAACAAACTCACACAACAGAAGATTATGGGGGTAGTAATCCAAGTCTTGTAAGGACGTTCGAGATTAGGTTCGCGAACGCGAAGAACAATGAGTCCTAGGACAGTGAAGAAATAGAATGTATAGCCAGCTACACCGTAAAAGGTGACTAGCGTACCAAATTCGCCGACAGCGACATAGACTGCTGTTAAGAGAGCGTTGAGGATCATGGCGTTAACGGGTGTGAAGAAGAGCCCGGTGTCTTCGTCACCGAAGAATCTGGCCAATTTCTTTGATGCCCAATTGCGTGTTCGGAGAGTGTTGGCAGAAGGCTCCGCTTGGTTTCCGAATCCAATTTTGCCAAACATAGCGGGTAGATAACCTTCTTTGCTAGCGGCATAGACTAATCGCCCACTAGTGAAGGCTGTTGCATTTAGAGCTCCAAAACAGCTTGCGCTGACAATAAGAGCAAGTATTAATGATCCAATGGGACCAAATACCTTGTTTCCAAATATAACTGCAACTGTATTTGAAGAATTGATAGCTTTTAGAGGTAGAACGAAGAAATAGGCGACATTAGCGAGGATATAGGAGAGAATGACTAATGGCATGGCTGTATGGATGACTCTTGGCAAGTCCCGAGTAGGGTTTCGGAACTCTCCAACCACGTAATTTGTCTATGGAGGTCAATAAAAGTTTTGGCTAAAAGGCTTGGAATACTCACATTATCCCAACCGTCAAAGGCCCACAACCCAGCATATAATGCAACAGCCCATGATGAGGCGCTACTACTAGTTCCCTCGAACCATCCGTGGTTCTTCCAATCCTCATTCGCCTTTCCTGATGTAGAGAAGCCAGTAAGGGCTACCACAACACCAATGACTGTAACTCCAAGCAATGCAATAAACTTCATAAACATAAACATATCTCCCATTCTCGTGCCCAACTTTGTAGATATACAATTTAAAAAGGTAATGAAAAACAATCCAACCAATGCCACGCTCTTATTAATCCAAACGTTGACATTCTCAGCCTCGGCTCCAATGAATGCCCGTACCAAATATTCTCCCATTATTATCGATACAATGGCGGTCGATCCAGGCTTTAGAACGATGACCGCACACCATGTGAACAAGAACCCAAAAATCTCCCCAAAAATCTTGGAAAGATATATTTGTGCGCCGCCATTCAATGGTATTGCTCCTCCCAGCTCCGCGTAACTTGACGCGCCAGTCCATGCTAGTATTCCTGCTATTGCCCATACAATTAATGATGCGCCTGGTGATCCCGCATTTGCATTAACCTGACTCGGCGAGGAGAAAATCCCGGACCCTATTATCAAGCCAACTATCAAAGACAAACCGTTCAGATATGTCAAAGTCTTGTGTTTTTCCAACGATCCGCCTCCTAAAGCAGTTTGGCCATTTGTCGTAGAAATAGGGGCTCCGATCGGCGCATAACCTCCTGCGGTAGAAGACAGAGGGTAAAGGTTGGAGGAAAAGTCGAAGGCCGAAGAGACAGAATATGTTCTGCCATGTCCTCTTCCAGGCCGGCCATTCGCGGCAGGATTTCGGTCATCCAAAGGATCGTCTTCTTCGAGTGAAAGCTTCCGTGATGAGGATATACCGGCATCTGATGATATTGAATCTGTTGATGATCTCGCGCCTGGGGAACTCGATGCTAAACTAGCCAATTCTAAAGAATCGCGCGCGTGAGGCTGTAAATTTTGATAGGTTGGTGACATTATAATTGTTCGTGAAAGTCGTTCAAAGCCAGCATCGCATGCTTTAAAGCTTCAAGAGGGGCGATCAATGGCAGTCTGTTTGTTGGTTCTCGTTTATGGCAATGCTTGAATCATAACGGTCGTGCAACTTTACAATCGCAATGAACTCGTATGGGAAGGATAGTAAGGAAAGGAAGTGAAATAAAGCTTTAAAAGTCAATCAATGTTTACTTGAATTGAAGAAGGGTTTCAGAGAACTGAGCGCGTAGAATCGAAAGTGCAATGTGTAGCGGTTGTTTTCAATGAGACAGAGAGCTACTCGTGGACAATGGATGTTTTATTTCTGAGGTACCAAAGTAGATCATCTACGTTATTGTCTTTGTGATCCATTAAGGGATTTGAGGATCTTGGCGGTATTCTACTTACCTGTGCTTTCCTTTTGTTTTGGGTTCTTGGTGCTTTGATACTTTGATACTTCACTAGATTCACGACTCACTCACTAATATCTAGCATTTACTCCTGAGTTCTGAGTCCGGAGTCCAGAGAAGGCTGAGATAATATAATTGAGTCCGTGCTCAAATTTTTATGCTTACTTTGATAAAAATATATTATCATGAAGCTACTTGGGTACTCATAGCTACCCCTCCTCGCAATACAACAATTCAGTTCAAGAAGAGGTCATCCCGCGATACAGCCATCTGCGAATTCGAAACCAAGAGTAATCGACTATATCTTGAGTAGTTGGTCCCTGGCATGACATGATGCCTTGAAGATCATGCAGTCCTCCATTCGCAGATGCGCATTATCTCGAACGAGTTTAATTCGGCCTTTATCTTATTATAGTCGCAATTACCCCGCTACCGGTTTCCAAAATGTCAAGCCCATCGTATTTACTCGATACGCTTCTACTTCTACTAACAACCCTTTTCCAAGTTTAGATCTGCCTTCTTTGGATCAGAAATGGCGTGCGAAGTGGACGACGGCGGAAAAGCCGAAATCGGTAAAGGATAATGAACAAGATGAAGGCCAGAAAATGTACATATTACCTATGTTTCCATATCCGTCGGGCGATCTTCATCTGGGTCACTTTCGAGCATACACGATTTCAGATGTGCTGGCACGATTCCACACAATGAGAGGCTACAATGTTGTCCACCCAATAGGTTGGGATGCGTTTGGCTTGCCTGCTGAAAATGCAGCAATTGAACGTGGAATAGACCCCGCAGTCTGGACAAAACAAAATATACAAAAGATGAAGAGTCAGCTAATTACTTGGAATGGACGTTGGGACTGGGATAGGGCATGTCTACAAATGTAATTAGAGATCTGGTAGCTAATAGGAACTAGGAAATCACAACTTGCGATCCCAATTTCTACAAACATACCCAGGAAATATTCCTTCTTCTTCATGAGCGTGGTCTGGCATATCAAGCGGAATCTTTAGTGAATTATGATCCTGTGGACAAAACCGTTCTTGCAAATGAACAGGTCGATGCAAATGGTAATTCATGGCGATCTGGAGCCAAAGTAGAGAAAAGACTATTAAAACAATGGTTTCTGAAAATATCTGAATTTCGAGAGCAATTGCTTCAAGATATTGATCACTTGGCCAAGGGAGGTATGTGGCCGGAAAGAGTTTTAGCTATGCAAAAGAATTGGCTGGGGAAATCAAAAGGAGCTCGAATTCAATTTTCCATATCAGCAGGTGAAGATAGTTCTCGGCAGCCTGTCGAAGTCTTCACTACCCGACCGGATACTATATATGGAGTTCAATACATTGCTCTTGCAGCAACACATCCTATTGTTCAAGGTCTTGCAAAAAAAGATACAAAATTGCAACAGTTTTTGGACAGCATGTCAGATTTACCACCTGACTCAAAGGTTGGCTATCTTCTTCCCACTGTTAGTGCCGTGCATCCGTTAGCATCCCGACAATCTACACCAGAGGCCTCTAAAGCACCTTTACCCGTTTATGTTGCACCATATGTATTAGGTGATTATGGTGATGGAGCAGTTATGGGAGTGCCAGCGCATGATGCTCGAGATCATGCATTTTGGAAGCACAATAACCATGACACTCCACCGAGACATGTAATTGGTCCTGTTGATGGTGCTTCGAAAGCTGTCCCCGCAGACCAACCTTTTGTTCATCCTGGTCATCTTACATCAGAAAATCCACGATCATTCGTTGGACAAACAACGGCTAAAGCAAAGCAAAGCATAATGAAGCTGCTCCAAAATGAAGGTCTCGGTTCAGCTGCTGAGACATGGCGTCTCAGAGATTGGCTTGTCAGTCGACAGAGATATTGGGGTACCCCTATACCCATAATTCATTGCGCTAGTTGTGGTCCAGTTCCTGTTCCTAAAGATCAGCTCCCAGTCAAGCTGCCTTCAGTTGAAGGCCATTGGCTGAAAGGTAAAGCTGGAAATCCTCTTGATGGTGCTCACGACTGGGTCAATGTCCCATGTCCCAAGTGTGGCAGCGATGCTAAAAGAGATACCGATACCATGGATACCTTTGTCGACTCTAGCTGGTATTTTATGAGATTTGCTGATCCCAAGAATTCAACCACACCATTCTCTCCGGAAGCAGCCAATGCAATCCTCCCTGTTGATGTATATATCGGAGGAGTTGAACACGCCATTTTGCATTTATTGTATGCTCGTTTCATATCAAAATTCCTTTCTACAACCCCTCTCTGGCCTGAAGGGTCGACCAAGAACATTCTTGGGGAACCCTTTAAGAAGCTTCTTAGTCAGGGTATGGTGCATGGAAAGACTTATTTGGATCCTTCCAATGGTAGATTTTTGAAACCCGAGGAAGTGGATCTCACTACACCATCGAAGCCTATCCTTATTGCATCAGGAGAAATCGCCAAAATTAGTTATGAGAAGATGTCAAAATCTAAATATAATGGCGTTGACCCAGCGCAGTGCATGACGAAATATGGTGCCGATGCAACCAGAGCCCACATGATTTTTCAAGCACCAGTCACCGAGGTCCTTGAATGGGATGAGCAAAAAATATCTGGTATTACTCGTTGGTTGAAACGTCTCCATGATTATATATGCACAAGTACAGGGGTATCTCAGAAAGTCAAAGACCACATGTTATCTCCCAAAGACTATCTCCTTTCTGCGGTAGATGTTTTAGAGAAAAGCAAAAGGAATAACTTGGAAAAGCAAGATTCGAATACAGGGGCTATTGTTTTGGACACAATTCACGCGGACATCAAACTTTGGCGAGCAGTACAACAGAGTATCACAAATATAACAGAAGCTTATAGTGAAACGCATTCTCTTAATACCATTGTCTCGGATCTGATGAGTCTTACCAATCTTCTCATCGAAACCACAGAAGCAAATAAAGTCCGCCGCGAAACATCACATACAGACGTTATCGCTGGACTCGAGAGCGCAAACTGGGTAGAAGAGAAAAGTGGTTTAATCGAAAATGCAGCTACGAAAATTTTGCTTCAAATGATGGCACCTATTACTCCAGCTTTCGCGGAAGAATGTTGGTCGATTTCTCACGGCGATGTTGAAACATTTTCAATCTTCGAAACGAAGTTCCCAGAGACAGATGGATCGATAAACTGGTTACTTCCCGAAACTCAAAAATGCGCAGTACAAGTTAACGGAAAATTGAGATTTGCAATCGATATACCAATTCCGGAAGAGGGAATGGATAAAGTAGAGTTGCAGAAATGGGTTGTGGATAAGGTCTTACACAGTGAAGATGGAATGAGGAGGTTTGGGGAAAAGGAGGGACAGGTCGATGTGGTGGGTAGAAGTAAGAGAGTGGTGGTTGTGGGGAGGGGAAAGACGGTTAATTTTGTGGTTTAGGGGTTGGGTGGTTGATGGTCTGAAATACCCTGCTCTGTTTTGTTGAATGTATAATATGTAGATTTAAGCGACAGAGCGAATGGATATATAAAATATGCTCAAATGCCAACATGATAGATCAAGATACCTCCACATCTCTTTACAAGCCAGCTTACGAACCAATCATTCAGAACATAAAAATTGAAATTCTAATCTTGGATCCCTGGCCTCAGTATAAAATTTGGGGCGGTCGAGATACTTGAGTTACGCCATAAATGGTTTCCCTTTTTCTTTTCCTATCCAATTTCCGCTGGACCCAAAGTAATCAACGAACAACTCAACCACTCATATCGTAACATCATTTTCCATGTCTGAGATAGTTTAATTCTTATTGTTATCAGAACAACAGACACAAGATAATACATAGTATATAGTACACACAAGTCCTCATACATTTCCTCTCTATCCTCCATCTACTACCTAGCTATATTATAGTCCTTCCTCATACTCGCCTCTCATCGCCTAGGTGTATGCATTCTCGAAGAGAGCCCCCGAAAAATTAATAGCGTCTCGATGATGAGATTGTTATCACTGATGACCCAGAATTCTTATTCAACAAGGCACTGATGCACTCTGCACTCGGATTTATGCTCGCGGCAGCGCTTGTGATAGAGAAACTAGAGTTGGGTTGCAGTGGCCGTCCGGTTTGGTCGAACTTGAGGAAGAAGTTGCGAGGGGATGAGTGGTTCTCGTGCCGTAGATGTTTGTGATTTATCCGTTTAGCGCATTCGTCTATTTTCACGTTTCCGGTTTCCCCTTGGTTGTTGACTTGGTCGCTTGTGATATAGTTGATATTGGTCGATGGCGGCGCGGGGCTCCACAGTCACACGATGATATCGGATGACATGTACAACGCGGGGCCCGAAGCCGCGTGGGAAAGAATCAGTATGCTCCAAGGAGGGTCGTGTACAACCTCAACCCATTGACTCCGCTCTCCTTGTCTTCGCCCTCATCCTCTGGGTATCCTTCGCTTGTTTCCTTGCTTGACTAACACTCATCCTAACCTCCTCCATAACTTTCTTCTCCAAACCATCAACCTCCACCTCATCTAGTACGAATTTCCCCAGATTTCCCTGTCTCCACCTCTGAATGACCCAAAGTGCTGCAGCCTCTACATCCGGCACCCCTCCCTTCCCTAACCGCCCCGTTTTCCTACAAACCGCCTCTAGAAACTGTACGATATCATTTGTTTCCTCGCAGTATTCTTTGTACACGCTCCCTCCTACTTTTAAATTGATATGAAAGAGTAAATAATCCGCTAATGTCGTTGGCGCAATGATCGTATCCTTGACACTTCCCACCAATGCCAGTTTCAACATACTATCAGTATCCGGTACGAAAGGGACAAACACACCGGGAGTATCTACTAAATAGACACCCTCTGTTCCTGCTTCCGGGTCCGGATCGACTATTTTGACACCTGATGCGATTTTTCTTGTGATACCGGGTTGAGCACCTGTAAATGCTGCTTTGCCTCTATTTACACCAGCCATGCGTAGAGCATTTAACAAAGAAGATTTTCCGACATTAGGCATGCCCACTACAAGAATTCGAGAACCGGTTAGGGACTGGTGCGCAAGACCATGTTCTTTGCAGAGCGAAAGAATAGTGTGGATATCGGATTTGGATTTGTGATTTGAGAAGAGAGTGGAGGAGGGCTTATGCCAATCTTTTATAATTGCTTCTCTCTGTTATTTCCCAGTGATTAGTTTATCAAATCTTGCGTCTGTATATATGTAGGAAAATACATACCTTTTTATCCACAGCTAAACCTTGGTACCCTAAATCCCGTTTCGTATACACGATGACTCTTTCCCTTCCCGCGAGTGATTGTTCAAATAACGGATTACGGGATGTGAGAGGGACTCTGTAATCTCGACATTCTATAATAAGGTCGATGGATGAGAGCATGGTTTTCATTCGCGAGAGACCGGATGCATGATGGCCTAGGTAGTACGATCGAGGGAGAGAAAGTTGTTGGGGGAACGCGGTACGAGGTATGAATTGTGCCATTTCGATGGCGGGTTATGAGATGTTACCGGGGGAGCATGGCAATTGCTGAGTTCAGGAGAGTGCTTCTGTTAAATGTATTGGATATCGACATGCTGAAGTTTAAGATAAGGCTGAGAGGTTAAAATTTTGGATTTCTGAGGTTACATACGGCTGACGAATTAGAGCTAGGAATAATCAACGCTAATGCACGGCAAGTCAGCGACCCTTGTCAATATGATGAAATTCAAATTATCTGATAAGGCTGAAGATCATGAACTTTCGTAAGAGTAGCCTTCAAGGACTTCAATCGACAATATTATATTTTAAGCTTCATGTCTTCTGAAAATTGATAATGCGATTCTCAATTGCTTGTCATCAGTCATCGATTTCTCTTTCTTAAGCAAGAAATAGTTGAGATGGTTCTCTAGATTCATGTCATTCAGTGATGTCATGGTCTTGTAGTATTCATGTTTCAATGATTGCTTCTTAACTTCAGCATTTTGTTGAACTTTTACCAAGTCGTGATCTACCAAAACATGATCGAATCCGCGATAGAACTACCTTTATGTCGTTTTGCCTCTTTCACCAATCGCGATTCCATCGTCGATGCAGTGTGCACTCTGGTCTGCCTGGTGCAATGGATAGATTTGCCATTCGTATATTCTCTTCCTTAACATTGTTGATTCCGCCGCTGGTTCTCGAAATGTCTCCGGCTTGAGACACTATGTTTTTGCTGACTTCTTGTGTCTGTTCAATCATATTGGATATGCTCATTCGTCTTGTTGCACTATTGATTGTGACCCTCGTTGTTCTACTTATAAAGGAAACTTCCAATTCAAGTAGAATGCGTTCTGGCTTGCATTTGGGCAGTGTTGCTATCGAATATCTGCATCAAAGTAATGTTGAAAACATGAAAACATTATCCCATTTGGATGGAAGAATCCACAGCCATCGTCCTTCTCAAATACAAACATTATGGCATTTATTCCAAGATGTCTTGATCAAATGATCCCAATGTCGGTGTACAGTGCATTTTCGGTCGGATTTAGACTCTCGCTATGGCATTCATCTTGGCGTTATGGATGGATAAGACCACGACGATGTTTCAAGAGACTATTTTCTGGGTCTCACCATGCGTATTTCCCTCAAGCCGATCCGTCTATTACCGCATACATGAAAACAACGATATTAGACGGGCCGTGAAAAATAAACTTTAGGACTTTTTCTAGTTTTAAGACACATTCATTAAATGCGACAACATTATCGTCTTCACCGAACGCGGATGGAAACAATCGTAATCTTGCTTACACTTTCGACTGTATTCTAGACCCGCTCTCGCCGCTTCATCACTCTAAGATTCGGAAGAACTTGGTTGGCTCCGATGGAAAATTAGGTCTCCGGATTACTGGGTATAGAATTGTGGCGACATCGGGTATGGGATTCAAAGTAGACCATCAACACAATAAGTGGGATGTTGACAAAGGAGTTAAGGAAGGGAGTACAGGAGAGAAGACAAGAGAAGAAACCAACAGTTGTATAGAGAAGTTGTTGTTGATGGCCCGAGTATAATTCACTCAATTGTTCGTGAATGTGATGACTATGTAGGACCTGCCAATTGTTCATTCCCAGTGACTTTATAAATAATCGTCGATTTCTTCTTTGATATAAAATACAATTCGACAACTTTCCCCTTTTTCATTATTTCTCAAGCTTCACTCCAACTTCACTCCAAATTCACTTCATTTCTTCCTCGCAAATCATCTATCACACAAGGTGCATGCTTCAGGATTAGTCACCCCCTACGTATTTACCAAAAGAGTGAATTCTCCACTTATTTGACCCCACCATATGACGCCGGAGGGGTGAAGTTAGAAACCGAACCTCTGTCTCAACAACATAAAAACCTTTCAACCTCTTTCTCACTCGAAAATCTATCATACCATTTTCATATTACTTCCTTTTAACAAATTTCAAACAAGATACCCCCAAAACACTCAAATATTATAATCATGCCTTCTTCATTAGATCAACTCAAAGCTTCTGGCACCGTAAGTGAACAATCTGTCTTTATTTATTGATGGCTGGTCGACGGGTCACTCGGGTCCAGCCCAAAAATCTAGGGAGACTCTTGTGAAGTAGATGGAATTTGAGGATATACTTTGGAATATAGTTTGCTAACCATTCCTTTGCCACAATAGACCGTCGTCTCTGACTCTGGTAAGTTTCTAATCCATCATTGCAACTGCTTGAAGCTTTGACTGACTCCTATTTCTCTCTAGGTGACTTTGCTTGTACGTTATCATCTAAACAACTTCTCCTCGCCAATCCTACAATCAACTACTAACAGATATTATCAGCCATTGCCAAATACCAACCACAAGATGCCACCACCAACCCATCGTTGATCCTCGCTGCATCTAAAAAGGCTGAATACGCCAAGCTCATCGATACCGCAGTCGCATTCGGAAAGGAGGTCGACGGTGACCTCGAAAAGAAGACTGATGCCACTCTCGATCGTCTCCTCGTCGAGTTCGGTAAGGAAATCTTGAAGGTCGTTCCAGGAAAGGTTTCAACCGAGGTTGATGCTCGTTTCTCTTTCGACACCAAGGCCACCATCAACAAGGCCCTCAGAATTATCGACGTATGTTGCATGCCTATTCATGTCCATTCTTTGGGACGAATGTACCTCAATTATAACGAATTTGATACTGACGTGTGTCTCATCTAGCTTTACAAGGAGCAAGGTATCGATAAGTCCCGCATCTTGATTAAGATTGCTTCCACCTGGGAAGGTATCCAAGCCGCCCGCGTCCTCCAACGCGACCACGGAATCAACTGCAACCTTACCCTCCTCTTCTCCAAATCCCAAGCTGTTGCTTGTGCCGAAGCAGGTGCTTTCCTCATCTCTCCATTCGTCGGCCGTATCCTCGATTGGTACAAGGCCTCCACCGGAAAGACCTACTCCGCCCAAGAAGACCCAGGTGTCGAGTCCGTTAAGGCTATCTTCGACTACTACAAGAAGTTCGGATACAAGACTATTGTCATGGGAGCTTCTTTCCGTAACGTTGGTGAAATCACTGAGCTTGCTGGATGTGATTACCTCACCATCTCACCAAACTTGTTGGAGGACTTGATGAACTCCGAAGAGGCCGTCCCCAAGAAGTTGATCGCTGAGAACGCTAGCAGTTTGGATATTGAGAAATTGACCTACATTGATGATGAGGCCGAGTTCAGATTTGCATTCAACGAGGATGCTATGGCTGTTGAGAAGTTGAGAGAGGGTATTAGCAAGTTTGCTGCTGATGCTGTCACCTTGAAGGATATCTTGAAGGCTAAGTTGCAATAAATTGCTTTTGAGTCTCAGGGTTCGGTGGATGATTTTATAGTTATTGATTGTCACGGAGGTCAAAATTGAAAGACCGGATGAAGTACCATTTGTATTTACGCGTGGCCAGACATGATTCTAAATAAATGAAACGATTTGATGATTAATTGATTATTTTTAATGCTTGCTATGATGCAAGACGGTGTTGTGAGCTGATGTCGGATTAAAATTGAGTCGTTCTGGAAGGTATGGGGGCATGGATACCTTTTGTTGATTTTTGAGATGTGTACTTGAGTATATTGTCTGGTGTAAATTGTGAGTGGTGTTCATAGCGAAATTGTATGGGGATGTTGAAGATGTATGTCAATATTCCTTTCTTGGCATTAGACGATCGATTACCCAAATTATCAAAACCCATCCAGCGTCCACGTGTTCATGTATGTAGCAAACCGCTTTGGGATGGAGTTGCATGCAAGTGGGACGCATATAAAGTTTGATAATAATTGAGATTGATCATGGTCAAATCGAATTATCAATATAATCATTTGAGTACATCCAGACGAGACATCTTCGTATTTGGCATGCAGGTCGATGATGAGATTTGGGTGATGAAGAATAGTTTGTAATTTGTAATATCTTACAGTTCCAACGAATGTTGAGGGTGATTGGATGAAATTTCAGTTCTGAAATAGGGGTATCGATACCCATCCTAGGAGACCAACATTTTATCCAGCTATGGGAAGTATCAACGCCCTGGGAGATTTTGAGAAACGCGAAGAAAGGGAGATAGCAATAGGATGGGAGAGAAATAAATTGTATATTCATCTGGCGGCGAGAAATAATCCGGGGACGTTTCATTGGAGTTTGTACTTGACGGAGGAGAAACCGGAGAGGGGATGGGTGTATCATGTTTTTGACCCGGTGCCGGATAGGTGGGTTTTGGAGATGTTGGGGGGAGATGGGGAGGAGGAAAGGGTGAAGGAGAAGAGGAATAGGGATAGTAGCGAGGACTCTGAATCACCAGGCCAGGAGTCCGGGGGAGATGGTGACCAGCCCGTAGTTGGGCCTAAAGGGGAAAGCAAAGAAGGACCAGAGGACAAAACAGAATCCAAGAAATGTGAAGATAAACGCAAGCGAGAGTCGGAAGATACAGGACATAGCAGCGATGAAATGAGCGATGAAGATGGGCAGTTGGAAAGTGACAGGATTGTGAACGTGAAAGAAAAAGAAGTGGATAGGAAACGCAAGAGGAACAAGACAGACAATGAGGAAAATCAAGAAAAGAACGACGGGGTACAAAATCTGGAGGATCCTCGCAACAGCAAGAACCGCGACACAAAAGATAACAACTACACATTCGTCGCCTCATCCTCTCTCCTTGCCGCTATTGAAATCGGGACCGATATCCAAGATATGCGAGAGATAATCGAAGAAACGATATCCACCGAATGGACGACGGGCAGGAAGAAGATCGCAAAAGGGGAGAAAATCTGTCGAGAGTTTTTGTTGAAATGTGTTGAGGAATTAGAATCGGTGGGAGTGTTGAGTTTTAGGGATGGGAAAGGGATCGGAGATGTCGAGAGAGAAGCGGAGGAGTTTGGGTTGTTGAGCGATCCGGCTTTGAATGTGGGGGCGAGGAGGGGGAGAGTGTGGAAGAGTAGGGTGGTGGAGTGAGGAGGGGGAAAGGGAAGGACGAGAGAGAGGTGGAATTTTGCGGCGGCAATGCAAAGCTGAGTCATCTGATGTGACCTGGTGTCTAAGATCGTTACGAGTTTGCATGCCCGCTTTATTAAATTTCAAAACATCTAGCCACAATATCCCGTTGTCTTCTTCTTTTCTTCCCTGATTTCTCATGGAAGATCCGCTGAGTTTGATTGCCACCTCTGGCCTGCCTCGTCACAATCGAGAGATCCTTTCTTGCTTCATCAAAGATGCTTCTGAGCCCAAGCACGCATGCATGTCAGTACATCCAAAGCTCGTTAGAGCAGAGAGTATAGTATCTCTCTGGAACAAGTTGTCACTAAAGGTTGGCCTTCCTCCCTTCCCACCAACGACTTCAATGCCCCCACCCCAAAATATTTCCTCATCGACATTCCCCCACGCTCCTCTCAATCTCAACAATATCCTCATCAACCCGTCCTCCTTCCGCATCAGCGGACTCGTATATCAGGTATGCGCGGACTATAAGTTCTACCCCGATTATCGAGAGAAGACTAAATCACTATAGTATACCAGGCGATGCATTCTAGGAATCCCATCCGCAGCGCGTAATCCCCATCTTTGAAGATGAACTAGCGACGCAGATGCGGCCTTGGGATTGCCGAGATCTGTTTTGAGATGGCATGGAAGGAAAAAGAGGGGGAGCGAGGAAAAGACAGTGGAAAAGGCAACTGAGCATAGGAATTACTAAGCGACGGTATCTCTTCCAAAGATAAATATCATCAACCAATCCAATCAAGTCCAATACCTAGATATCCACACGATCCAATCATTCCGAAACCTCAAACCAAACTCCATCATTCACTATTCATCAACTTGGTAAATGCTGAATACTATCTATCTAGGTATACACAACATTTCCACCCGAAGAAAAAATCCCGAGATGCCTCATTGATCATGTCATCACATAACTCAGAGTCTCAAACGATATAGCAGCATCAAACACTGAGCCTTCTAACGCCAAGGGAAACGACATCTCTCTCTCCCCCCTCTCTCCCTTTCTCCTTAGTGAGCAAAGCAAAAAACAGATGTTGAAAAAGAAGAGGCGAAGAGGAATTACGATTCTATACGACATGTTTGAGAAGAACATGTGTGATCGCACGCCCTTGATATATTCTCAATATCACTCCTTTGGCATCTAGATTTGAATATAATCAATCAATCAATCAATCAATCAATCACAAAAACAATTTCTGAAACCCAACTGTCATTTTATGAATGCTTCAATCATATCACATCACATACACACAAATCATTCTCTCAATTCCGCAGGTAAAAGAATTCATTTGATCTAGTCTAGTTCAGTCCAGTCCATTCCAACCAATATAGTTAGGTAGCAAGACCAAGATCAATACCAAGACTCAGATACGTAGGTTGGTAGATAGGTATCAACCCTCCCATGCCAGCCAACCAACCACTCCCTCCCTTCCCCTCCCCATGCAGATCAACCAATCCATCCCCATCCACCCACCTAAGAAAACTTTTATAAATCCCATGCAAATGATCCATCCATCCATCCAGCGTGAGTCATAATGCAATGCCATAGAAAAGAGAACGGATGTACCATCATGCTATGCTGTGTGATGAAATGCCATGCCATACCATGCAAGAAACAAGCTCGCAATACATTCTCAAGAATTATCAAAAGCAGAAATAAAATGAGCCGAGGAACAGTAAGAGAAATTCATGATGTTTAGTAGTTGGTTATTGGCCAGCCTTCATCTTCCATCCACCAATTTAATCTTCATAAGCATCACCATACTCCCACATACCCTGGCGATTCTGTCTAGCCTCAGTTTGACTTTGAGTCAAACTCTTGATAACATCCGCAAATCCCTTCTCCCAACCCTTCAATTTAGTTGGAACCATGCTAAGACCCATAGCGACGATATCATTATTGATGCTATCGTTCAAGTTTTGACTCTTAGTATCGAACAATGTGACATACAAAGTTCCATCTGGCGCTGTATAATCCACATTTGCGACGAGTTCCCTGTCGGCAGTGTTGTGGGTAATATATCTAATTGCCTCATTCATATAATCCTTGTCTGTAGGAAATTGAAGAAGGGTTAAGATAGCATCAACAGCTTGTGGGCGAAGTTTTTGCGTTGAGAATTGTGGTTGTGAAAGTGGTCGGAGACGAGACCAAGGAATCTTCTCGCTGTTACCATAATCGATATAAACAACTTCTGCTTCCTTAGCAGTACGATCATTGGAGCGTATACGACCACGATACCATTGACCATCCTCAGAGAACTTGGCCGCAACGTAATCGCCAGCCTTTGGTGGACCAGGGAGACCAGTTGAGTTGGATGGGTTCAAGTGAAAAGACTTGAATTGAGTCATCAAAGTCTCGAGAGCCGAAGTACCAGTACCAATGATTTGGAGTTTTAACTTTCCATCCTCATTAACTTGGGTGACAAAAACATCTCTGTAATCCTTTTCTCTCTTGATTTGAGTGACTTCTTCATCATTGGCAGGCTGGTATTCTTCTTCTTCCACATCTAAAGATGGATCCCAATCTGCCCAAAGACCTTTTCGAGCCTCCTTTGCACGCTTCTCAGCTGCTAATAATTCCTTCGAGTTTCCGGATTGTTCGGCAGAGTGTTGATGAACAGTTGCATAACCTTCCTCAACCAAGATTTTACCAAAACTCTCCTTGTTGATGTAAAGTTCACCAATGAAGCCACCAACCTTATCGGTATTGTATACATCGATTTCAACATCACGTTGCGATAATCTTCGTGTAGCTAAATCGTGTGCTTCCTTACCAAATGGTTCGCTCTTATCGCTTGGATTTCTAGCAGATTTGGGAGCTCGAATACCAGCAAGAACAAAGTTGAGTTTAATGCCTTCACGAGGCACGAGTACAACAAATCGGCCGCCTCCTTTGACAAAGTCAACAATGGCTGGAATTCTCTTTTGTCGTTGCAAGGATCCAACATGTAGCTTAGCTTTTTGGACAGTCTCAGATGCATCGGCATATTGCTTTGCCTTTGCAGCCTTTCCAGACCACATTCCTTTCTTCTCTTCCTTGGCTTTCTCTTGTGCAGCCAATAAATCGTCGTAGTTGGGAGCTCGGTCGGTGTCATCTCTTCGATGACGGATTACGGAAGCCCAACCTTCTTGAACCAATTGCAATCCAATATTCTTATCATTTAAAGTAACGGTGGCAACTTCCTTTGCGTCATAATCTTCAGTGCCCGGTCTTGATCCATCGATGCTAATTCGGACATGTTTTCCAATCAGGCGTTTTCGAAGAAATTCCTTAGCTTCGTCTCTAAAAGGTGCTTCAGATGACTCAGTAGGTCTAGGTCCACGAATACTACTAATGTTTATGCGCTTCTCAACACCTGCCTTATTCTGGACAAAAATTTGATCGGCGCTGAAGATTTTGGTGACAGTTGCTTCGAGACTTCCACCTGCACCGTTGTTCTTTGCAACATGGTCCTTGAACAGACCGAGTTTAGCACCTTGTGCACGCTTTTCAGCCTCACGTAATGTTGCCATATCTGAGCCAAGGAGCGTTGAATGGAAGTCGGTGCATCGTGCAAGCCCAGCCTCGAGGATAAATTTAGCAATAGTTCCTTTGGGATGGATGACTGAAGCAATGAGTTGATTTTGTGGGCTAAGTCCAAGAATATGGATTTTAACATTTCTTTGCAATAATCTTTCCTCGACGAAACGTCGTGCTTCGTTTCCAAATGGTTCAGCAGGGGCTGTTTGTCCATTTGATGGGTTGACTCGCTCAGTAGCTGGTGCGCGAATACCAGCAACCAAAGTCATAACTAATTATTGTTAGTTTATTATTTCACACACATGAATGTGCTTAACCGACCTTGAATATGCTGTGTAGGAGTAACAATCAAACGCACAAGCATTCGATCACCACTCAATATACGTTCGACCAAACCATCCACTGTTTTTCCCTTCCATGTATCTAAGAAAGACTCTGGGTTGCCCATGTCATGCTGGACCTCAATACGTCCACCATTTTCTTGCCATAGACCCTTGTCTTCACTGCGTGCGGTAGCTTCGTATAAACGTAAGGCATCGAGCTGTTGAAGGGCCGATTCCGAGTCTTCCTTTCGGCCAGCATCTTCTCTCAATTTGAGCCAACCTTCCTTTATCATTTCTTCGGGTAGTTTGGTTCCATCATTGAGAAAAACAAGTCCATATTCGCGCTTAGTATTTGGAATTTGGTACAATACTTGGAATTGTACAACCTTGCCCACTACTAGTTTTCGTAAGGCATCGCGAGACTGAAATGCAAACGGCTCATCGCCTTCCTTTCGCAGATGTGGTGAAGTGCAATAAGCTAAGGACAAAATGCGCTCGAGATCAGGGTTATCAACCGAGGTAAGTACAAGACTGTCGCCGCTCAAGACGGATTTAACTTTTGCTTGGTTGAGAACCATTTTGCTGTAATCGGATGGAGGTACGTTGGCAAGTCGTTTCTTTCCGAGTGGTGGAATTCGGGGACTAGGAAATGGTTCAGGTAGGTTAGCAGATTCCTGAGAAGCTTTTGATGCCGATGAGCTGCTAGAAGATTTGCGTTCATTAGAAATGCCTGCCGCAGAGCCAATCTTGAATGTTTTGACACCCATTTTGATTATAATGAAGGATTCAACAATGGTGTAGGTATAGGTATAGGCACGAGTGTAGTTGGAGTTCTTGTTGTAAATTTGTCGAGTTCGAGTCAAAGAGAGTTGTTTGTCTCTGCGATTTGAGTTGCGGATACTAGGTAGGTTTAAGTAGTCTAGGTGTTGCGGTATGATATTGAATCTCGTCAAAGCAATACAGTAGAATGTTTTCGTTTATGTGTGTTCGAGATACAATCTGCTGGATGCCGTATGAAATGTGGGTTGAATGAAAGTGAATCTCGAAGTAGGATGTGTGCAATCGAAATTGGAAATTAGACTTTCCAAATCTGGGTTATAATATTTTTAAAAGGT